AATTAGTCATCTTCTCTTTTCTCCGTTTTCTAAAAGCTCTGACCAGAAAAAGAACATTAACAACATCTTGAAAAAGCTCGCTGTTGTCAATATTGCAATGCTAATTGTGGCACATCTGAATAACCTAATCAGATCCAAAATGGACTGGATATTGCTTTAAGGGAGAGTGCATGGATAATATCACTCTCTCTTCTGTCTGTCTATCTATCGTATTTATCTATAATCATCATTAACTTCTACCACATTTATATTGTTCTCCAGTTCAAACACTGCGATTATGGGCATCTTACAAAGTACAAGAATCAAACAATTCCTGCAAAAAGTGAAAAACAGTAACTGATCAGCAATCAGGAATTCATATTTATTTTGTTCTTCTGGATGGAAACTCCAACCATCCTGACCCAAACACCTAAGCCAGTGATGGCTAACCTTTTTGCCATCGCGTGCCAAAAGCAGGGGGAGAGCAGGGGGGTTCTGCGTGCGTGTGCCTACACCCATAATTCAATGTGCCCCGCTCCCTGCACATGCGTGCGTGACCCCTCCACACTCCCTCCGCTTTTGGCATGTGATGGCCTGGTGGGCCCGGTAGGCATGTTTTTTTGCCCTCCCCAGGCTCCAGAGGCTTTCTAGGAGCCTGGGGAGGGTGAAAACGGCCTCCCCCCTCTGGAGGCCCTCCGGAGGCTGGAAACAGCCTGCTTCCCGACTTCTGGTGGGTCCGGAAGGCCCAAAAATCAGCTGGCCAGCACACGCATGCACGCTGGAGCTGAGCTAGGGCAATGCTCACGTGCCCACAGATATGGCTCCGAGTGCCAGCTGTGGCACGCATGCCATAGGTTCGCCAACACGGACCTAAGCAAACAGCCAAGATCCTATTGAAGGGCCACTATGTCAAGAGTAGGGAACACAGAAATGGCATTGCTTCAAGGGTGGGACCTAAAGCATGCCCTCTTTGTTGGAACATCTAGAACAAGCAGATAGCATTGGAGAAAGGCAGTCCCACAGATTATCTTACTGTGCCATGCAGGGCTTTATAGATGATAACAGGCACCTTGAATTGCACCCCGAAGCCTGTAGGAAACCAATGCAACTCAGAGAGTAGAGAATAGAGATATCATATAAACGTACCTGTAACTAGCAATGCTGCTGCTTTCTGGACCAGTTGTAGCTTTCAGGTGATCTTCAAGGACAGTGGAGTATGTTGCAACAGCCCAACTAGGAGGCATGAGTGACAGCTACCAGGGCCTTCCAACCCAGGAACAGGTAGAATAGAATAGAATAGAATAACAAAGTTGGAAGGGACCTTGGAGGTCTTCTAGTGCAACCCCCTGCTTAGGCAGGAAACCCTACACCACTTCAGACAAATGGTTATCTAACATATTCTTAAAAATTTCCAGTGTTGGAGCATTCACAACTTCTGGAAGCAAGTTGTTCCACTGATTAATTGTTCTAACCGACAGGAAATTTCTCTAGTTCTAAATTGCTTCTCTCCTTGATTAGTTTCCACCCATTGCTTCTTGTCCTGCCCTCAGGTGCTTTGGAGAATAGCTTGACTCCCTCTTCTTTGTGGCAGCCCCTAAGATATTGGAACACTGTTATCATGTCTTCCCCTAGTCTTTCTCTTCATTAAACTAGACATACCCAGTTCCTACAACCCTTCTTCATATGTTTTAGCCTCCAGTCCCCTAATCATCTTTGTTGCTCTTCTCCGCACTCTTTCTAGTCTCAATATCTTTTTTACATCGTGGCGAACAAAACTGAACGTAGTATTCCAAGTGTGGCCTTACTAAGTAATTATAAAGTGGTATTAATACTTCACGTGATCTTGATTCTATCCATCTGTTTATGCAGCCTAGAAGGTTCATTTAGCACTTGACAAATTTATAAAAAGGCCTTCTGAACATAATTGTCACGTATTTTTCAAAAAGGGCTGCAACTCCAGGAGGACTCGCAAATTATACTTTGGCTGGTTGTGCACTTGCAGGTCCCTTCAGGGCTTGAAGCAATTGAGATGGCTGATGTCTCCTTACAGGCATTGGAATACAATGAAGGCAAGATGGCTGCTGTCCTCAAGGCATCATCTCTTGGTTTCAGAATGCTGGTTGGTTCTCTCACAAGACTTACCAGCCTGATCCTGCTCCAGTGGGTTTCTACTGGTTTGCCCCAGTTCGGGCGAACTGGTAGTGGCGGTGGGAGGCTCCACCCACCTGCCCAGACGTCATCACAAACACTCTGCGCATGCATGCTCACAGTTCCAAACCGGTAGTGAAGGTAAGTGAAACCCACTACTGTCCTGCTCCCATTTGAGGCTTGATGCCAAAATTGACCATGCTAGAACATTAAAGACTGGTAGAAACAGACTGTCCATCTTGCCCCCAAGACACCAAGGGAGCCAAGTATGAAAAATTATTCATGAACATTACTACCAAGAAGGCGATCTTCTATTTCTCTGCCATGATGGACAGGATATCAAACAGTGATGTTACCAATAGAAACAAGTTGAAAAATGTGATGGTAATAATTAGTCGATAATCTAAAGTTCTTGGAAACTTCTTTGAACAATAAAACTATTTTCTAATTTACAATGCAATCCTGTTTAATGTTATTTATTTCCATTAATTAGATTTACCATTTTTATTTTTTTTAAATGGCCTCCATTTTTCTTATGTGTTGGTGAATCCTCTTTAAATGTACAGCAAGTTCAAGGTTTATGCAGCTCAAAGGGATTTATTGTGTACTAAATACCAAGTTTGGTAGCCACTTTTCCATCTAACGAATTTTATTCATAGCTTTCATAGCTGCAGCTCACAGCTATGCCCTTAACTTCTCAGGCCAGGCGAGGAATAAGGCAAAGGGGAGGGGCCAGCCAGTGATGGGATAGGGAGCCGCAGCAGAGGGCCCAAAGAGCCATAAGCGCCTCCGGAGCCATGGGTTGCTGAAACCCGATTTAGAAGGTTGAAATACTCAGATATTATTACTTTTGTCTTTAATTCCTTGGGTCAGTTTGTCTAAACATCAAACTTGTGTCCATTACTGTATTTATCTTTGCACAAAGTTTATTTCCTCTGTCCTACAGTACACAAAATTCAGAGAGATATTGCTGGCCACAATGCCATATGTCGTCATATAATGTATGTGTTGGGACCAGTGATGGTGCTGTTGGGATAGATCTGGTGGCAAAGTAGATTTGGTGTAAGGTCTGTTCCCATTAAATATCAGTGTCCCTGTTATTTTGTATTACTTGTAAAATCAGATTGGGTGTTATCTGTATGCAGATATGGGCCTCCCATACATGACCTGAGGAAATACAGTGTGATTGTCCACTATGGGCTACACTATGGTACATTGTACCACAGACAAGCATGGCTGTCCTCCTACAAGGTCTATTGTGAACAAATTTCTCATCAGTAATTTCAGAGATAACAAACTTGGAGCAAGACTTAACTTACAACATTTCTCTGATATAATGCAGAGACTTAACAATTAGTGTATTTTGACTTCAATGAACCAAATTGGAAATTTTACTTCTTTGTTGTATTACTGTTACATACTGAGTTGGTGTGAATCCAAAGCATACAACTAACAAATCAATAAAAATGCCTTAATGGTTTTCATGAGTTCTTCTTTATAAATACTTAAAGTTCTATGTCAGTAGTGCTATGTAAGTAGTATTACAGGACTATGGATGTATGTCAGTTTGTAGAACAATTTTTTTACAAAGTTTGATGCAAGAAGCTATTAAAAACAAATATTGGAAAACAATTTATGTTCATTTCAAAATCTATCCAGAAGATTCCTTGATAGGGGTTCCCATTAATAGACCAAGCTCTATGCAAGAACAATTTATAGATGCTAGCAATTTAACTCAGTATGCATAGGATTTGAAATTTTTCCACACAATTCTGAACATATTTTCTGAAGTCCATAGCAAAATTAAATTGAACATGCGCTGGAATAAGTGAAACGTTTTACCTTATTGGCACAGCATTCCACAATATTATGTGATTGCCATTTAAGTTAAAAGGAGGGTATTTCTGTTCATTATTTGCCAAGTTCTATGTTTCTAATACAGAAAGTTTCATAGGTTTTCATGCAGTACATGGTTTAATGCACAAATAATTAAAGAAAATGCTTCATTTTCATTTCAAAAGATCAAAGGATATTAGTTGCCTCGGGGATTTTGTATCATCTCCTGACATATATGTGTGGAACTGTATGTCTGACTTGAATCCAAGGTCACATCTAATTACAGATCAAATTTTAGCAAAGAAGTTGTTTAGAGAAATAAAGCTGAACACAAGAACTCAGAAAATATATTGCTTGTTATCATCAAAACTGTATGTTTTTAAAATTTACCTGGTTGTATTTAATTCAAACCAACTTATCCTCTATCTCTCCTCAAGCCTGTTTACTCAGCTGGATACCCACAGGGTCCAATTTTCTTCGCACTGGTCCTTGAACACTCATATAATTGCCATTCATATAAGTAACTGGCTAACCTACTGTGCTGTTATCATGCATTTGCTCATATGTGGTATCAGGCAACTCCTCAAAATTAATTTTCAGCTTCCCAATTCTGTTAACTACTGTACATGAAAAGAAAGATAAGATGATCACAAATGTGGTTCAGAAAGACAAATGGGAATAGTGAATATATCCACTTAATACCAAAAAATAGTAAAAATAAAATATGTCCATTAATAGAGATCAGATATTTTGACTTCATCTCTTCCATACGGGAAGCACTTTTCATAACTGAGTGTGATGTGCACATTTCGTATGCAAACCTGTGCTATTAAACATCACACTTGATAATATACCACATATAGTAAAAAATATATATGAGCCTTGCTGGATCACAGCAAAGACTCTTCTATTTTAGTATTAGTTCCCAGAACTGGTTGGTCACATATTATTGGGGGGAATATATTAATCATTTATGAAATATCCATTACATCCAATAAAATTATAACAATAATGAAAAACAGAAGTGACAAAATATATTGCTCTAATAATTTATTTCATGATATTTTGCATATGGAACTACAACTATGTTTAGAGGGTTTCTTAATTTAAACTATAAAACCCAATGTGCAACATGTTTACTACACATGGAATTCTGTAAGGAATTTAGGATTTGAATTCAAATATTAGAAAACTGTTCAAATATACACATTTTTGTAAGCAGCATTATATCTCTTAAAAGGGAATACAAGCACACAATAGTTTATTTATAAATAAGATTTCCAAAAATACAGTACAGAACATTTTTAACAGAAGTAAATTAAATCACCCACATTTTTTTTAAAAAAATCATAAATATAACCCAAATATAATCACCAATATAAGTACAAAAATAAGATCTACAAAGTAAACACATTTTTGTTCAGGATATTACTGTACAATAATAACAGTAAACTTATAATCTGATTATTATCCACAAATTCCCTTCTGCCAATCCTATCTGCACACAATAGTTCAACAGTTAAATGAAAGCAGCAATGAATGCTGAATGTAAACAGGTTTGATGATTTTAGAAATAGTCTAGATACAACAGGTGCGAATCAAACAGTAGAGGAGTTAAGATTTGGAGTAAAAAATAATACTTTCCTGTTACAAAATTTTATCCTTTGTGTGTCATCATCGAACAAGAGTTATCATGGCATTTAGGCTGCAAATTGTTCAGAACAACCACTACACTTTTTAGAACAGCAAATAAAAAAGATACTTCAAATGATACTGCAAATAATGTCCCTCCATTTCTAAATATACAGCAATCAGTAGCTCTTCATATTCTAATGTTCAGAAATTATTAAATGGAAGTCCATGGGATTGTGTAAAAATAAATACCGGGAGCTGGACTTTATAGACCTGAGTTGTGATTGGAAGGATATCCTTACCTCAGTATTTTTAGGCAGTTTTCTACATTATCTGATTTCTTTTGGTAAAGCTACTCTATATCATGTTTCAGGAAACCATTCTTTAAAAAAGCATATGCATTTATTAGGGTTAAGTGAATGACTATTATAAAAAGCAATTTATTTTGTGGAATACAATCGATTTGCAGCGATCATACAGGAAAATGTGTCTTCTGAAATATATCTAGGTCTAAACGCTCCTAGAACTCAAGGGACAGTTACTACCACACATTGCCATATTCATTAACAGTGAAAAGTTGCTACTGTATATACTTCCATAGATGCAGCATATGCCAGTTGAAAGTTCTGGTGGTGGTGGTTTTTTATTTTTATGTTTTAATATATAATTATTCTTACCAGATTTTAAAAAGATATTTATTTTGAAAATAATTATTCATCATCGTAATTATTGCTACCCACATTTCCCTTAAACTATGACATTTCAGGAAATTCCAATACATTTCACTTTGTCAGGCTGAAGGACATTATTCTTGCTTTACTGTTACAAGTGATCAGCAACTAAGGCAAAAGTCAGAAGTACAATGCAAATAAAGCATCCTGTTTAGAGCCCCTATTTTCCACTTCTAATTATTGTGAGAAATAGGTGCACAATTGCATCACCTTTTCACTTCCGATATCATTACACCCCCCCCCCCCCAAGGTCCTCTGGCAGGACTCCCAATATCATTACACCCACACCCACACCCAAGGTCCTTCTGGCAGGCTTAGGCAACAGTAATCAAGAGGCAAATTTCTAGTGGTAGAAAATTGGCCTTATATAATGTGGGATTTTTTAGTCTCTCATGGAATTCATTAAGTTTCCATGAAATACAGTTTGAAAAACTCTGCTCCAGAGCTCCTGGATGGAAGCTATTTAAATGGGGTAGCAACCTAAGGATAAAGATCTTCTGGTGGTACAGTATGCAACATCAAATTGCATGTTCAATAAATATGTCATCAGTAGATGGTCAATAGTAAGGTAAAGGTAAAGGTTCCCCTTGCAGATAAGTGCTAGTCGTTCCTGACTCTAGGGGGCAGTGCTCATCTCCGTTTCAAAGCCAAAGAGCCAGCGCTGTCCGAAGACGTATCTGTGGTCATGTGGCCGGCATGACTAAACGCCAAAGGTGCATGGAATGCTGTTATCTTCCCACCAAAGGTGGTCCCTATTTTTCTAGTTGTATTTTTTACGTGCTTTCGAACTGCTAGGTTGGCAGAAGCTGGGACAAATAACGGGAGCTCACTCAGTTACACAGCACTAGGGATTTGAACCGCTGAACTGCCGACCTTTCAATTGAAAAGCTCAGCGTCTTAGCCACTGAGCCACTGCATCCCTTAACGTGGCTCAGTGGCTAAAACGTAACTGACCTTAACGGTCAATAGTAGCTCTCCATAAAATTGATAATTTGTCTTTTGAACAGCCCAAACCAGATTGAAGACATTATTAAGGAAAGGCGCTCTAAAGAGTTGTGTGCTAACAGAATTCAAATCCTATCAGCAGAATTGATGGTAACCTATAAAGGCTTTGAAAAGTTATACTAGCCCCTATGTAGAGGTAAGAGAGGATCAGGATGTCCTCAAAAATAGAGCACAGCTAAGCTGACTTTTGATAGCCACAGCATCAAGTCACCCAGAAGTTCTAAATGTATTCCTGCAATGAACCAGACACACAAGAATTTCACTGGAAACACAGGTGATTCTTCATCTTCTTGTGCCATATCCGTCATTGGAAGGATATTAGCAATCATGTTGGTGATCCTATTTTTATCAACAGCTGCACGAAAAAGTGCTGCTGAGTTTTGTCCAAACTATCCTGTTGTTAAAAGTTATCCTAGAGTTGATAAAAATAAATGGTTAATTTTTTGGTCAAAGTCAATTGGCAAAATTCTTAATTTTAGTAGGAAGGTGTCTATTAAATGGCAGGAACAAATATGGAAATATGTCCATCAACAAGCAACTTTTATTTATAAGAATCACAGTTGGCACAGAGCATTAAACCTTCAAGGTTAGAATAGGATTCTTCTATTTACAAATAGGACACATGATTTAAGAAAAACAACAGCTGTATGAGCGTGAATTTTAAGTCGAAACGCCTTGCACATTTCAGTCAAAACCATTTTTTCCCTATATTTTACTTTAATAATATTGTAGCTCAACAGATACTTTTTGTCATTGAAATCTCAGGGAAAAAAATTGGATGAATTGCAATGGAACTACTTATCCCAAGAAGCTTTGCAGATGGCACAATATGGAGGCTTCACACGCATCCAAAACACACTGGAATTCAGGCAGAAGCGGCTGTAGGCTAACTGAGCCAAGTCACTTGTGCTACACAGATGGCTGCCAGAATGCACAGAAGGTTCAGCTAACATGGGCTGTGGACCCCGTTAAGGATTGGAAGGCTTGGACCCCCACTGTAAGCCATATACCTGGGAAAGGTGGAGGACAATGGTATGCTAGTCCTTAAAACCTCCATCAGTCAATAAAACCCAACCTATCACTCTGATCACTGGGAACTTTGCCATCAGCCTACCAATTTGCTTTCATAATTATTCAGCTGTTATGAAAAAGCTCCCAAGCATTCTTTTAGTTGTGGATTATTCACTGACCTCTTGGTAATATACTCCACTTAGCACATACAAGGCAGAATTATAATTCATCTTTCTAAAGGGCAACAGTGAATTAAGATTGCAATTTTTAACAACAGTTCTGGACAATGGAGAATCTAACATACTATATATATACAGTAGCTATTGATAGCTATATGGTTATCTTATAAGAACACTGGTTAAGAACTTTTTATGAAGAGATGAATTGCAGTTACAAAATAGGTCCTTAGGAAACAAAACTATTACTAATTATTCCAAACTATTTTGAGGGGATCCTAAATAAAAATGCTAAAATATATTAACTAAGCAAATAATGCGGTCTAAAATATCTGTAAATAATTTAGGTGCTAAATAACTGTCCAAATATTGTATAATTTGCACCATATAATACTTAGCATTTTGTGAACAATATCTACTCTGAACACTTGTTTAAATTCATGCACCAAAATCAAGAGATTATGAACAAATGTAACAGATGCAGAATAAGAAAGAAAATTAAGCAGCTGTCCTACTCATATTAAAACATATTTAGTCACAACTAACCTCTCAATTTATTATCCTAATATTATCTTTTATATACATAGGGAAAACATTTTCCTAAATCTGGATTTTAATGTTTATGAAAATCCACAGGACTATCAATATTAAAAAAGGCAATATCTCAAAACAGATATTCTCAATACTCTCTTTAAACCAACATTACTATATGCATTATATGACATTATATGTCACTATTTCAAAGAATATGGAGAATGTTTGGAATGAAAACATTTTACTGAACTTTTTATCTTAATAGGCACAAAAATCTATTTCTCTGACACACCTTGGTTTGTGGGTTTTCGGTTTTTTTGGGACAGGAACATAATTATTTTTTATGATCCATTTTAATATGATCACTGACCAGTCAAGCAGCTAACATTATTAACTGGCAGATCAAGAAAGTACAGAATCTTATTGTATTATCTTTTCCTTTATGGAAAGAATTTGGTGTATAATCTTGCTGCATCACCTACACAACATGATCTAATGACTTTTTTCTCCTACAAATTCATTATGTGTGTATGAAAAAATAAGGCATACAACTACCTACTTTTCTTAATAGTAATGAAATTGCACAAATCAACCAAGAGAGGGCACTTCAAGAACAAAATAAGGGTAGATATCTCAAGTACTGTACAAACAATATGGGACAAAGGTTTATGTACGTATATTCTAGATAGCATTAATTTTTTGGAAAAGACATATTCATAACACTTTTTTGCCACATTTAAACAACAATCAAGTATGGAATGCAGTCTGTTTAGTATATGTTTAGCTTTCAATGCTTTCTCTATTCTCAATTTTAATTTTGAGCTAAATGTTACCAATGAACGTTCTCCACAGACTAGCTTTTCTGATTTAAAATCTATTGGTGTTGCAGAATTTGGCGCTGCAGTTCGTAAAAGAATGCATTCAAGAGTCATTAAACCCTGTAAATGGATCCAGATGTCTGAGTGACTTTCAAGACATGGGAGACAACACAGTCATGTCATTTTGGAATGAATTTGAAAGGTTCTATCTGTAAATTATTTAAATTCAATCAATATCCTATTATGTGCCAAAGTTCTCAAGGTGGAACTACCAAGGGCTACTCCAAAGTTTATGCAAAACGTAAAGTGATATTTATTTATATCCCAATTATTTTTATAAATAATTCAAGGAACATACCTAATATTCCTTTCTCATCCTACTGTATTCTCCACCTAACAACCCATGAGTTGAGCTGAGAGAAAGCCTGACCCAAGATCACCCAGGCAGCTTTTGTGCCTAAGGCTGGACTAGAACTCACAGTCTCCTGACAAAACTGGTTGTCTAGACCAAATTAGCTGTAATAGTTTCATCAAAATAATTATACCAGTAATGTAATAAAAACTGCCAACACATACAGTATTTATATGAGAAGATGGGAGACAGATTAATGGTGAAATTCATGTTCCATCTGTGAATTATTTGGTAATAAATATATTTCACAGCTATTATACTTCATAACATCCTATGTATGTGTCACTACATAATATATGACTCCTATCTGACAGAGTGAAGCAACAGGATACTTGGTTCCAAGGAAGTCTCTATATTAGAGATTGAAACTTGCACAGAATACATTGACAATACTTTAGTTGGACTTAGGTCATGCTGGTCATGACCGGTACTTTACTCTCCATTAGCAGGGAATGCTGCATGTGGCATAGGTACACTACAGCTAGTAAGATAGTTTACACCTTCTCTTACTAAAAGGCGATAGGGGAAAGAATAGTTAAGCAAAGCTAAGTTGGACCACAGAAGTTATTACCTTTAAGGTCCATCAGGGAACAATCTTGACAAGTAGAAGATGAGGAGCACAATGTGGATCATTAAAGAAGTAAAGGCCCAAATGCATGGACTAACAAGTGAAATATAGGAAAGAAAAATAAATATGTTGTATGTCTGTGAAACATTGAAGAAGACGTAATAGATGGGAATGTAGGAGGTTTATACTTTTTGAATTAAAGAATATGTTAAAAAATAAAGATATAGTTCCAATAAGGAATGGGTCAAAATATGTCAGAAAATATGAACTGGCATTATTTGAGTGGTTATGGGTGCATACAAAAGTATGAACCTATAAGTTGGTGATAGTTGCTCGTTTATGTTCCAATGTATGTAAATGGTAGAAGAAGTAGGAAGGCGACATGGAAAATGTGCAATGTAATGAATGAATGAATGCAATCCAGGTGAAAACATTGGTCTTTTAGGTCAGGGGTGTCAAACTCAAGGCCCAGGGACCGGATCTGGCCTGTGGGTATTTAGATCTGACCCGCAGGGCCACTCTGGAAACAGTGAAGGACTGGCCCACAGTGCTTCTGCCAGCAAAAATGGGCTCCCGAGCTCCGTTTTCGGTTGCCACAGTCTCCTTCAAACCTCTGCCAGTGAAAGCGGAGCTCGGGAGGGCTGTGTGTGGCCCTCCCAAGCTCCATTTTCACTGGCAGAGGTTTGCAGGAGGCGTGGCAACCGAAAACGGAGCTTGGGAACCTGTTTTCGCTGGGAGAGCGCTCGGACCACCACAGGCACCCTCAACAGGAGTGACACCAATCTGGCCATGTCCACCCTGGCCAAGTCCACCCCGGCCCCCTGAGGACAAACACAACCCTGATGCGTCCCTCAATGAAATCGAGTTTGACACCGCTGTTCTACATCATTTGAATGAAGTAAAAGAAAATATAGAAAAGGACTGGACTGTTTAGACACCCCAAAATGAATGACAATGATGAATATATGGTGTGTATCTGCTTAGAAAAAGTTGCAATTTTTTTCAAATTCATAAGCAAGATTCAGTTCATTTGTACATATAGCAAGCACATAAATTTAAAAGTCTGGTTGATTTGATTGTTTATGATGAAAGCTTGAAGGGGATAGAGGCATGGTAAGAGAAGCTCTGAGTGTGGAATAAACCATTTTTGGGACTGTCAAGAATGGATCGTCAGAAAAAAATGACCATGACAGAAAAGGAAAATGAAAGAAATGAAAGTTAGCCAATTTCAGAAAGATGATATAGCTATCTTTTATGAAAAAGTGTTAGAAGACAAGATAAATCTCCAATCAGAATGAATGGAAAGTAGACATAAGGAAAGAGGATATGGAAGCTGTTCGAAACAAGTGAACAGAATGTTATATTAACAGATACATGTATAATCAGTGTAAACATCTGTCAGAAATGGTTTAGCATAATTTGTTGTTTTTGTATATCAATTGAACTAACATCTGTCATCAGTATTTATTCTGTGTGCCATTACTCATAAAATGATATTGATGCTCAAGAATACAATTGTACATCAGTCCAGATCTGTAGGGAAAAGGTGATTTGAAGCATCCCTGCACGCACCTCTTAGCAACTCAAAAGAAGCAGCATCTGTTCCTGGGGCTGCCTCACTAGCCAGTATGTATCTGCCCCCAAATACAGGTAGTCCTTGACTTACAACAGTTCATTTAGTGACAGTTCGAAGTTACAATGGCACTGAAAAAAGTGACTTATGACCATTTTTCACACTTATGACCATTGCAGCATCCCCATGCTCGTTTGATTTACATTCGGATGCTTGACAACTGGTTCATATTTATGACGGTTGCAGTGTCCGGGGTCATGTGACCCCCTTTTGCAACCTTCTGAGAAGCAAAGTCAATGGGGAAGCCAGTTCACTTACCAATCGTGTTACTAACTTAACAACTGCAGTGGTTCACTTAGCAAACATGACAAGAAAAGTCATAAAACAGGGCAAATCTCACTTAACAATTTTCTCACTTAGCAACATACATTTTGGGCTCAATTGTGGTTGTAAGTTGAGGACTATCTGTAACTATGGGCCTCACAGTTAGGTATGGCAGGCTTGCAGCTCTTATAAGCACAAAGGCTCAAAAGTACAGTAGAGATGCAAGAACTGAAGTTATCTTTCACTTCTTGACTTATTTGGCAAACGTAAGTGGAGAAAGGATAGGATAAGGCCAAGTGAATGAAAAAATGCATTCTCAACAATGCACATAGGTACATCATGCCTGTTGTAAGCCTGAGCTTAAGCCAACATGTCCTCCCAGTTGGGCCTATTTATTTATTAGAAGAATATCCTGCCCTTTATCCAGAAGCTCAGGGCCACTTCCATACCCCCATACTTCTTAATTACCTAAGGGGATGCTTCTTAAGAGAGTTTTCAAAACTGATCACTGATCACTGATTTTGTTTCTATATAAGCCTCAGCTCAGCAAGCATTCGTTTTAAAAGAATGATCTTCCTAAAATTTTACTACTAAAAAATAGCTGGGATGCAAACCAAAAGACTAATTTATCTACAACTCAAATTGCCTATTTTTGCCAATCATAATCTTGCTTTGCAGGCATGCCTGCTTCGCTTCATATTTAGAATGTTAATAGTAGATAATGCTAAATGTAACATCTATATTTACTATACAAATACTATTGTTAAAATATCTCCAACATATATTACCTGATCTATGGACGCATGAAATTTAAATTTTAAATACTTCTAGTGGCGACAGTACAAAACAGGAAACATAGTACATAGAAACAACACCACAGTACTGTATATGTTTTCAGTAGATACGATATAGTAAATGTTGATAAATTTTATAGGCACAATCGCACCAAAATTAGGCACTTAGTAGAATCCTATGCATATCTATTCAAAATAAATCACTTATAGGTAAGTGTGTAGGATTGCAGTTTAAACGCATAAAAACGTATCTGCCAGTATTCCATCTGCAACACAGCAGCTTGCCTGTTCTTTTGGGAGTGAATGAAAAAAAATACTAAATGTACCACTAATATAAGTAGGATTTAAAAGGTGCTTAACTTTGGCTGGATCATGGCATAAGCTTTGTTTTTTTTAACTCAGTATATACTTCTAAGACACATCTAGCACTTAAGGCTAATTATTGCATGTACAAAGAAGAAAATTGCACATTTTATAACCTATTTTTCTTTCAAAACAGCAATGGATTTTATGCCTTGTTTTTACATAACAACAATTTTTTTTTTAAAACATCAGGAACAAACATCATTCTTCCTTTTAAAAATCCATTGTTAAAATGCCAGTCTTCTCTAGAGATAAGCTGCATTTTAACAACATGCATCATAAATAAAAAGGCATTGGAGGCATTAAAACTAATGAATATGAAAACAGACATTTCTACATAACCCAGCTAGTACGACTGATAAAAAAAAAAAAAGCAATTCAAACCAGTCAAGACACTTCCGAACCTGTTGATCTGTGTAAATGACAGAATTTCTAGCAAAATCAATTGTATTATCCAGTATCAAAAGCAAAATAATATTTGTACATCAATCATTGTTTTTATTATGACCCTGCAGTGATTTCTCTGCGATGCTAATCTGAATGTAAGTACACTTTGAACGTAAATAGGGAAGTGTGCCTTAATCCCTAAGCAGAATAAAGATCTTCATTATTAAAATAAAGCCTGGGGCACGTTGTGACGTCTAAGATTGGTGGGTAGATTTTAATTGACTTTAGGAGTGCCGTAGTTCTATTATCACAAAACCTGCAACACACATCCAGCATGGAGAACCCATCTGTGCCTACCATCCATCTGTTTAGACGTGATTGGCAAAGTGGTAGGGAATGCGCAGTGGTCGCCTTTGCCTGAAAGGAATAAACCACAGGATCTTCCAGCGAGTGCCAAAAACTTCTGAGAAGGTCTGCTGCCATGGCTTTCGAGGTCTTGATCTACAGACAACAGCATTATTAGTGAAAGACAGCACTCCCATGGTGCACTTCAGTCAACTAGAACAATACAGATTGGCTGGGGATCCATTACTTGACTCTGATGAATTACATCTGAGTCGCCATTAAGCAAAGCTTTTCTTTCACTTCAGCGGCAGCTGAGACTCTAAGAAACACAAACTGCCTTTGCACTTATAGAACTAAGATGTTCCTCATAATCAACAAACTGTTTGCCAACAAAAGAGAGCAAAACAAAACAAATTCCCTTTCTGGACCATGCTTTGAAAGCATTGCTTTGAATGTATCAGATAGAACTTTTTTTTAATTAAAGCACCGTGTGAATCATTGCGAAAAAGGTAAGCTAAGCTTTCATTAATGCCCTACGTGTATCTCACACATGCATTTTATTGCCAAGCTCTATAAAGACTTTAACAAAACAAAATGATACTCACATTTCTTCACAACAGTTGGCCAATTTTTCTATACTTGTAATGTCCTATTTTAAGAAAAAAAAAAAAAAAACTTAAATATTTCTTCCTATCATGAAAATACAAAGAACATTATTCTTCAAAAATATATACAAGTAGCACGTAAGTAGAATGCTTACAAAAACAAAAAAGAAAATTTTTGACATATCTTTGACAATGAGGTATTCTATTTCTCTCTGTGTGTATAAGCACATACAGATACAGATAAAAAATATATAGGTAACAAACTTTCTAGAGTTTTACTGTAATCTTACCACCCAAGAGAAATACAGATGTCTTCTGTTTCAGTGTGAGTTTCTTACTTGGTCAGATGATGTAATGCGGTGTTTCAATTGTCTGAATATAATGGATCTTTAGAGCTGTGGCCAAAATAATTTCTTTTATTTGTTATGCTTGATCAAACTAGTGTGCCACTTATTATTTTAGCAAATATTAAATTGAGAATAATGAGATGTTGACTGAAATAATTCAGGTATTTTCTGAAATTAAAACATATCCTTAATTTAAACTTTGAATTAAGAAGTAATTCCTTTTTAAAAAACAAAAAACAAATTGTATAGTATAGCATGTATTGTGGAGTTGTAATTCAGACCTTGGTCAAACTGAAATAAGAGCAAACCCTTTTAGTCTCATCCGGTCTTCGTTGAACTATTTGAACTGGACAATTAAATTAATTAAAAATCTCTCCAATATGACAGAATGCAATTCAGCATCCTCAGCTTGAGCAATACAGCCACATCAAGGAAACAGGACATTTTTCTTTGGATCTTAGGTAATGACTGGGCTGGCAGATGACCTCTCCCAAGTCAAGGTTAATTCAAAATATCCTCCCAAGCAGAAGGGAAATCTGACATTCATTTTGAACTGGGCTTTGCTAGAGGTTCAGCATACAAAGTCACGAAAGTTACAGTATTAGATTTCTTTCAAATAATAATTTAAAATTAAATGAAGGCAAAAGGGAAAATAAATTAAAAACAATGCAAAAAATGTCAAAGTAATAAACAAAAAACAAAAAAAGACTGAATATGAATAAACTTACATTTTTCCATTCTTACTTTATTTTCACATTTATATGTGGGAATTTAGAGAAACAAAATTTAAGCAGACAGTGCAGATATTGTTTGACTCTATTTCACTATAAATATTCACTTATACAGAGTGTTATAACCATATTAATTCAGTATTAATACCAAGGTTGTATTCTCTGTTCCCTATTTAAAGAATTTTTATTATCTGGATTTTAAAAAAAACTTTTAACCATGGCCATCTGGTTGACTTAACCTGGAAACTAAGCAGGATAGGATTACTTTGTATTTGAATGGGAACCAGTATGATTATAATCTAGACTAGCAAATTAAAAGACATGCACATTTCAGATTAAGGCAATGGCAAAGCACTTCTCTAAAACTGCCAAGTAAACTGCTCGGTTGTGTCCACATAATCACAAGAAACATAATCACAAGGCATCTTTTTTGGGCTTACAATTCAAACACGGACATATGCAAATTTTTGTATAAGAAACGTAAGTATCTTAGACATCTACCTTGAAGTCAAAGTTTTCAATATCTATGTTTAACATCCAAATTCACGCAGAGAACATCTCACAAACACCAAAATGCAAAAGCTATACTGGATTGTGAAAATTCTAGGATGAATATGTAACAAAATGCTAAGCATGAATGGTAAGGAAAAATTCTCAAAAAAATGAAAATCTGCTCATGCTAAAGATGTCTAGATACTTAAGAAAAGAATAGCTTTTTTGACATATATGACATAACCTATGGGAAGAACATGGCATCAAGTAAATCAATTTTTAAAAAAAGAACTTAAGGAAAGACTACAATTCTTCAGAATTGTACAAAAATTCATTTACACGGTAAGAAAAGAACATTATTGCAAAATTGCCTTCAGACTAGATCTAGATGTAAAAACTGTTCTGGTAAAAAGGAAAAAATACATACATTTGCCACCCTGACCTGACCTCAGGAAGCAACAGCAGGCCTTATCAGGGCATTGATTAATTTAATAACACTTCAGAAGAAATGTTTCGCTTTCTGAATTGCCAACATTTCCTTTAGTGTTTAAGCTTTCTCCCATAGCTGTACATCTAGCTACTGACCGGGAATGACCCTACTTAGCTCAGTACATCTGAGGAGATCACAGCTGGAGGCACCATAGCTCAATGGCATCTTAAATAAGTCACAAAAATAGCTTATATGAAATAACAAGCTAAAAATCTGTAGTATCTGCTGGTAAAAAAATAAAAAGACATCTTGAAAATTTGGAAAACAGTTTCCAATTTATAAACACACACAGGCAGAAATATCAGTCTTAGGATCAGCTTCCCTGACCAATTTTAACCCATCTCATGTGCAGGAGAAGCTTTAGAAAAAGTGGATGAAGTCCCAACAATGTTTTTCGGATGCAAGGACCAATATTAGGGTATTATTTACCCTTTGAAATTCAATAAGTTCCTACTTTATTAGTCTAGAAAATGAGATGAAATAGAATTAAGAGGTCTTTCATTCTTTGTCTTTCCTCATTTCTATGATGGCTATTCTATACTTACGGCTTTTTTTGATTGCTTACTTAATGCACTGTACCATGGCTTTTTAATGTCATGACCGTCACCTGATGAATCGCTCAATTGCAACAGGTAAAAAATAATCAACCAACCAATTCAGGTGCAAGGATAGACTAAATTTTCCAATATGAGAAAACCGTATAGCTCCTGGAATAGGTTGGGGAATGTTTTATTGGCCTAGACTACCATTTGCTCCTTATGAGCTGGAAAGGTCACTTATTCAGCCCAATTTGGGTTTACAGGGGTTGAGTTTAAGAGAGGAAATGGAAATGGAAGACCTCTGGGGCTCCTCCCAAAGTCACTGAAATCTTAAGCCTGTTCAATTCTTCTCTCCCTAAACAGCAGGGAAATGTGCTGCTACCATTCAGTGAGAAAATAGTTTACTGGAGGCCTATTTAGACAAGAAGGCTAAAATAGTTTGCCTCCTAGAAGCTTCCTCTACCAGGCACTCCCTTATTCTTAGAAGATTAATAGAGCATAAATGAGATTCGCTGATAGCCTCGTAGGGCACAAATTGTATTTATTTTTAGGATATCTGAAAAATTATAGCCAGAGTGTAATCACAGTACAAATGACATATAATTGTAACCATTCAGAGATCGGCCACCTGTGGGCTGCAAATGCAACCCCTCCCCAGTCCATACTTCAAATTTGCCTTGCTGAAATTTAGCTGTAAAATGGCTGGTGTCAGGCAATAAAATATTCTTCTCCTTTTTCCAAGGATAACAGTGAGTTTGGAGTCACTAATTACAACACAGCCTGAAAATGTCCCATATGCAGATCTAGTCTTCTTCATTGAAAGTATAACATTGGCTAGAACACTTGTACAATTCACCATTTTAATTAAAAAAATGTGTAAAGAAATCAATTTGCTTTGGTTGAACCATTCAAGAATTCCAAAAGACTAACTTGAAGGAACCCCAAAACAATACCAAAACCGATATCACGATCTACATCTGAAATGCAATGAGCTCCAGACTATCATTCTTTTTTTAAAAAATCTGTTAACTCTGTTAATCATTTGCAATAACATATGGAAAATAAAAACAGATCCTGTTTAAGATTTTAAATAAAAATAATCAAAGATAATCCTTAAAATTAGGCTTCAGATTAGTCTCTTCAAAGGATGCATTTCAACTAAAAACATCTGGCAGTATTATATTGAGAGACAGATCTTTTCTAACTTTGGAAATGAGATTAGTACAGTAAATCATTCATTTGTAAGTGTCCAAGTAATTTCTAATTATTTTATCTGGGTCATGGATAATCCTCTTTTGCTAACCTCCCACAATGACATCAGAGAATCACTGCTTAAGCGATTATCCTGTTACCATATTTTCAGCAGTTACTGATAACCTGGATTTTTCATTTATACAAAACACTCCAGATAAGTAGCTGATCAAATAAAAATCTAATGTAAAATTTAGTTTAAAAAAAAAAATCGATCCAAAATGTTTCTGCCTCCAAAATTACCAGAAAATAAAAAGGAAAGGAAAAATACTAAATATTATTCATTTTAACTTGTATATTGCATAAAACCTTATTAATTGATTGCACAATATACATGTTGATCATGCTAAATTTTCATTAACTTCAGATTAATTTATTATTGTTGACTTCAGATAACTCAAGCTCTGAAAAGTGCATGAAAGAACAATACGAAGCTAAAAATACTGATTTGTATTTTTTTTAAAATTCAGTAGCTAAGTGATTAGAATTAATTCAGTAGCTAAGTGATTAGAACTATACTGATAAGCTTTGTACAGAAATTGTGAAAATAAGTATACCAGGAAACTACCATTGCAATAACAGCTCTTTAAAGTCATGTGCAACCAATGAACTCATTTGAAATGAACTCATTTCAAATTTCTCACTGCTATGACAATTGAAAAATAATCCGCCACTCCTTCAACTCCTGCATACATTCAATAGAGGTCACAGGAGGTTAACAATACCAACAGCAATCATAGGAAATATACATAATAGTATACATGTATACACTGCCCGAACAAAGTTTAGATCACAACTAGGGATCACAAGTAGTGTCTTGGTGTAAAAACGATTACTGTTTTATAAGCAAGATGAGAACAGCTTCCTACCAGTTACAGATGTGGGTTTAACAGGGAAAGGCTGATTCCTTTCAAATACATCTAAACCCTCCAAAACGTATTTCTTCTCTTAGATACAAGATTTTTAACATAAACTAGAAATTGCAAAAAAAAAAAAAAAAAAAAAGACTCCTTGCGTGTAGCAATGAAGCACATTATTTTTCCATTATACAGTATCTTCTCACTGGGAAATTTTTTTAGAAAAAATTATGGAAGCAAAGAAGGAAGAGGAGCCTTTTTTAATCAATGCTTTAAAATGTTAAAAGATTTAAGCTTCTTTCTAATACATCTAAAGAAATCAGGAATACAGCACTTCTAAACTTTGGATTCAGGCTAATGGTAGGTGGTATTTAGCCATAAGGGTACTTCAGCTGCAGACTTTGTCAGCCAAGGAATTCCAACTGGTGGGGTCAAGAAGATCATTTTCCACCCCAGACCTATGGAACATCCTACCACCAGAAACCAGAACTGCTGCCATCCATCTGACCTTCTGGAAGGGGTATCAAAACCTGGTTTTGCTTCATGTAATTCAGATTACATACTGTAGATTCTTCTACTTTTTTTTCAACAACTCCTGCTGAACTAGGCAATCTTTAGACAGCCAATTATATTTCTCTCTATTAGGGAACAAGTTCCATTTTAAACAGAACTTCATATGTTTGGAGCTATCACAGGTCAAAAACCCTGCACAAATACTTCTTTATTAGAACTCAAAATGGTTACAGAGATTAAGGAACCTCAATAGATAGTTAAAAGTTCAAGCAAACACAAAGATATAAAATCAATAAATAGATGTGTTTATGAAATAAAATGAATGGTATTGGTATTACAAATATTGGTATTGGTATTAGTTTGACTACCCTGATATTTAATCTTTTAGTTGTATTACCAGTATTATATGACCCTTGAGTTAAATTACTTTACTCAACTAAATTTTCAACCCAAATGTCTATCCTTTGATTCTGCATCAATGCTTCCCCAATCATTTCACTTAAAACTCGGCGGGGGCACCTCAATGAGTACTGATTAACTAGAAAAAAGAAAAAGCTGCAGTGCTTAGGCTACCTGGAGATCAGCCTCAGGGCCATGATCTATTATGGCGGCTCCCCCAAAAGAAATCCAAATCAGCCATACTACCCCGGTGTGAGAAAGAATGTTAGACTAAACAAGAAGATAGCCTTAATCTTGATTAAGTCACTTGGGTGGCATTTCAAGAACAGGTTGGGGATATTTCAGGAACAGCTACCGGAAGTATAAAAGTGTTAGAGCCAGAAGTTAGGCCAGAATCCCAGACACTACTTCTAGAAACAATCCACTACACTAGTCTGGCTTGAGAAAGATAGTTGGAATACTTCCAGATCACACTCCCATTCTGAGTGGACAAAGAGAAAAGGAACTGTATCAGAGCACAGTGAAAAAGTTTTATTTGGAGAGAGGGTGTGCACAACTTAATGGCCACCAAATTTGATATCTTCTGATCTAGGGACTTAAGGTTATGCCTTCATCGTTGCCAACTATTTATCCTCTATATCAAACTCCTAAAAAGGACTGGCTGATCTACACTGGTTCTTTGTCACATATAATGGACTAGAGAAATGCTAATAAATTGAAACTAAATTATAACAAGACAGTAACAGTAGCTAGTTAATTCTGAATTGAGTTGGTCCATCCTGTCCTGCAAGGAAATACACCTTCTTCAAAGAACAGGTTCTTGATTTAAAAGGTTCATGATCTATAATTATCATTAGGCACACAATTGCCCCTATAGATGAGGATGGCTTCTTCTAGCACAAGCTTCTGGACCAGCCACAATCTTAATTAGATGGGGATCTAGCCTGCTTCAATAATACATCCTCTGGGAAACTCTCATTTGAATTGCAATTAACGCAGGGCTGCCTCTGAAAATGGTCCAGAAACTTCAGTCAAATGATAATAAAGTTCTGAGACTGGTAGCTGGAACTCAGCACTATGAACATATTATTGCCAACAAAATGGCTGTTATTTGGTTTCCAACTCTGTTTTGACCCTTTAACATTGAACTGATTTGGGCCCAAGGTACTAATAGATGAAATCTTCAAACGTGTATTTACAAAAATCCCTGAGTTTTTCTTTTGGTGCCTGTATCAAGGGAAGTATGATAGTTGCAAGTAAAGGGAGATTTTTTAATGCTACCACCCAGCTACGCAGTATGAGCTTCAGAGATATGGCCTTCCAACTAGTTTCAGCAATCTTTTTCTTTTTTTTAAAATTCTTATAAGCATTTGTTCTAAGTCTTCAAATCTGCCTGTTTCCCCTCTGTTTTTACTGTTTTATATTCTTTTAACGCATTCCTGGCAAATAATTTTGGATTATAACTTTTAGTAAAGAAATTATAACAGGATTAAAAACAGTACAAATTTTAGAAAAGAAATAAAGAAAATAAGGAAAAATAAAGATCAGATAAGAAAGGAAAAAGAAGACAATGTTATAAAGAAGCAGCTTCTGAACTTAAGAATGGTTATAAATGTATTTATATTTTACCCCCTCTCTTAAAATTACATGCTAAGATTACAATTCCCTTCTTTTCATAGCCTACTCTTTCTATTGTCAAACCTATAAATCACATAAATCATTTTTTTCTTCAATAAAAAATCTATAAAGGAATTCCAGTCACTAATAAATGTGGTTATTGTCCTTTCCCTAATCAGGCAAGTCCATTTTGCTATCTTCTTCACCAATTATTCATTTCAGACTCTGTTTTTATGCATATAATCGTCATGCATTAATCAAATACAAAAACAATGTTCCATTATTCTTTTCTAATTGTCTTTCCATTAGTCCCAGCATTCTTTGCAAATAATTGTAGAATGTTATTCATTTAACAATATGATTTTCCCAGTTGTAACAAATAGTTGTGAAAGTTGGACCATCAGAAAGGCTGAATGAACTGAAACCTATAAAACTATACTACTGGGGAAAATTGCTGAGAATACTTTGGATCACAAGAACAAAAAATTGCTCAGTACTAGATTAAATACAACTAGACTGTTTCCAGGAAGCACTTATAATGAAGCAAAAACTTAAATATTATAGATACATAATGTGAAGGCAAGAGTTATTAGAGAAGACCTTGTTGCTAAGAAAAGTTAAAGGCCAGAACAAGACAAGATGTTTAGATAATACTGTTATGAAATACAACACAAGTGGGAGCTTACAAGAACTCAAAAATAGTTGCTATTGACAGACATATCTGGCAAATTGATAAGCTTTGGGTCACAAAGTGTTGGAAACAACTGAACAGCTGAAGAACAACAACAGATTATATACTTTCAGCACTGCATAAATATATTCATAAAAATATTTCAAAGGAATTAAATACTTACATTAAATATACCAATTAGCTGAGTATAAAAGAGTCCAGTAATTCCAACTAACATAATTAAACCCATGAATGTCGATATTCTTGTTAGGGCAAGCTCATGTCTGAACACAAAGACATCCTGTAAAATAAAATATAACAGTTTAATGTTGTTATTCTGATAAGCAGGAAATGCAAAAAGGTACTCCAAAATTCAAAATTACAGGTTCTTTGGCCAAAATATGAGTAGCAAAAAAAAGTGTTCCCTCACACTTTTTTTTGCTACTCATATTTTGTACCATTGTAGATTGTTTTCTACAGGAGTCAGCAATGCATACCCTGATCATCTCCTACATAGCTGATACACTTTAAAAATACAAATTGAGTAAAAACTATTACAAAAACTAAATCTTGCAACAACTCTTGTGTTTCCCTATGACGGCTTATGAAATTTTGACATTTGCAATTACTTCCGATAATTAACAAGAAATCTGTATGCTGTACACAATTCCTTTCTAGAGAAATCTTGCAAAATTACTCCTCCTACTGGACAAACAACTGCAGTATCTGCAGACTTTCCAACAAAATGTGTATTCTTTTACTCCTTTATCAAATACTTCTATGCTGCAGTCATTCCAACATAATGTGCAAATTATAGTCAATTCTACTATGCTAATATCTGTTAGTTCATAAGAAAAGCTTTTATAGTCTACAATCTATTTAATGTAACATAGACCTATTGAAGTTCATTTTTAATATTTATACATTAAAAACATTAAATATTTTTACGGGTTGGATCTTGCTGAAGTTTGTCATAAACAAAGTTTCTGAGTCAATACCTAGTAGATATTACTTTTATTTAGATTTTAAAATCTGGGGGGGAAAAACCCCAAGTAATCGATAATTTGATTCTATCTGCAGTGCAGCCTAACAAACAGTTGTGACAATTGTTGCATGATAGAGATGTTGTGGCTATGATACATCATAGAAAAGCTGAACTAGTCCTATAATCAATCAGGAAGGTAATAATGCTTCAGACCACTTAGTGTAAAGAGAATGAGAAAGAATAAAATATGACAAGGCATTAATTGCTGCAATTGACACTGTGTAAGTGTTGATTATTCTGAATTTTTGTCTTGATAAAACAGGTTTTCCTCACTATTTTTGTTCTTTATTGCCAAAGGACAAAGTAAAAATGGGATGAAGCGGTTCCGCAGAACATCAAGATCTCAACTCCATACATCAATAATCATCCCCAAATTTAGCTGACATTACAGCTGACCTTGTTTAGTGACTTCAACTGGGACTGGCAACTTGATCATTAAGCAAAGTGGTCACTAAATGAGACATCATGACTGTATGATCAGCCTTCCTTTGCTTCACAGACCTGTAATGGTCATGAATGCCAGATCTGATTGCAAAGTTACTTTTCATTACTGTTATAACTGCAAACAGTTACTAAATGAGGCAGTCATTAAATGAGGACTACCTAACATTTTTGAAGCTAAAATTAAATAAATAAATAAATAAATTTCTCTTTTCTTCTACCCTTTCACTGCCTCCCTTCTTCTCTTGCAGCTCTTCCAAGGCATCCTTTCTTCTCCACTCACTCTCTTTTTTCTCTCTTGGCCTAGTCCCTCCCCATTTCCTTCTACCATCTTCTGTGCAATCTTTTCAGGGATCAGAAGGGGATTATTTTTGTAAAGGGTCAGATGCTGCCCACCTCTTTGGATGCTGTTGGAAGATCTGCAGGCCAAGGAACCCAATCTGGAAGCTCAGCTGACACCCAGATCTGGCAATCTGCCACTTACCACCCATCCATTCTTGTTTTTATACAGATGGCAAGCAGGGTATGGTTTAAAGGCCATAATTTGACACCCCCTGCTCTAGATCATCCTATAATTCTCATGGATTCTTATCCTGTTCTCCCAAATGCCCACCAGATTTGGGAGTGTAGTGGTAGTGTTCAATCTGTGAAAGTAAGATAATGGATTCCCTGATCCAAAAGCAACTATTTCAATGACCAAAATACATTAACACATACTTTTTATCCTATTCTGACAAGCAGAAGCTTTTCTTACCACATTAACTTTTCTTAATGGTTCAAAGTAGTAATAGTGGCAGAAATTAAGTAGGAGTGTGTAAGAACTCAGGAGTTCTGTGTAGAAACACAACTGCAAAAACAGCCAATGATTATCTTCACCAACACAATTATTAATCCTGCAGAAAACAATGTAAACACAGAGATAGGTTCGTAACATTCAACACTCAAAGGTTCGTAACATTCAACACTAAAGCAGGTGCATCAAAAACAACTTAGCGGCCTCTAAGGGGAGAAGTGTATTTCCCACGGTGGCTGAAAGAATTGGGGCAACAGAAAAACATTTATCGTTACTTTCCTTTGCATTTGTCCTCCTTCCCTTACCTTCATCAGCTAAATTTGTAGTGGTCCAGTTCTACCAGCTATAACCTTTCACAATAATAAAGTAGTTTAGCTATGCAGGGAATTTTTATAAAGTTGCATCTTTTTGCTCTTGAATGAATATCTTTCTTGTAATAATGTCAGAGGATGATTATATAGTATATGCCAGTAGTCCTTGACTTACAGCCACAATTGGAAGGTCTACCGCTAAGCAATGCGGTCGTTAAGTTATGCCTGTTTTTCCAATTTTTTTTGCCAGGACCTTTAAGCAAATCACAGTTGTGAAGCAAATGCAGCTTCCCCAATTGAGTTTGCCTGTTGGAAAGGAAGTTTGTAAACATTGATCACATGATCCCAGGATTGTACAACCATTGTAAATACATGCTACCCTGTTTCCCCGAAAATAAGACATCCCCTGATAATAAGGCCAATCGGGCTTTTGAGCGCATGCGCTAAAATAAGCCTCCCCCGAAAATAAGCCCTCTCCGCAAATATTTAAACGCAGAGCTGGAAATCAGATAAGACAGCAAGAGGAGCCCCATCTTCCTCAATGCGCCCCAAAATAATAAGACCTCCCCGAAAATAAGGCCAAACGCTTATTTCGGGGTTCAAAAAAATATAAGACAGGGTCTTATTTTCAGGGAAACACGAAAATAGGTTTGGGTAGTTGCCAAGCACCCAAATTATGAACACATGACCATGGGGATGCTGGAACAGTCATAAGTGTCAGGACTGAACATAAATCACTTTTTTCAGCACTATCATAACTTCAGTCAGTTCACCATTTTTTTCTCAGAAGTCCCAATGTTGCATTTTAAGGCTAAGAATTCTTTTACTTCTGAACTACTTTTGAAATATAATAGGAATGTTTCTTGGTTTTATAGGGCGACATTTATATTTCATGTTTAAAAAAAATTAATACAGATAGTCCTCAACTTACGACCACAATTGAGCCCAAAATTTATGTTCATGTGTCAAATTTGTTGTGGGTTTTGCCCCATTCTATGTCTTTTCTTGCCACATTTGTTAAATGAATCACTGCAGTTGTTAATTTAGTAACTTGGTTGTTAAGTGAATCTGGTTTCCCCTTTGCTTGCCAGAAGGGTGAAAAAAGTGATCACCTGACCCTGGGATACTGCAACCATCATAAATATGAGTCAGTTGTCAAGCATCCAAATATAAATCATATGACCATGGGGATGCTGCAACATCACAAGTGTGAAAAATGGTCATGTCACTTTTTTCAGTGCCGTTGTAACTTCAAACTGTCACTAAGCGAACTGCTGTAAGAAGAGGATTACCTGTATTTCAATTTAATATCATTTTGGTTCCTGAAACATTATCATGCTGTAGAATTTAGAAATATGTAATTATTAGAAAATCTTACTGAGTCACTGTAATTAAATTAGAAGTTAAAAAAGATGAAATTATATGACATGCTAGAATCCTCTTACCATGGACAGTGATGATCCATTCTTCTAACACAGTGCCCACATCTACTGCAGTGATGGGAACGCTTTGGTCTCATCATATTACACTTGTTACATAATTCCCAAGAGTCTTTTTCTAAAGAGAGAAATAAAGATAACATTAACTGAAAGGAAGAGTTGTTGCTAAGTTCTTGCTTCTCTTCAAGAACAACAACAGACTTGTTGTACTTGTGGGGATGAATGTTGAGGATTTTAGAAGAAAGCATATAAAATTATGTCCCTTATTGCAATCAATCAAAACTATTGGATTTTCTCATGTAGAACGTGAAACTGGAATCACGGGTCATAATAAAAGCACACTGAAAATAATATCCAGATAAACCTCAGAATTCAAATTAAATCTTAGAACCTATATATAGTCCATTCAAATTCAAATATATTTAGGTATATCTGTCTGCTCTCAATATTTATATGTGCAGATATTTTAAAATTAATTTTATTTTTAAGGATGCATTTAATTCAGCACAAAAATACGTTAAATGAAAGCTATGATACCCATATTTGCTTTATGAAACAAGCAGCATGGTTTTATTTTTACATCTGAGCACACTAAAATAGTGTTAAAACTATTTTGAAACAGAAACTTAAATAGAAGGACATTGACATGGCCAAACGTTTCTTATATGTATATTAAACCTAGTACTTCCATAAAATTACGCTTATAGTGAATAATCCATTTTTTTTTTAAAAAAATGTTTATAAAGATTGATTTTAAGTTTTCTGTGAGTTGCCATATTTCTCAACTTGGTGAAAAATGACATACTTGCACATTGGCAGTTTGGAAATCTAATATTCAAGATCATTAAACTAGCAATAATGCCAGATGGGAAACTGATTTTCAGTCTGTTCTCATAAAGCCAATGTCATAAAGGTGTTACTCTTTAATAAGAGAGCTACCATTAACAGAAGGCAAGCTCCACAATATAATTTAAAAGCAGGAAATAAATGCATCTGACCATACAAATATCGTATCTTTGCTTCTGGAATATTGGGTATATTTGCACTCCCCCTCCCTGCAAAAAAAGAACCTTCCCCAGATTACTTTAATATAATTCAACAAAATCAAGAATATAATCTAAGCTTCTTCTATTTGCATGCAATAAATGCATGGAACTTCTGTAGGCACTTATCTTAATTAAAAAAACTGCCTCTTCTGTTTAATGTTGCTAATTCCATCCACTGGAATGGGGGTAGCCATTTTTGTATGTTGGACAAAACTGAGCTGACCCTCATTTGAAAGCTCCAAATTCAACAATATCAGTTCAAGGTATTTTCCAGCTCTTCCCTCAGCTCTTTCTTGAAAGCAGCCAGTAATTCACTGGATGGTGTGTATAGTAGCCTTTGACTTACGACCACAATTGAGCCCTAAATTTCTGTTGCTAAGCAAGGCAGGTTTTTAAGTGCGTTTTGCACCAGTTTACCACCTTTTTTTGCCAGAGTTGTTAAGCAAATCACTGCAGCTGTCAAGTGACTCATGCTATCATTAAGCAAATCTGGCTTCCCCCAGATTTTGCTTGTCAGAAGCCCGCTGGGAAGGTTACAAATAACGATCACATGACCCCAGGACACTGCACCTATTATAAATACATGCAGTTGCTAGGGTGCCCGAATTTTGATCATGTGACAATGGGGACGCTGCAACTGTCATGTCAAAACCAGTCATTTTTTTCAGTGCTGCTGTAACTCTGAACAGTCACTTAAGGAATGGCTGTACGTCAAGGACTACGTGCATATAAGTTGAAATGCATACCATGACTGAGGATATGAAAAGGTGCTGAGAGATTCAGAGGATCAAGAGTATCAATTCCTTATAGACTTAGGCAACCAAGACAGTTTCCACCATGAGACAGATCAAAACATGGATCAATATTTTGGGCATGTGACTAATTTAAAGCACACAACTTCAGTCATGTTGATATAAGCTGTACCTGTAATTGGTATCTTTGGGCTTTCAGGTAATCTCCCTGGATCTGCTACCGAAGCTCTTAACAATGAGGCAACACAGAACAATGAAAATAGATAGTAGCCTGAAAAACAGATACATTTCCATTCAGAAAACTTTAATTAGTAGGATTTTGGAATTTACAGAGAAGAATTATATATACATTTCTGAAAGTTAAAAGGCACTCTACCTCATGCTTGCCATGTAAAAGAAGAATATTAAAGAAGAAGCAATATCAAACTGTCAAGCAGAATCGCATGAAGAGTATTTAGATGCCTACTCTATTTCCACATAAGAACTGGATAGAATGAAGAAAATGACAAATTTGACTTACATAGTATAGCAGCTGCAGATATGTGTCCTTCTTCATAGTGTGGAAAGAGGATAATTTTTGGAATGAGGAGAGTATTGTAAAGCCAGATAAAGATTAACAGGCCCATACAGAACCAGCCCTGAGGGTCAACAACAAAATGAATTCGTAGTCCCATTGTACATAATCTGTTTGTCCCACACTGAAAGGGGAAAAATCAGCCTAAAGGAGAAAAGAATTGTAATTAGAATTAGATAAGCAATGTGAATAATTAAAAAAACCTAATCATAATATCTGCAAATTTATAAATTTTTTAAAGTGCTTCCAATCTGAAGTTATGTTGGATTGAAATACAGGCAGTCCTCGACTTACAATCACAACTGACAGTGGAATTCTGGTTATAAGTGATTTGGTTGTTTTAGATTGACTCACCATATGACTGGGCTTGATTTTACAATTGTTTTTATAATGGTTGTAAAACAGTCACCACTGTCATTAAGCAAATCATGCAGTCTTAATCCAATTCCAGCTTATCCAATGGGCGTTTTTGAAATTTTTTGAAAACATGTCTGTGGGACGTTGTAACCAGTCATAAATGCAAGCCAGTTGCCAAGCATCTGAAATACAATCATGTGGTGTAGCTGTCGTAACATTGAGAACAGGTTTAACCTATTCTTTGTTGGGGTCCATTTCATAGTTTTCAGGAAGGCACATTGTTCCAGTTTTGACCAATGTAGTCTTATGACATCATGTTGGGTACCTCTTAGGATAGTGAATGAATTACATTCTCCTTTGGCTGGAAATAGGTTGACTGTGATTAGCTACAGCTTTAAAACGATCAGGATGAGTGTTACCATGCCATATACAGTATGTGAGGCTGTGTTTGAAGATTTTGTGAAATTACACTTTAAAGCTGAGTTGTTACATTGTCTACTAAAATGCTGACCATTCATAACCTGATTTCTGGCCCATTTCTGTACATAATTTAGAGTCCTTGTGTGGTTTTGAACTTGTTAATTTGAAGGACTGTATATTGAAGTAACAGATGGAATCTTATCAAAGAGAGATCCAATGTAGAATTAAGGAGAAATTTCCTGTCAGGGAAAATGATCAGAGAAAAGGCTTGCCTCCAGAAGTTGTGGATGCTCCATTGCTGGAGGTTTTTAAGAAGAGACTGGACAGCCATTTGTTTGGAATGGTATAGGGTCTCCTGCTTGAGCAGGGAGTTGGACTAAAAGACTTCCAAGGTCTCTTCCAACTCCTGTTATTCTGTAATTCTGAAGTCATCTTGGAGGATGGCACACCATTAATGGCAAAAGTGGGGATTTTAAAGACTTGGTCTTCTTGACAGAAATGTCCCATCTTTGAAATTGTTTTCTGAAGAAGACTTGCCTGCATCTATACCCTGTTGTCCTTCTGGGAACAAGACATCAGTTTTCCCAACTGCTATATGCTGTTTTTTTAATTATTTTATATAACTACCGGTGTATTGTTTTCATTTATGTGGAAGCAAATCTGAATTGATTGTATAGAGTCGTCTAAATATAGAAAGAAAAATCAAAGACGCATAAAGCCAGAGAGGGTTAACTAGAGGTGGAGATTTGAAAATCATTTAAATAAAGAATAAGAATTACAATGTGGCCTCAGTCTGTAATTATAGTCCTCCACTTACAAGTGGTTGCTTAACAACTGTTTCAAGTTATGACAGATTTGAAAAAAAAGTTACAACCCGTTCTCTGAATAGAGAAGCCACATACCTACAGAATCTTCAATGTGTTGAAATTAAACTTTAATCTCCTGGCTCTCATCCAACCCATCACTGGTTCCAGGTACTGATTCAGCACTTCTGCAGCCTCATCTAAGTGACATGTAAAAGGGAAACAATTTTGAAAGAAAAATAGTCATAATTAACCTTTGACAATTTTACTCAATGGTTTGATGTAGATGCTGAATAACTACTAAAAAGCATCCAAAACCTTGAGGTAGAGTCCTTCAAAATATTGTTTTTACTCCTCTGAACTCTTCCATTTTTCATCGATAACTACAGAAAATAGATTACAATTACTGTGCAGCTGCAATTCCAAACATTCTAACACAAAACTACTGTAGAGTTCTGGATGTGCTGAACTGATTTCTCCCATAACTCTCAATCGGACAAGTATTAACCCTGCTGGCTGGGAATTCTGGGTAATATAGAAATGAAGTGCAGAGAATTTAGCTAACGTGACCACATTCTGTAGGAAAGTAACTATCTTGATTTTCACATAATTTGTCAAGATAATCAGAACAAAATAATGTAGGAATGTTTGTAATTTATTTGAATTAAAAGTATTTTCACAGTGATACTCTGCATGTCACAGGATTCACTGCTTGTTGACAACTTGCTCAATATTCTATTAAAAATTGAAATTATATGCAAACCTAAATTGAACATCAGTTATTTTTTCCCTCTACTTCCCCTTTTGCTTTTCACTTCTTGCCTGAGAGTCTTAGAAGCTCAGAAACTTACAGTTAAATTGTAAGCATTAACTGTAGCACAAAATTCTTATTCTCAACTCCTGCAGAGTATCGTTTTTTACAGAATTTGCTCCAGCAAAATATGCATAGTTACAAAAATGTGTTAAGTGAAGCTCTGATTCCCACATATAGGTACAGAACACTCTATAGGAAATGTTCAAACTCAAAAAAGGTAAGGCAAGTTTTTCTTTCCCAATAAAACTTCAGCAAAGAAATCAGAATTTGCATGAAAACAAGTCATATTCTGAAAACATACAAGAGAAGAAAGATTACTTCACTAAGCCTTAGCTAGTGGTCATACAGCATTTTTCTACTTAATTATCAAAAGTTTCACTTTGCTATTAGAGAGGCAATAGTTAAGAATGGAGCAAGTTTTCTGCTATAAAAAGATCACTAAAGACCTGGAAAAGTAAGCATGGGAAGATTAATATATCTAACTACCATATCAGCCACTATCATCCTTGGCTCTTGGAAGCTATAGAAAAAACTGGGCTGGAATTACCTGATCTATAATTCTAATCAATATCTGAGAATTTATGTAATTAGACTTTGCAGAACAACTCTTTGATACAAAGGTTCTATTAGAAATGTCAAGCTCTGAAACAGCAGATAGAAAAAAACACACCTATGATATATTAATACAGGAGGGATAATTTTATATAAAGACAACAATTGACTGAAGACAGATGTTGTTTTCAATGGTTTTCATATACTCAGTTAAAAGAAAGGTTTGATATGGATAAAAAGATACTTGGAATTGAAAAACTAAACAGAAATTGGCATTGAATTATGTACAAATGATAAACTTTTTATAGATCTGAAACAGAAGACTAGGTTAAAGATTGCATGACAAAATGGGTTATTAATTTTAGCTTAATACGCTCCCATATGAAGAGGATTCACTAAATCTTTCCAAACTAGAAATCTACAGGCCATTGGCTTTTTCTCCACTCACAAGCGAGGCAGCCTGAAGACAGCTTTAGGTGTTCTGCTCTGGAAGCTGTGTTTTCTCTCTTCCCTCCAGATATGGTATGTCAGCAATGCTGGTTATGTTGATATACATGGAGGAGGAGATTTGAAATGATGTATAGGCAAATTTGTGGCTCCAACTGATCCTGCCAGTTTCCTGTTAGAACACCCCTTTTCATCGAGCTCCTGACCTATTCTCTTGCCCTCTTGATCCTCTTTGGGCTGAGAAGGAGACCAGATCCTGACTTTCATAGTCACTTTTTAAAATCATGTCATAGATCCACCAGGGGACCTAAATTGCAAAGCTCTTGAACTGAATAGCCATTGGTGAAGAGGAACATGGAGTTGCCCTTGAAGAAGTTCAACAGCAGTTATGCAAACACCAGTTTAGCCGTCTGGAAGGAGTGAGAAAAAAACCCTCAAGATTGTCTCTTGCTTTGATTTACTTTAGTATGAGAGCATGGAGAGAGAACTTTCATCAGGCTGTCAAAATTGTATTATATTCTGCAACAATAAAGTAAGGTTCAGTAGTCCTTGTGGAATCTGTTTCCTAAATTGGCTACCTTAAAGGGCTGATACTGGCTTTAGATATATAACTGGAAGTAAAGCTGAAAGGATTTGTCCATTGTACATCCATACCCTGCCTGGCAGGGAATTTCTTTACTAGTAAGCCACTGCTGGGAGGAATCATGGTTCCTCATATAATGTTCTTGGGTAGTTTATGGCTTTCTCAGGCAAATTCTTTATCAATCACCAACTCAAGACACTCTTTTTGCTTCTTCTTAAGTGGTTGACAGGTTGAACAGGTTGTCCCATCATTTCAAGAAACAAAACTTTAATCAGTCTACAGGGAAAACAAAATTAAATGAATGGAATCAGCAGAAGATTGTTTATGCCAATTCTGCAGAGGCTTTTTCATGTGGTGAATGATGTTCACCATTGGAATTCCAGTCAAGTCAAACAACCCATTTATAACCCTTAGGACGGTGGTTCTCAACCTGTGGGTTGGGACCCCTTTGGGGGTCGAATGACCCTTTCACAGGGGTCGTCCAAGACCATCGGAAAACACGTATTTTCAATGGTTTTAGGAATAATTTTATGGTTGGGGGTCACCACAACAGGAGGAACTGTATTAAAGGGTCGCAGCATTAGGAAGGTTGAGAACCACTGCCTTAGGAATTTATGCATTTAAGGTGCATTGACAGCAACACTGATCCACCCATTCTGGGTCCTTTGGGGGAGGGGGCGGTCTGCAAAATTTAGGACATTGATTTGAGAGTGGTGCCTCATTTTTCCAAGCTTGTGGGTCCGACAACAAACCTCCACCCTCATCCTACATCTGAGCTAAGTATTCTCCACTATCAAACCAAAAGATTGATTGCTTCCTTGGATCCAGGAGAGGAAGAGAGCATGGCAATGTATGGGTTGGGGATGTGGACTCTTTTATTAAAAGCAGCTATGGCGTTGGACAAGATCTCCAAGAGCTCCCAAGGCAAGGCTTGTTGTCATACCCCTGCGATTCTGGACAGGGGCGTTTTAACGAGTCCCAGGGAAATTACTACAGCACATCCATACACATTCACATCCATACACATTCGTATTTTGCGAAGACACATTCTTCCAAAATGAAGCACTGGTCGATCCTCTTGAATGTCCCGCCCCCCCCACCTGCTCATTTCTAAGCAGGAAGCCTGGGCAGGCAAGCCAGGCCACTGAAGCACGCTCCGACCCCAAGGTTTGCTCAAGGTTTGCTCAAGGGATAAAGGGAAGGTAGGCGCGGAGCAGCCCTGCCACAAAGGCGGAGGAGAAATGGACCAAGGAGGCATAGGCAAGAGAGGCAGGCAAGGATTTTGGCTCATTCGGCTCCTTCTTTTTCCACACCGCCACCAGCCATTCCCCCTCCCCCTCCTCCTCCCCCTCCGCTGCCCACCAGCCCCGTCCGAGCGACAGGGCTGCCTCCCGGCGCTTGGCGTCACTCTCGCGTCGTTTACTCACCGACGGGAGGCCCCCTCGGACCCCGTGCGCGATATTCAGCGCCTCGCCGCCGGCTTCCGCTAAGCGTCCTGCGCACGCGCACCAAGAGGCCCGGGCCAACTGCTCGCGCGCCCTAGCGCCAGGAGCCTGGGCGTGGAGTGGGGGAAGCCCTCCTCTGCGCTTCCTACCCGGCTCGCTTTTCTCTGCTGTATATATGTATATAAACAGCCGGCGGCTTCCTGTTGCTTTCGCTTGACTTCCGCCCAAGCGAGAGCGAATTGGGTGGAAAACTTCGCGCCCTCCCGGCCTGAAGGAGGAGGAAGCGCCGCTTCGTTTGAAAAGCGTGCGAGCTTTGATAGTAGAGCCAAAGCCACTCTCTGCAGGTGGTCCTCGACTTACGACCGCGACGGAGCCCAACATTTCTGTTCTTAAGTGAGACATTTGTTAAGGAAGTTTTGCCCCGTTTTACGACCTTTCTGGCCAGTTGTTGCTAAGTTGATGCTGCTGTTAAGATAGTAACCTGGTTGTTAAGTGAATCTGGCTTCTCCGTTGACTTTGCTTGTCAGACGGTCGCAAAAAGGGATCATATGATCCCGGGACACTCCAATTATCATAAATGCATGCCGGTTGCCAAGCATCTGAATTTTGATCATGTGATTAAGGGGATGCTGCAATGTGTGAAAAACACAAGTCACTTTTTTCAGTGCCGTTGTAATTTTGAACTGTTGTAAATTGAGGACTACGTGTACCACACAATCTATAAAAATAGCCTGATCCCATGTTCTGTAGAGCTTTATAGGTGACAGCCAGTTTGATCTAGTGCAGGGATCCTCAACTTGTGGGCCACAGCCCACTACTGGGCTGTGGCCTAATCGACACCGGGGCACAAGTAGCCAGCAGGTATGCACACGCCCAGCTCCACTCACATTAATGTCATTGTAAGCATTGCAGGAGATTGCGGCTCCACTCGCACAAGCCTTGTTATTGGCGCTCGGCCCCATTTGCACAATCGTCACCGCAAACATCGTGGTAGCTCAGGTCCGCACACACACACACATGTGCCTGCCCCTCCCACAAAAACATTCCCCCCTCCCCCACTCAAGGCTGCCAACCCAGAAAGGTTAGGGAACTCTGGTCTAGTGGTTAAGGCACCAGGTTAGAAACTTAGAGACCCTGAATTCAAATCCCCTTATCCATAAAAGCCAACTGGGTGATTTTGGGCCAGTCACTCACTTTCAGCCCAAGTCATCTCTTCAAGTTGTGGGGAAAATAGGACGAGGAAGAGTATTAAGTACATTCAATACCTTGAGTTATTTATAAAAGGTTCGAATCTCGCCAGGCTCAAGGTTGACTCAGCCTTCCATCCTTTCTAAGGTAGGTAAATTGAGGACCCAGTTTGTGGGGGCAATAAGCTGACTTTGTATAAAATATACAAAAGTATGAAGGCTATTGCTTAACGCATTGTAAGCCGCCCTGAGTCTCCGGAGAAGGGCGGCATATAAATCAAATTAATAATAATAATAATAATAATAATAATAATAATAATAATAATAATAATAATAATGGTGTGATACAAATAAATTAACAAACAAACAACAGTATCTTGAATTGCATCCAGAAACCAAAGTGGCAGACAATGCAACTCACAAAGCAGAGTTGTCAACATAAGCATGCTAAAGCATGCCCATCTCTACCCATGCCACTGCATTCTGGACCAGTTGATCCTTCTGAATGGCCTTCAAGGGCAGTACCATATGGAACGGTAAAATTCTTAATATGAAAAGTTGAACATACTTCCATGCTGTACCTTTACTCTTGAGTTGTCTCAAGTCATAAACTAGTATCAAAATTAACTGTGGTACAGGATTCCTTGTTATCTGTTTTAGTAAGATGATGCGCATACAAACATACAGAATGTTTGGGGTCACACATTACTCTGTTAAATGATATAAAGGTGTCAGTAGACTGTATATGAAGAATCATTTCTTAAGTTGCAAACCCAGGAAAAAATCCTGCAGAAGCATTGGTACTTTTATGTCGAATTTTAGCTACAGGATTACATGAAATTTACATAAGATTTATTTCATAATTTTAGACAAGTATGCTATTGTGATCTAGAAATCAACTTCATTAGAATTATCATATTTGGTCTTGAAAAAAATCCAGATGACCACTAGATGAAATCCTTGCTTCAATCACAAACAAAATTACCAGGTAATGTACCTTTCTGAAGTGAGTAAGACTTATTTCTCAGTAAACATATTTAAGGTTGAGTCACCAATTAAGAATCCATTTGAATAATGAAGAAACCGATAACTTTGATTATGGGTGCAACAGGATGTCAGAAATAAAGGCATGGTATGTAGGTCATTATTTATTCTAAGTAACTCATAGCACTTAGCTATGATCTTATCTGAATTACAAAAAGCCAAGCAGGGTTGAGTCAGATCTTCTACTTAACAGATAATCCCAGAGCATAGGCAATGGCAAGCCATATTGTTGCCAAGAAAACTACATAGATTTTTCCTTGAAGTCCACAGGAATCAAACTTAACTCTACAGAGTTTACCTGGAAAGTCATGGGCAAATGTGAAAAATGGTGGGTGGGGTGAAATTATGGTAATGTGTGACAACATCACGCAATACTGCAGTTTGTGTGCATATATCAGGCTTTGGAATGTAAGTATGTAATTGAGGCATTGTGTGTCATTGTGACACTGCATATGTGGTCACTTTTGCTATTACTGCAGTTTACTACAGATGCTTTTGGGAACAGTCACAATGAATACTACAACTCTTCTCAATTCACATACGCACAGAGATACTGAAAGAAAGGAAGAAAATATTAGAAACCCAAAGTAAGCAAACTTGTAATCCTTGGCTACCTTCATAAAATTCTTGGATATATATTCCCCTGTCCAGTCGTGTTCAACTCTAGGGGATGGTGCTAAAATCCGTTTCTTAGTTGAGGGAGCCATCATTGTCTGAAGACATTTCTGTAGTCATGTAGCCACCATGACTATACATGGAACGCTGTTACCTTCCCACCGAATTGGTTCCTAATTAATCTACTCAAATTTGCATGCTTTTGAACCAGAAGCAAGTAATGGGACCTCACTCTGTCAAGCAGCGGTCGGGTTTTGAACCTGGGCTGTCACAAGCTCAGTATCTTTAACAGTTGAGCGAGGTCCCACTCGTCATCTTCAGGCTGGTGTCTTCGGCTTCGTGCTAGTGCGAGCAAAGCGTGATCGGAGATGCCGTCTCTCTATAAATACTGGTGGGGAGGTGTGGCCTGCTGGCTTTGTTATTGTAAGCGGTTGGTTGGCTGTGTTGTTACCAGTGTGTTGTTTTGTGTTGTTGTAACCTGTGTTGTTACCCGTGAAAATCTATGGAAACATACATACATACATACATACATACATACATACATACATATATATATATATATACACACACACACACACACCACACACACACACATACATACACATACATGATAGAACAATGGAGGGAGGAAGAGAGTATACATGGATGGATGGATGGATGGATGGATGGATGGATGGATGGATGGATGGATGATCGATGGAATATATACACACACACACAAATGTACACACCAAAGTCAAAATATACTGCTCAAAAAAATAAAGGGAACACAAGCAGAAGACATCCGAGATCTGAATGAATGAAATAGCCTTATTAAATACTTTGTTCTTTACATACAGTAGTTTATACACTGCTCAAATAACTAAAGGGAACACAAAACTATTGTATGTAACGAACAAAGTATTTAATAAGGCTATTTCATTCATTCGATCTCGGATGTCTTCTGCTTGTGTTCCCTTTATTTTTTTGAGCAGTGTATATCAAAAAACAGCAAAAGTCAAAATTGGAGGGTCCTTGGTGCTCTCTGAGCTTGCTTGTTTTCTTGCAGATGCTTCATTACTTTTGACTTAATTTTGAATTTCATTAAGTCAAAATTACATCAAGCATAATTTCTGCACATTATCCAAGTCCAATGAATTACCTTGTATGGCTTCTATAAAAATTATGTTTTATGCCTTCTAGAAAAAGAAATATTTTAAACAAATTCTGCCCAGAGCAAAATCAATTATGGCTAATTGCCATAGGCAGATCAGGATGGATGGTAGCTTCATCGCTACCAGCTGGGAATTCTGCCTTGAGCACCCACAACTGATGCACATACTCAGTCTCTTGGCTGTGAAGACACCTCCCATCTGTCAGAGTGGCAGGCTGCCCATTCTGAGCCAGTCCGATTTTTCAGGTCTGCATTAACATTCTAAAAGTTATAGGTGAATAGGCAGCTTAAAGATTATCATCTTGCATCATATATGGAAAAATAATGATACAACTATGAAATATTTTTAAGAGATAAAGACTAAACGGTTAATAGGTGTATCCTGTTTGCTTAGCAATTCTGATGCTAAGCAAGGCAGTTATTAAGTGAGTTTCGCCCTATTTTATGTCCTTTCTTGTCAAGTGAATCACCACAGTTGTTAAGTTAGCAACATGGTTGTTAAGTAAATCTGGCTTCACTTTGACTTTGCTTGTTAGAAGGTCGCAAAAGGGGATCACATGACGGCAGGATACTGCAACCGTCATAAATACATGCCAGTTGCCAAGTGTCCAAATTTTGACCATGTGACCATGGAGATGCTACAATGGTTGTAAAGTATGAAAAGCAGGCATAAATCACTTTTCAATGCTGTTTTAACTTTTGACTAACTTTGGTCACTAAGTAAATGGTTATACGTTGAGGATTATCTATATGGGTATTTTAGCAGGAAGGCTAAAAATAATTTTGAATAAATTAATACACAGTGACCAAAATGGATTCCTCCCTGGGAGGCAAATCAGGAATAATACAAGGATGATAATAGACATATTGGAATACTATGAGGAACACCCGAACAAAGAAATGGCATTGGTCTTTGTCGACGCCCAAAAGGCATTTGACAATCTTAATTGGCAATTTATGAAACAACAAATTATCCAAATGGAATTCGGATCAAATTTTGTCAATACGATATCCACAATCTATCAAAAACAAAAGGCTAACATATTACTGAATGGAGAATTAACTAAGGCTTTTCAAATTAGAAAAGGGGTCCGACAAGGGTGCCCTCTATCCCCACTTTTATTTATCTTAGCACTAGAAGTATTCTTGAGAAAGATTAGGAACAATAATGAAATAAAGGGTCTGACAATCAGAAAAGAGATATATAAGACACAGGCATTTGCAGATGATGTGGTATTAATCATGGAAGAACCATTTGAATCAGGCACTAAAATTCTGGAAGAATTGGGCAATTACGGGGAGGTAGCAGGCCTTAAATTAAATAAATCCAAAACTAAATTATTAACAAAAAATATGACGGAGGCAAGGAAAAAAGTACTGGAAGAATCAATGGAGATCCAAACCACCAAGAAGGTAAAATACCTGGGGGTCTGGATTTCATCAAGGTGCTTGGCCCTCAGAGAGGATAATTATTTACCATTGATTAGAAATATTAAACAGGATCTGGAAAAGTGGGGAAGACTACAGATATCATTATTAGGCAGAATCGTGGCAATAAAAATGAGCATATTACCCAAGTTATTGTATCTATTCCGAACGGTCCCTGTTAAATTAGATAAAAAATTCTTTCTGGAGCTCAATAGCATCATCAGGAAATTTATTTGGGAGGGAAAGAAACCAAGGATAGCAATTAGGAATTTACAGGACAAGAAGGAAAGAGGGGGTTTCGGATTACCTAAATGGGAGTTATATCAAAAAGCTGCAAACCTAGAATGGCTGAAAGAATGGGCAACCCTGAGAAATAAAAGACTGTTAACTTTAGAAGGGTATGATCTCCAGAAGGGTTGGCATGCATATCTCTGGGATACTGGGAAGAAGATAAAAACTTACTTCCATAGACATAAAATAAGGGAGATCTTGATACAAATATGGGGAGAGATGAGACAGAAGCACTATAGGAAAATTCCAAGATGGCTTTCCACCATGGAGGCTATAATATATCCAAATGTATTAGAAATGGGTAAAACGGTCAGATACAATGAATTATTAGATGGGGGAGGGAACCTTAAAACAAGGGAAGAATTGATGGAACAAGGTATTTCTATAGACTGGTGGCCATATAACCAAATTAAATCCAGATATAAAAAGGATAAGGAGGAATTTGGCATTGAAATGAGCATAAATGGATTTGATAAGATATGGATGGGTACGGACGACAAAATTCTAGCTAAATTATATAATTACTTATTGGAGTACGATATGGCAGAGGAAGTAGTTAAAGAACGGATGTTAGCATGGGCCAAAAATATAGGACAGAATATAAATCTGAACGAATGGGATTCAATATGGAATAATAACCTTAAAATGACAAAGGCGACGGCTTATAAGGAAAACCAATACAAGCTGTTTTATAGATGGCATATGGCCCCAGCTAGGATAGCGAAGATCTACCCCAATTCGAGCCCTAAATGTTGGAAATGTGACCATCAGCAGGGTACTTTTTATCATTGCTGGTGGACATGTAATCAGGCACAAAAATTCTGGAGGATGATATGGATGTGGATTAGAGAAATAATAAAAGAAAATTTTGATTTCGACCCAAAAGCTTTTCTCCTGGGAATTTTGAAAACTGAATATGCAAAAAAGAAAAAGTATTTAATTATACATATTCTGACAGCCGCTAGAATTTCCTTTGCCCAGTATTGGAAAGAAAAACAAATACCACCTCAAGAACATGTTATTGGAAAAATATTGGAGTGCGCCGAAATGAACAAATTGACTTCAGAAATTAATGACAGAGAAGATTCAGAATTTTATAGCGTGTGGGACATGTGGTACGAATGGATGGGGGAAAGAAATAAAGAAGGTAATAGAGATTAAATATTAACTAATTAACAAAATCTATATGAATAGTATTATATTTAGTCTTAGAGAGTTGAGCACTATTATCTTTAAGTGTTTTGAAATTAAATCTAGCTTCAAGAAACAATATCAATAAAAGACAAGCAATAATGCATGTAGATGTATATATGTATATAATTGCACCAATGAACCGAAAATGTACCAATTGTATCACTATATGTTATAATAATAAAAAAAGAAAAGAAAAAAAAAGAAAAAAAAGAAAAAAAAAGAAAAGCAGGCATAAATCACTTTTCAATGCTGTTTTAACTTTTGACTAACTTTGGTCACTAAGTAAATGGTTATATGTTGAGGATTATCTGTAATAAAATTGTTATAGGTTGGGGGTTATTTTTAATTCAAATTAAATTGCCTCCAAGATGTCAAGGATTATTAGTGTTGACCTGTCCTTTCCAACTAATCAGTTGTTCTATTCCTAGCTTCTTTCTCCTATGCAGGTAGTTGACCAATGACTGGTCGCTTAGTGGCTGTTTGAAATTATGATGCAACACCCCCCAAGGAACTTACAATCTTGTTTCTAAGTTATATCTGACCCCCCCTGCAGTCATGTGACTATATTTTGAGCACTTTGCAATTACGCATTTACAGCCATTTGCAGCTCCGTGTGGTCACAGGACCACAATTTATAACAGTTTTGCTAGAAACCTGCAATTACTTCTAGTTTACAATGGAAAAAATATAAAAAACAGTGAGTTTGCTTAATGCTTGTGACATTTGTTTAATGCATTAAACTCAAGGCCCGGGGGCCGGATCCGGCCCGTGGTGTGCTTCGATCTGGCCCGTGGGGCCACCCTGGAAACAGCGAAGGACAGGCCCACGGTGCCTCTGCCAGTGAAAACAGAGCTTCTGAGGGCTGCGGGTGGTCCTGCTGAGCTCCGTTTTTGCTGGCAGAGGGTTGCAGGACGCCATCACAGGCGAAAACAGAGCTTGGGAGCCAGTTTTTGCTGGCAGACTGCTTAGGCCACCACAGGTGCCCCAATATGAGTGATGTTGAACTGGCTGTGCCACCCTGGCCATGCCACCCCCACCCCTACCCCCACCCCGAGGTCGAACACAACCTTGATGCGGCCTGCAATGAAATCGAGTTTGACATCCCTGGTTTAATGACTGCCATGTTTGTGCAGCAAAAAGTGTTGTAAAATTGAGTGCAGTTGGGTGATGGCTTGCTTTATGATTGTCATGGTTTACAGCCGTAATGGCAGGGTCCATTATGGTTGTAAATTGAGGACTACTTGTAATTAAAGAGACATATGCCTTTATAAAAAAGAACTTCCCCAGAGGGCTAAATTAAAAATAAGAAAAAAGTTCATCATAAAATGGCTTGAAATGTATTAGAAAAGACTGGCGACAGTAATGTTTGCTGGACAATTTGATTGACTTTCTAGTGGTAACGCTGAGAAAGCTGGTTTTTCAAGATATATCAGCTATCCAAATTCTACCAAGTGCTTGCAGACTATCCTCAAAGCTTACTCAACCAAAGTTGCCATGTTCATCGTCTGCCTGCTGTTTTGGAATGAATCCTAGAAAAGTCTTTATTTTCAATATTTTGGCTATTTTATTTATAGTTGTTTATACAATTTGCAAGCCATCTGGAACATCGTCCTAAAAATGTGAGAATATGAATAACTGGAATGGATTTCTATAACCTTAATTTGAATTGTACCTAAGGGCTGTCTTTCAGCAATGGTTCTGTACTGTTTCCTCAAAATCTTACCAACGAACAAATACATACACTTCTCCTATTTGTTGGCGGAAAAAAAATTCCTTGTATCTGAGGTTCCTAAATATTGCACAGCCATGCAGAATCTTTCTTGGGGCTCCCTGATGTCTGTGTTATGTTGTTGTTTATAAATTACCACAGGAATCACCAGCTGTCATCATAAAAAATTTATTGGCACTCTGTAAATATTAAATCAGCAGGCTGAAATCATGCCATGTGCCTGAGCAGCTGATGCTCTCTTGTGGAGGCAGCCAACCAGAGAAGGGGATACACGGTGTTGTCTACAAGCCTGCTTCATGAGAAATTTTGGCAGGGTCACCCTATAAGCATCATCTTGAACCAGAAGTTGCATCTTTCCTTCGCATTCATCACAAACGGTTTAAGATGAACACCAGTGGATCATCTTGGCTACATATATGAGCCTCTTACTCCAAAGATGAGAACTGAACCTCATTTTTAATGTTAAATGAATAGAAAAGGCACAGATCTACACCCTCATCCTTTAAAACACACACACTGATCTTGCTTCACCTTGCATGTTGTTCCTCTGAATTTAGAATAAACTGCCTTTGAATAGCACCACAACAGTAGTGTTTAACTATGTCTGCTTGAAAGACCTCGTTTTGTACTCGGAATAGTAACATGGTGACTTAATTATACCATTGCAATTTGTAGGGAGGGAGGGTTCATTGATACAAATGGAATATTCCACGTACTTTAGCTAAAACAAACACACACATAAGGGAAAACAGTTGCATCTTAAATTTCTTCCTGCAGCTTTTCATTGCTTTCAGGACCTTTTTAATGAAAAAAAAAAGCATTGTGCTACATCACAGGTGTCAAATTCGTGGCATCATGTTGCTGTCACATAACATTTCATGATGCTTTTTCCCTTTGCGGAGCTGGGGTGGGCGTGGCCTGTGCATGCATCCGGCCCGCAGGCTGCCAGTTTAACACCCTTATGCTACATGCAGTGGTGGGTTGACCCCGGTTTGAAAGAACCGGTAGTTAAACTGGTGGGAGGCCCTGCCCATTGACCCGGACATCATCAAAGTAGATCTGTGCATGTGCAGAAGCTTCTGCACATGTGCAGAAGAGCGCACGAGCGAGTGAAGCAAGTGCGCACACGGAGACAATGCGAACCGGTAGTAAAGGTAAGTAGAACCCATCCCTGGCTACATGGTACAATCTCTAGCAATACAAGCTTGATACAGGCTTACCAGTTTAGACAGAACATGAGACTGGGTTATTAGGTAATAAGATATATGAGAAATACAAATCTTCACAAAGGATAATGTATCTATGCATTCATTCATTCACTCATTCATTCAATGAAAACTACTAGCTCTGAATTGGCTAGCTTCTTATACAGGAAGTTTGACAGCAAGTATTTTAGCATCCTCATTTTACTTCTATCCTGCCTGTGATTTGTGCAACAGAAAGTGAATATAATACTCACCTCTTCTATTTTCCCCATGATAACTCTGTGAGGCTGAGTTGTGAGAAAATAACCAAGCCAAAGTCATCCAGCTGGTTTTCACACCTAAATGAGGATTACAACTCATGATTTCCTGGTTTCTTGTCCAGCATCTTAACTCCTACACTAAACTGGGTGTTATATTGAAGTTGTATAACAGTACATGTCTATTCAAAAATGAGAAATGAGAAATACTTAAAAGATGAAGTACTTTTAAGAAGTTGTCCATAGGACTGTGGTCAAACTGTAATCCATTTCCCAATTCTGAGGAAACACTGTTGAGCTAGTAAGGGTTACTCCTGAGTACACATATATATGAATAACTTACAACTAATCAAAGGGACTAAAACATAAAAAAAATAGTTTGACCAAAAAAAAGCATGTTGACACATGAAACCCTCACCAATTAATCCAATTCAATGTGGACTTTAAATATTAAGCAAATATTTTAACTTTTGGCCTTACACAAACAGTCTACATATTTGTCCTGGGTGCTAGAAACTGATCTTCCTACTGTCATATTAATGAGTATTTTGTAACCATTGGTAGCCCATTCCTATTTTCTTATAAGAATGTGTTTTGGCATTTATTAACATTTCAGATACTGGTTTAAATATTGCTCACAAGATTTTTCAAAATTTTTTGCATCCCCTACCTCCCTAAAATCTGCTAACAATAAATATGCAATACTTTATTAATTGTTAGAGGCATTACTGGGACATTTGTGATCCAGAACAGCTATTTATGTTAATTAACCTTGATTTTTAAAAGGGGGAGGGAATGTACTCTGGAGACTGACAATTACTTATATTTAGGTAAGATAAGTATAGCAATAACTGGGAACTGTTAATTACTTCTCCTCCCGCTGGAAATATCTTTGAAAACCCAGAATATTTAAATTGAATTTTAAAACTCAAACTACACCAGCTACTTTTCAGAACATCCCATGTTCTATGTACAGTCAAATGTGATTGTACTGAAGCCTTGACCACTCTCCCTGGGCGGCAATTCTTTCCCTCCCCCCCCCACTTTTTTTTTTTTTTTAAGCAATAATCTGTTAGCACCTGGGCTCAACTTGCTCTGAATATGGGAGTTGACTCTTAAAATCAGATCCAATTAACACATCCTTGATATAACAGAATAGTGTTAATTACATGCAGCTGATCATTGCTGGGTTAATTAAACACTCACCCCCCCCCAGCTAAGGCATTAATCTAATTAACAATTACTACAGCTGCTGTTTTCTCTTTACACTTGCTTTCTAAATGGTGCATATTCACACTTCAGTCCTAATCCAGCAAATTCTTCCTCTAAAAGAATTCCCTTTGAGGTGGATGGCAGAAAGAGGTTAGAAATTGTGGTCAGCACTCCGAGAAGGGAATACTTGAGAAATAATTTGATATTCTTGAGCATGTAATGGTGCTTGCTAAAGACCAGATAGGTTTACATTTTATTTGATATACCCCTTTAACTGTTGAAGTTCGAATATTCTAGCAATTTTACAGTACTCATTAGGAAGTATCAGCAGCAACCTTAAACTTAACACTTCTTAGAACTGGGATTGATGGACACAAGTACACAATACTGTATAGTTTTGTGCCTAAAGTTCTACTGAACTAAAGTGGTATAGATATACCTACCTGTGAATATATGGGGAAAATGTAAAGTATAATTGTACACATTAGAAAGGAATTGATGGAAGTTAAAGTTATTTAATAGGTCTTGAGTTCCAGTATATTTACTATTGAGAGTTGGGCAGCATATAAATGTAATAATTTATCACTTTCTTTTGGTTATAATACATATTAGAATATTGTCATTGCATTTTTTTTTAAAAAAGTGAGCTGTTCAGATCTCTAATCAACTTGATGTCATATTTGGAGCCATCAATGCTGGGCTACAAAATATGGAAGTCTGCAGCCCAGAATTGGTAGCCTGATTTTCCTTCAACTCCAATTCAGGGATTATTATTTTTATTATTATTTTTTTGCCCCTTTGAAATTCAAGTATGAGGCACATACACGAAGATGGAGAAGTAAAGGCAATTTAAGTTTTATAGGACATTCTGTATTGCTGGTGGGATCCCTATTGTAGCCAAATGCAGGCCACGATATCTCCAAAAAGCTTCAAAATTGAAAAACGCACATGATTTAGTAAAAACATGACTTTGAAAAATAAGCATTAAAAAGCCTTGAACCTAAAGTTGTTTTACAAACTTTGTAAGGGATCATTAATTTCAGTCCATAAATTAAAAAAAAAACATTTTTATTCAAAGTATAAAGACAGTATTCCATAATTTTATTGTGGATAAACAATACTCATATTATGCATTTAATACTACCGCTATTAAAGGCGGCAGAGAAAGCTTTGCTTTGCTACTAAATGTTCACTCCAATAGGTTTAATATTACTGTCCTAATCTGTGTTCCACATTTATCAGAATCATACTTTTATTCTAAAATGTACATAAAACATACCCAAATATACCCCTAAAAAGATGTATGAAGACTATTAAAATTATTGTTGCTAATGAACATATCAAGCTGCAATTATGTTTGGAGTGTGTTGTTTCATGTAACCTAACAACAGTCTTTACCAAGGCAGATGCAAACTATGATAAAAGGATTTATCAAGTATTCTTGGCCCTTAGCAACTACAGATTCAGTTGAAAAATCAAGTCATTTCAGAAGGTTCATTTGTGCTAAGGCTCATTCGAATACAGAGCTGGGCGTAGAAACCCTGGTTCCATTTCTTCCATATTCTGAACTTCACACTTGCATTCTTCAATGATCATAACCATCTTGTTTACTGGATTAACCGTGGTGCAGTTCATCTTCAGATGCTTCATGGAGAATTTGGTGGGCAAGCAGAGGGAACAGAAGCTATAAATGCGATCATCAGGGCCAGGAACGTGGAAAGAACTGCATTTCCCAAAGCACAGGTTGTTTTGTATCACCACTTTGTCGCAATTTTCATGCGTAATGCTCTGAAAGGAAACACATTGTTAAAATACTTGCCATAGTACTGTGTTAGAATAAAAATAGCCAGTAATATAAAAACTAAAGTGTTCCTGCAACCTTTAGGGATAAAGCCAGTAATAGAAAGCTGAGAATTGTTTTAGATACTAAATCATAACTTTACTGTCTTAGCCATGATTAGAAATGCAGAAAGATTTAAAGGGGAAAACTGTTTGCTGTCTCTTTGAAATATACAGACATTTCTACAAATTTCTCAAAGTTATTGGCTAAGAATTTCCTGAAAATATTCTCCAGCAGAATACGAGTCAAACACCTGTGTTTTCAGCTTTTTGCAATTTCAATAAAACAAACTTGAAGTCTACTGTAACAGAAATTTCCAGCCCAAAGTTATCAATATTCTGGGTTTTTTATGCTTTTAATATTTCAGATATCAGAATGAATTTAAGAATACCAGCAAACCACTTTCCTTGCAATTAAACTACAAGGTTTGAGCTGAATAAATCCACTTGCTACCAGATACCCACAAATATATATATTAAAAATCCATATTTTGTTTTCACCTTAGGAGCTGTGTACATTTTTACAGCCTTTATTTTAGCTTTCCTTCTATAAATGGGGGGATATAGCTTATCTTCCAGAGCTATTCTAAGGTTGAACTATTTAGTATAGCAGGGCCTATTTCTAATTAAAATAAAATGTAGGAAAGTACTATATTTGTGGCAGTCACTTTACCTGAGAGAAAGGAAGCATGTTGCAAACCTCCTGGTAAATCTCACTTATCTTGATTGGAAGGATCACCTCTTCAGATCTAGACTTGGTCTTCAATTTAAAAAGGTCCCAGAATTTTTTGGCATCTTTTCTGAAGGCCGCCGCTGCGTCTCTCTTGTTCTGTGGGCGAGAAGGTGGATGTTTTGGATACACAGAGGATGGGGTTATGTTTGCAGCAGCCCAATCTCCCAACTCATCAGCCACTTCTTCCTTAACTGTATCTGGGAACATGAAACGAGGTCCTCGTGACAAGTCTTGTTTGGTTTTCATTTCTGCCAAGGATACCACTGGCTTCTCAGGTTTCCTCACAATGCCTTCAAGTTCCCCTAAATATTTGGTGAGCATATCACGTATGGAATTTTTCTGCTGCATTTCTTCTCTTTGCTCTGCTTTTCCAAGCCATGAAATCAACAGTATCTGAAACAATAGTAAAAGCATTATTCTTGACTGTTGTTTTTCTCCTTCAATTCTCTTCTGCTAAGGGGAAAAAAAGGCAGTAGGAAGTTTGTTGTATTTATAAAGGAAGCCTAAAGTACTCATTTCCAGCTGTTGAGCATGGGAGGGGGAAGATTAAGGGGAAGGCTAATCAGCGATACCCATTAACATTCATTAACCTCAGCCTCTAACAAAGATAAAGTTAGTTTGTCCTACTGGGTGTGTGTTTTGTGTTTGTATTTCTAGTTACATCTGTTTTCTCTAGTAGGAATCATTCTGAATATTTGGATTAAAAGTTTAGCTGTTGTCTAGATACTGGGGAAAGTTCTTAATGCATATTAACTTACCTGATACTTTTGGCCCCAAGCCACCATAAGACGGTATGGATTCAATATAACAACATGGAGAAAACTATGTTTAATTTTATTTCTTAGTAAGATGAAAGTTTATCATTTGAAAATAACAAACATCAAGTTATATGCCATTTTGAATGGATCCAATTAAATTAAAAAAAAGAAAATTATATAGTGTAAAGGCTAATGGAGGATGCATTTTTTGAAAAATGCAAATACTAAATAAAATAATGAGCCAGTTTCTCACTACTCAGATTTTTAAAAATCTTAGGATTTTGGAAATGTTCTGTAGTTATTGCAAGGCTCTTTATAAGCTATGTAGGTCTTTTTAAGTCTTACAATAGTTAATTATATGGCAGGGGTGCCTTTAAAATCTCCATTACAGTTTATAAGCGAAAAGCAGCACTGATAAAAATATCTTTCTCATGTTGTACCAACAGCATCCAGAATGTTTATAGACCTCAAGGGGAAACTATTAGTGCATGCAGGTCCCCAGAGTGCAGACTTTAAGTATAGTCTTCCTTCTGATAAGTAGGTATTATTCTCAACCTTGTTTGCACATGAACTGTTTGTAAATCATGGATGACTCCAAAAAAGAATGTGTCCATTGGTTTAAATCAACCATCTTACACTCTGTGTAAAAGGAAAATGTCCATGTCTACTCTTGGTATTACTACTACTTGGTACTACTACTGTGGTACTCCATGTGTATCATAGTTGTAGACATTTATTTTATCTATTTCTGTAGAAATGGGGTTTGTCACAAAGGGTCAGTAAAATGAAAAATGTAAAATGTATTCCATTTTTCTAAAAGCCACAATGAACAACTGGATGGGTACAATGGGAAAGCTGATTTTATATTAGTTTATACGCAAAAACAGCACTGATATAAGTATCTTACTCATGCTGCACCAACAGCATCCAGAATGTTTATAGACTTAATAGTGTCTTAATATATGAACTTTCAAAGATTGTTTGGATGTACATTATTGCTGTTCAAGCTGAAATCACAATAACCTCACCAGACGGGATTGGCTCCTATGTCTTTCCACATTATGGTATAATTTTTCATCATTTCCTAACTCTTCTCGATTTAAAACATTGAAAACAGCATCGGCCATCAGCTCTCTAATTGCTTGACCTATAACCTAAGTCTTTTTTAAAAAAAATGAATCATGCATCATGTTCTATAATAGCAAGTAAAAAACATAACTGCTTTTTCTAAAAGTGGGAACATAAGTTTCCATCTGAGATACCATGTGGGTCTAAGAAGCTAGGGGGGAAAAAGTCACTTTAAAAGCTTCATTTTATTATATATTTTTCAACAGCTGGACGCTGGAAGAGATTGCCTCCATTCTCATGGACACATAAAACATACAGGGATGGAAACAGAGATAACAATCTTGGTAAGCAATGAGCTCAAAGAAAGCTGTTGCATTGTTTAAGAGTCTGTCTCGGTCCTCGTTACAGATTTCAATCTGGATATTGTAAGTTGCTGCAATTGGCTCTGCTGGATGTGGACTGAAATGAATAAACATCTTTGGGAGACACATACCACCATAATACATATTTGCATAGTTGTTGTTTTCTTTGTTGAATAGCCATCCTGAGAGAAAGGAGACAGACCTGCATTGAGACTCAGGACACAAAGGAAGAAGAGTTTTACAAATGTTGCTATTCTCATCCCTGCAATTAAACATCTGGTGTACATAAGGTTACTGCTCTGTCACTCAGGAGAACCTCTGTCCCATTGTAAGGAGGTGGTATAATGGCTGAAGAGACTGTTGTCTTCAGAATTAAAGACGTAAATAAGTTCCTGAAAGTCAGTTTCATCCTTGCAGCCCAAAACAATCAAGCAGCAAAACAAAAAGAGAGTTTCACTGCCCCAGAAAGGAGGCATTTTTGGGGTTCTGGAAGTAAAAGCATTGTTGTAAACTTGAGGCAGAGAACTACTCTGTTGGTTCTCTATTGTAAATATGTTAGGACTGATTTACAGAGAGAAAAAAATGATGGTGACTTGAAGTGTCCTCAGCCTTCTTTCTCTTCATTTCCCCCCCACCTGTGCCTCCCCATTCCTTTTCTTTCTTTTTTAAAGCAAACAGAACAACTCTATGCAATTGTTTGGGTCACTGAATATGGCAATCGTGCACCTGGACAATCCATGCCGAAAAAGCCACTTGGTGTGTGTGTGTGTGTGTGTGTGTGTGTGTGTGTGTGTTTGTGTGGGGGTGGAGACCAGGCATAGATAGGAACAAACAGTGCCTGTGTTGCAAATTGTCTCCCCCTCCCCTTCTATGGGTAGCTTGAGGTTTTAACTGTGTAGCTGTTGATGCGATATACTTTCATCAGCACCAAGTTTTTCTGGAAAATTGATTATACAGTTTGAGCAATCTCCAATGCTATTTTTATTAATACATTCAATTTAGATATTACAGTAGAAAACAGCACACAACACATGCCATTTAAGGTACACAAGTAGATTGGCACCCTTTAAATTCAAATAAAACCAAACCCACAGCAGTAAAGGTATTATTTTATGTAGATTCATTCTATCCCTTGAAATACACATTGCAGGAAAAAAAAATCTATTTTTAGTGCCACTAAAAAGGGGGGGAAAACTATGTGCCCATAATGGATTGTTATATTTATAAATATTTTCATCGACTTATCAATATGGAATAATAGAAGATAAAATTGGACTTCCAGAAATTACACACATTATTTATCCAATGAGCAGTCTCAGATTTACATACAAGGGTGTATTAGAAGATTATTGATATGTCAAAGTGAATTGCAGTGAGTTTTTTAAAATTGATTTGTTAGTACATCTCTTTTTCTCCTTTCAGAATTTGTCAGAATATTTATTCAATTCCAGGCTTTTATAATAACTAAAGTAGATTACCAAGTGTACTTTGCACATTCTACAATACATTTCAGTCTATATGAACTTCACATATATTCTTCCTATATATTTTTTATGTGCAATTGGATTTTGTTTTCAAATTCTACCTCCCATTTGCAGTACAATTCTTCCCAGCAAGTATCCACCCAAGAGGATTGGGAAATGTGTATAACTTCTCAGATTTGTCTGGCCCAGTCTAGCACCTTCAAATGTGTTGGACTGCATCATCCAGTATTCCTGTCTAGATTGGTTGTAGTCTCGACACATCACAAAGTTGCAAAAAGTTGAATGGACATTCAGAATGTCTTCAGTGTTAATGGAGGAAAGGAAAGAAAACTATCAGAGAGGCCAGAGAAATTTACATGCAAACAAAGCTCAGAGCTGATCAGGGATGGTAGCAAAAGTTAATATGCTTCTGTTGGGAAATCAACTAACATTGATGGCTAGGGAAATCCTATAATACTTAAGAAATTATATTCATAACTCATAATCTATTTTAAAGGGAACACATTTGAATTTGTTACCATGAGAATTGGAAAGCTCCCTTGACATTTAGCAATAGCACTTAGATTTATATTCCACAGTGCTTTACAGCACTCTCTGAGTGGTTTACAAATGTTAGCATATTGCTCTCAACAATCTGGTTCCTCATTTTACTGGCCTTAGAAGGATGGAAGGCTGAGTCAACCTTGGGCTGGTCAAGGTTGAACTCCTGGTTATAGGCAGAGTTAGTCTGAAATAGTGTCAACAGGGTTGACAATTGCATTCTAACCACTATGCCATCATGGCTCCTACATTTGTCTCAAATATAGACATAATAGAAATTTATCACAGAATAATGTGATGCAATTTTGTTACAGGAATGTTTGACATTTGTTGGAAGTTTACATCTAGATCAGGGGTAGGTTCTACTTACTTTTACTACCGGTTCGCAATGGGGGCGCACGCGCATGCGCAACAACGTTTTGGTGACGTTGGGGTTAGTGGGCGGAGCCTCCCGCCAGTTTTACTACCGGTTCTATAGAACCGGTGCGAACCAGGGGCAACCCATCACTGATTTAGTATATTATAAAATGGGCATGAGCATAATAGAGTGGCATAATGTTCCTTCCCCCCCCCCCCTCGCCCCGCCAATGTATTTGCAACCAGTCTCATTTGACCAAGTGAAGAGCCGGATATTGCCTACATTTCTAAATAACAATTGTGGCGAATGAAACATCCTACCCAAGAAAGATGTTGAGTAGCATATGAAATAATGTCTATACTCAACTCAAAGCTCTTTCCAGTTAGCCTTTTAGCACCTTCATATATATGATCTCTTGAAAGAAACAGAAATGAACTCTGGAACCAACACATTTGATTCTTGACACATAGCCATTGTATCACAAACACAGGAGAGCAAGAGAAGATAGGATGGCAAGCAGAAAACATAATCCTGCATCACACTTGAACCCTTTTCTCACGTAGGAATTTTTGCAAATGGGCCAAGCAACTGTCCATTTATAAGTTCCATCAACACTTCCAACTGCTTGAAAATAAAACTGTGTTATCATATAGAAAGCAAGTAGGTGTCTTAACAATTTTGTTTACAGTTTTGTGGAACATATATAACTGTATGCTTTGCCCTTCCTGCAGTCTTTTCTTTGCCATTTTCCTTGCTGTTGTGCTAAAATGCAGTTCCTCCTTTGCTTTGAAAGACGAGGTGGGCCTCTTCTCCAGTTTGTGAAAACAACACGTTCCCTGTTGCTCCATTCCAGCTGACCTGGGTTTCGCTGATCATTCAAACCTATAAAACATTACATGTTTAAGAAGGCAGTCTGAGAACAACTGATTCAAGCATTTTAATGAAGTTTTATTGGTTCTATCTGATCTTCCATGTCACAGATTTTCTAATAAATTTCAGATTTTTTTCTCTTCCACAATGAATTTGTTCCTTGGACAAGGAATATTACATTTTGTTGTGAAAATAGTTTCTGCTGGTATTTAGACTAGAAAAATGCCTGAAGATTTAATTGTTGTAAGCACGGAACTGCTGCAGTTGATCATATCTATTGATTTCCGGGTGATGTCTTTCTTCCATGTTACTGAGAACCATTCTTCCATTAGCTTTTAGGACACAAAGGAAAAACTCCAGAAAAATGGAAGTATGGAGTCCTTGGTTGTTTTCTAGCAGATGTTTCATTACCAAGATAGGTAACATCATCAGTGATAGAAGGAAGTGGGAGTTTATTCTCATTTTATATACTAGTAGTTTGCTCTGTCAGTGTTGGTGGGAGAATGGAGGTAGTTGGTAGAGTGGTCAAATTACCAAGTGTCCCAAGGACAGAAGTGTAAGCCAGAAAACTGAGCAGCCAGAAATGTGTATTTCCCAACCACTCAGAAAGACATAGATGGGCTAAGAGGTTTTGCTTATGAAAAAGTTTTATCGTAAGTGTACTTGCATGTACAGTATTACCAACATAAATATTGAAGTCTAAAATATTATGGAATAATATTTAATCCTTGTTGCTATATCAATAGAATTATAGTCACGATCAAGGAACATCACGGTTATTGTCCATTTGTCAGCCCACACCTAGAATGCCGTGCCAAATTCTGCACGATGCATTTTTGGAATGATATTGGGAAATGAGTACATTCAAAGCAAAACACCCAAGATGAGTCCTGAAAGGAAGAATGGTTAGCGTACTGGGCATATTTTAGCTTGGAAAAAAGAAGGCTGCAGGGAGAGATGAGAGCCATTTTCAAGGGCCCTCATTCAGAAGACAGGCAAAATTGTTAAAAAGCTAATCCAGAGAAATAAAGGATTTAAATCACTGGGAAGCGGGTTTTCCTTGAACTGGAAAAAAATCCAGTGGCTTGCTGGACACGAGATGGTCCTCTGTCAGGGATGCTTAAAGGTATTCCTCGACTTATGACCACAATTGACACCAGAATTTCTGTTGTTAAGCAAGATAGTTGGTCACGTGATCATGGGGATGCTGCAATGGTCATAAGTGCAAGGACCAGTTGTAAGTCCCTTTTGGGAACTTGTAACTTTGTAATGGTCACTAAATGAATGGTTGTAAGGAAAGGACTAGCTCTGGTGGGTTCCTTGTATTGTAGAATTCTGCATCTTTTATAGGAAAATTTCAGACAATTGTAAGAATACCTACCTATCCAAAAAGGTCTTTTTCCACTAAAGTTCCAGAGCCAGTGCATGTGTGATTTGGAAGCCACATTTACTAAATGGCCATGGTACCTAGAAATAAGATAGTTTTTTTTAAAATCAGAGGAGATACAGTACTTGCTACTCATCAAAAAAAAATTTTTTTAAACAATCCTATAATCCCTTAGTTTAGGATACAGTTGGGATGACCAAATGAAGCTGAGTTCACAGCAGATATTTTCTCTTTGCACCATGAGAGAGAAACATATGTTGCTACCTAGGATTGAACTCTCAACCTTCCAAGTGGGAGAGGAGCATCTTTACCACTAGGCCACCGCACCACTCATCAAGATATAATAAATGCACTAATTACTTGCAGTTTAACAATAAACACCAAAACTGGGAGTCATTAGTAAGAGTTTTAGGAATTTTTTTTGAAAGGGCATTTTGAAAAGGTTTTCTGCATGCCCTTTTATCTACAAATAATTTACCGTATTTTTCAGAGTATAAGATGCTCCGGACTATAATACGCACCTACCTTTTTTGGTGAGGAAAACAAGAAAAAGAGATCTGCCTCTGCCTCCCAGCAAGTTTGCCTCTTTGCAGCAAACAGTAAACTTTACTTTCATTTTTGTTTTTAGCATAGCTTGATTAGCACAAGAAAAAAAAAATCTGCTCCCAGCAATTTACCTCGTTGCAGCAAGCAGCAGAGGCCCACGCAGCAATAGGCAATGGCAATCCCTGCAGCCTGAAACATCTGAGAGTCGGGAGGCCGATCCAACGGACAATTAACATCTGCTAATTAGGCTGTGCTGAAGCTGAAATGGGCTGTTTCTTCTTGCTGCTTGCTGCAAAGAGGTAAATTGCTGGGAGGCAGAGGCCAAAGGGTGGTGGCCAGTGGGTGGGCGGGGCTACATTCGGTGTATAAGACACACCCAAATTTTCACCCCCTTTTAGGGGGGAAAAGGTGCGTCTTATACTCTGAAAAATACGGTATATATAAGCAGCAAACAGCTTATTTCATCTAAGCATGCTGAAATTTTAACATGCTCTATAGATAGTCTTCAACTTATGGCCATAATTGAGCCTGGAATTATGGCCGTACGTCATTGCACTCGTTCAGTAGGCCACCATGGTACCGTGCCCAATTTTATGACCTTTTCTGTGGCAGTCGTTAAGCAGATCATAAGGTCATTAAGTAAATTTGTTTTATCCAATGGATAAAAGTAAATATCAGAAATCAGCAAAAAAATAAAAAATCGCAATCATGTGCTCATAGGTCACTGAAAACAGCTGTACATATGAGCCAGTTGCCAAGGACCCAAAATGCAATTATGTGTCTATGGGAGAGGGATGGGTATGGCCATCGGAACCTCAAAATCAGGTCGTAAGTACCTTCCGGGGAGTCCATTGTAACTTTGAACAGTTGTTAAGTGATGATTACCTGTATGGTGTCTTAATCATGTACAAAGATGTTTTAACTGTTTCAAACTTAATTTTCATAAATTCAGCACAAGTTGGCTGAATACTGTCAGGTGATTAAAATACTTTTTTTTTCTTATGTTTTTTCAATGCTGCAGTAAGTAATTACATAAAAAGAAAAAATATTTTTGTTTGCCTGTATAAGTGTGTGTCTCTCTCTATGTGTGTAATATATATACAAATTCCTCTTCTATAGGAAAAGTTTATAGATCAGATTAAACTTTATTGCCTTAAAATATCTCATCATAAATCCATTTACTTTGAACTGGAATGATTCTTCTTATTTGTCAAATACATTAATAAAACCGAGTTTATTGAGCTAGTCTCTCAAGAACATTTCTACCGGTACAATAGCTAGAAGATTTAGATGTGACATACTTCTGAAATCCCAAAGATCTTTTTTCCAAAAGGCAACTGATCTTTCTTGTTTTTCCTTTGGAAACATTTTGCTTCTCATCCAAGAAGCTTCTTCGGTTCAAACCTGACCTGGATGATTCAGACATACTTCTGAAATGTCTTCCTGCCAAATACCTCATCCTGTCTTCTAATAGAGATGAGCCAAACCATGATTAGTTTAAAAAGTTGGCTGTCTCAGACAATTGCTTTTGGGCATTGTGAAAAATCTATAAGCCAGGCAATGGTGAATTCTAGTCCTGCCTTAGCCATGAATAACCAGCTTAGTCACCTTGGGCCAGTCATTCTCTCAGCCCAGTCCACCTCACAGTTTGTTGTTGTGGGGAAAACAGGAGAAGGAAGGAGTATTATGTATGTTCACCACCTTGAGTTACTAATAAAATAATAAAGGCGGGATAAATGTTGGGATAAATAAATAAATAAAGCTAGGTAACAAATAAGGCTGTTCCTACCGTGTCTTGCAAGTTTGGGCAGCAATTGCCCATGTGGTTTTTGGCTCAGTGATTCGGATATAGCATCTTCCATCATGATAGGTCCATCCTGACTGACAAGTTTTCATTTTAATATCCTGGAATAAAGCAATTTTTTAAAATTCAGAATGACTTGCTAAATTGTCCACCTCAAAAGAAGGGATTGACTCCTTTCAGAATTGGGCTTGGGAAAGATGAGAATGTTGATTAATTGGGTCATTTCTGTTCTAAACTATGAATTTGGCTACTATTGCATTTCTGATGGCATCCGGCTATAAATGAAACAGAAATACTGCCTATTGCTTGGCAATAATAAGAATTCCTGAATACAGTACCACTCAAAAGCTTAATTATTCTGTCCCTTCCTGTATCATGTGGGGAAGGATTTTTTTATTATAAAGTACGCCTTCTACATGCTCATAACTAGGTCACTGAAGATACCTAACTATCTCTGCCTTTGCTTGTTCTCATAATGTACATTCAATATATCTAACCATAATAACTTACTTGCTACACCGTCTTCCTTATAGCATGCCACAACTGTTCCCTCATGACATATATCTTCCTAGAGTTATAATTTTTGTTGTATCAATAAATGGGCTTCGATTCACAAACCTATGTTTCCATAAATTGCAGTACAGAAAATCCTCGACTTATGACTACAATTGAGCCCAACAATTTCTGTTGTTAAGTGGCACACATTGGTTAAGTGAGTTTTGCCCCATTATACGAACTTCCTCGCCACAGTTGTTAAGTGAATCACTGCAGTTGATAAGTTAGTAACCCCATTGTTAAATGAATCTGGCTTCTTCATTGACTTTGCTTGTCAGAAGGTCGCAAAAAGGGGATGATATTACCCCAGGACATTGCAACTGTCATAAATATGAACCAGTTGCCAAGTGTCTGAATTTGGTCACATGACCATGAGGATGTTGCAACGGCTGTCAGTGTGAAAAACAGTCGTGTCACTTTTTTCAGTGCTGTTGTAATTTTGAGCAGTCACTAAAATGAACCGTTGTAAATCAAGGACTACCTGCATTCTCTGATAATGAGTGCATTTACATTTTTCTCCCTTCAAAGTTGGATGTGGAATCAAACCAGTGGTGGGTTGCCCCCAGTTCACACCGGTTCTATAGAACCGATAGTAAAACCGGTGGGAGGCTCTGCTCACCGACCCCGACGTCATCAAAACGCTTCTGCGCATGCGCAGAAGAGCGCGCGGTCCTGCTGTGAACCGATAGTAAAGGTAAGTAGAGCCCACCCCTGGATCAAACTGTTACAATAACATTTGGCTTTATATTTCTCAAAAGTTAAGCACCTTGAGTACAAGGTGTTCTCTTTCCAGACATAGGGGTAACCAGATTCCTTTCTGCCCTCATCTGTATTCCTCATCAGTTGTAAAACAATTTTTTTGGCTATTGGTAAATTTACAAGAAAAAATAACAGAGGGGGGGGGGGAGAGATAGAGAGATAGAGATAGATCCCTACCTTGTCTGAGTAGTTCCATAATGTCCAGGCAGTACCATTGCACAGAAACATCTTCTGTATGTTTTCTTCAAAATACAAGAGACCCTTCAAATTTGGTGTGCATCTATTTGGAAATGAAAGGCTGTCAACCTGAAAATGAGTAAGACATTTATGAAGTGAACAACAGTTATAAATGAGTGTTCTGAAACAGAACACTTGAAATATTAATGTTCTATATTGTTTATTTTTAAGATTATGTTTATGTATTTTTGTTGATAGATGTTAAATCAGTGACATCATTGAATAAATCCATCGTTTTAAAACCTCTTTCGGAATTAAGTGTACAGGCCCCAAACCAAGAATGGTGATTCCTCCAAGCTAAGTTCTTTAGCTTGGAGGAATTCTTCAAGTTCTCTAAGTTCTTTATTCTTTTCACAGAGATGGAACCCTATCTTTCTCTGGCTCTATTACTATCCCTTACCAATGGACAGTTGCTGGGAACTTTAATTCTGGAAGTTGACATCTTCCCCAACAGGAACATACCAGAATGCTGGAGTCTGCTTGAAGAACTTCCATTTTCTTGGAGGAAGCTACATTTTTTCTTGGTTCTTTTTGGCTTCTTAAAGATACGGGTCCCATCTTGGTTTTTCTAGGCAAAGAATTGTCCTTATCTACTTTTAGCCCTGTCATCCCATGGTACTTTGTAAAAGATAGAAAAGAGAATTTCACACCAGTTAATTCCAAAGACATTTAATTTACAGAACTAAAAAAAAAAAAAAAGAGAAAGAGAGAGAGATGGTTTGGATATACAAATACCAAAGACAAAAAGTTACCCAATATCTGTGGGAATAATATTTAAAATAGAGCTGCTCCAGTCATATATAAAGTGGGCAGTAATTTTTGAGAACAAGATATGCAAAATAAATTGATAAGATTCCTCCTATCCTCCTTTTCTCTATTTTTACATGATTTGTTTCCAATACTATATTCAGGATAGGGAAGCTTATTTGGAATATGAGGGTAAATGGAAAAATGAGCATGGAAACCATTCTTCAACTCATCATTTACAAACATATTTTGCACTAAAACAGTTCTTCTTAGTTCTCCTTGCTTTTGCTCTTAAATTCAGCCTACATGCTCAACTTCACCCTATTTCACACCTAACATTGACCAAGGCAGTTTAAATAGTTGCCATCACCATTTCTAAACCAACTAAACTGAAAATACACTACACTAAACACTTTTTACATCACAGAAAATGAGATGTATCCTGAATTCATCAAGTATTCTATGTAATGGAGCTATAAATAAATATTACAAATAAGGAACTTGTTACTCAATAATGCTCTTACTTTGAAAAACTCATCTGTGCCATTTTGAATAATAAAAGAGGGATGAATCTGAAAGGAAAAGGAGAAGTATGGCTGAATAACAGAAGCAAAATATAATTTGTATATTTTCCAAAGGTAGTTAGTAATATTGGCCATTAGAACATAAGACAAAACTTTAGTCTATATCATTTGAATAACTGGGGGAAAGGGAGAGATCTCTTGAATTACAAATACAAAATTCACCTAGAAAAATAGAGCCTTTTATTATAAACAAATTGACATTAGTCAACTTTACCTAACTTTCTTTCCCTGATTTTAATTTATTATTTTTGTATTATTTTGGCTTTCTATTCTACAATTCTTGGAGCAATTTCCCATTCCAAAGGAAGCAATGAAAAGCAAACAAATCAGTTTTATAACCTAAATCTGAATAGGGGTTTTTTTGTCACAATACTTCAATATATAAAAGGGAAAATATTTTACAATCCCAACAGAATGGTACATTTTTAAAAAAGATTTCTTTAGTTTATCTGAGCATGATCATTCTCTGAATTTTTGACTTCTAGGGAGAATATTTCTCTCTTGACTCTATAGAAAAAACTCCACAAAATGAAGATGGAGAATTTAAACTGGCATGGCAGGAGAATCCTTCCCTAAAATGTGCATTACCATTTCTGATTAAATTATTTCAGCTTTTGTCATGCTTCAGAAAACAGTGACATCTGTTTGACTAATAAGAGTATTTTAAGGAAGTACATATAGCAGAACTGGCTTTAGGCTAAGGTAAAGTAGACAGTGATTTAAGAGTATGCTAAAACTTTAGGATGTGCCAAAATTGTGGTCTGAAAAACACAATAAAAAAAGCAAAATGCAGAAACAGCACACAATGTTAAGGTAATGTGTTCACTCAAGGGTTAAATATAATTTTGCAGAATTGTTGCCATATAACAAAAATAGCTGGTGATGTAATTGAGAATCCTATGTAAATAGGGTAAAAATATCTGAGAAACAAATTGGGACTGGAAAATCTTAAGTGTAAGACTTATAACTCAAAGAAAAAAAGAAACAAGAGGTCAAAATCAGGCAATGAGCTAACCATAGGAGGTGCCAGAATACGGCTTGCCTAGGGCATCAAAATGTCTATAGCTGGCCCTGCACACTAGCGACAATACAGATAATCCTTGACTTACCACTGGTCACTTGGCAACCATTTGAAATTACAACTGATCCAAAAAGGAGTACTTATGAACCAGATTCGAAGTTCGGACAGTTGAATCCATTATAGCTGCAACTCAAGAACTACCTATAACAAATCATATCTCAAATGCCTTTTTTCAGCCTCATCAGCAGTCAGTCTCATTTTGAATAAGTCAGGTGAGAGTGTCATGAAAACATGCATATAACTTTGAAGCAATGCTTTTTTTTCCCCCTGTTCATGAGGCAACACTTACTATTTTGCCATTTCCGATGACCCGTAGCCGGTTCCTCGCAAGATTCACTGAGCTGAATTTGGGTGGCTTGTCCCGTCTCTGTGCTATCATCTCTTTGGAAGGGGGCAGCAGGATTCCTTCCAGATTAACACTGCTGTGCCTGAAAGATGAAGGAGAACCTGGAAGCGGTCTTTCTTTCATCCATAAGTTCTGAATATTTTGGCTTGTGGAACGGAATGAATTGCACTGACCTAAAAAGCAAACAAGATGGCAGATGGTCAGTCTTTTGTTTACAAAAAAATAAAAGCAGAGAATTGGTCACATTGATATGGATGATGAAACAGCTTGTCATTAAAAATGGGATGATAGTTCATCTGATATTCATTTAGTTCTTTTAAATAATCCTTATTTCTCTGCTTAATTTGAAAATTGAAAAACAATTTTAGAAGTTTGACGTGAGAGATGAAGAAAACATAATTTCTCAAAATTAAAAAAGGCGTTTAAAAAAACCTGCTTGTGCCCAAATTTTGTGGATGTAAACTCCACATTAAAACTTTAGCAACAGTATAATCACACAAATACTGTACCTCTTTTTAATTTTTTTTAAATCTTGCCTTTCCTCCTGGAGTGTCAGTTATACTCTTCCCATCTGTTTGATTCAGAGAACTTCACAACTTTGAAGGTTTGACTTTTGATGTCAGCCGTGCTTGTTCACATTGGCTTGCCAAATCATTGTTGGCCTACGTCTTGATTTTATTTATCTAAATATTTTAGATTGCTTTCAAGCTATAAACAGCCTGAGGCAGTGTACAAAATTAAAATTAGTTAAACTGTATTGAGAAGTGAAGATAAAAGGAATAAAAAGGCTCCCATATTAGGATAGCCAACTAAATGTTACAGGCTCCCCCACTGTGCTGAAATGTTTATCATTTCTAAAGTGGATCTACCCGTATTTTTCAGACTATAAGATGCACTGGACTATAAGACACACCTAGATTTAGAGGAAGAAAACAAGAAAAAAATAGCTTTTGGTCTTTGCGCGTCCCATTTTCGCCCTCCCTGGCCCCCAGAAGCACTTTGCAGGCCAAAAACAGACCCATTTTTGGCCTCCTAAACCCTCCACACATCCCATATTCGCCAAAAACAGGCCCATTTTTGGCCTGCAGAGTACTTCTGGGGGCCAGGGAGGGTGAAAACGCGACACACGGAGGGTTCAGGGCTCAAAAAAGGGCCCATATTCAGTCTATAAGACACACCAAAATTTTCACCCACTTTTAGGGAGGAAATAGTGTGTCTTATACTCCGAAAAATACAGTATACAGACAATATATAGTTATTCAAATTGGGAGCCCCTATCTGCATTAGTTATAAATGCTGCATTTGCTCTCTCGTTCTCGCTCTCTTTTTTAATAGTGCATATTTATGCTTTTGAAGATGGAAGGATAGACATGCTTCTATAGCTATTCAGCTATACAGAGTGGTTCAAAAGTTAATCTCAGTGGATGTATGATATCAAGATATATACTGTGATGTAGCAGTACATCTGAACACAAATTTGTTTAAAACTTGGTTGCCAGGACCTTTGTTCAATTTATATTCTGAGCCAGTGACACCCTTTCCGGGATAGGGAGGTTCTCCAGTCGGTCACTTGGTCATCCCCCGTTTGGACTATTGCAATGTGATCTACATGGGACTACCTTTGAAAAGTATCCAGAAACTTTATCTGATAAAAAAAAATGCAGCATTTTGTACCAGCTGAAGTTTCTGGATACTTTTCAAAGGTAGCCCCATGTAAAGCACATTGCAATAGTCCAAACGGGAGCAATTTTGGGTGCCCAAAGAACGGTGCATGTGGCACCTCTCTACTGTGTAGCTGCATTGAGTGCCAGACTGCTTCTGGGTCCAATTCAAGTGATTGGTTATGACCTATAAAGCCCTACATGGCATGCAGCCATGTTATCTACAGAACCATCTTCATCAGGGGTGGGTTCTAAATTTTTTTACTATCGGTTCTGTGGGCATGGCTTATTTTGTGGGTGTGGCTTGGAGGTCATGTGACTAGGTGGGTGTGGCTATCTGGTCAGTCATTTCTGGAAGGTCCTCGCACTTACGACCAGTCCTCGCACTTACGATCCAATTCATTTGTTTGCTTTTAACACTGATCAGCTGTAGGACAGCCCTTTGAAGCCCCACGGCAAGAGTTTAAACAGTTTTTTTTCCCTCTAGTCATCAGCTGGGACTCAGGAAGCAGCAATAGATTGGGGGTGGGACCAAATAAAAGGTAAGAATAACGTGGGGGGGTGTGGGAGGGTGGGGTGTGTGGGAGGGCGGGGGGGAGAACCGGTTCAGTGATGTCATATCATTTCGGCCGAACCGGGAGGAACCCATCACTGATCTTCATCCTTCATTACATCATTACATCAGCCTGTCGCACCCAGTCAGGCAAACAAGGGATATTGTGGACCCCCCACAAATGGTGGGGTGAAAGAAGAGAGCTTTCTCTGCTGTTTCGTCTGAAACACTCTTCCCCCCTGAGGTGAGGCGGACCCTCACTCTCCTAGCCTTCCAGAAAGTCATGAAGAAATGGTTCTGTGGCCCTGCTTGAGGCACCAGAGGAATATGCAGCAGCCATGGGGCTGGTTAACACCCTGAAAGCTCTTCCCTGCCTTTTCATTACTTTTTAAAATTGCTTGCCCCTTTTAAATTTTATATACTGGGTGGTCTATATAATGGGTGGTTTTAAATATGATAGATAGATAGATAGATAGATAGATAGATAGATAGATAGATAGATAGATAGATAGATATTTAGCCATCTCCTTCCAAAACTGCATCCTCAGAATTACCCCAAACTGCCCTATGATTAACAGGGAAAAGGGTGGAAGGGGTATTGCAACTCCCACAAAAAGGAGCTATAAGCCACAACTTCATCTGTTTTATCAGTCAGATTCTAGATCTTTCGGTAGACGACAATGGTATCTGCTCTTGTGGTTGTTTGTTGATTCCTCCATGCTGTGCTCCCTCAGCAGAAGAGAAGGGATCTGCAACTATCAAAGCTATTGTCTTTCTTTTAAGAAAGAAATGAAGCATTTTGATCCAAAGGTGCTAGCAGCAACATTTGTGAGTTGAAAAATAAGCAACCACTCAGCCAAGATTGCTCCAGATTTCATTAGGAAGATTAAAAGAAAATACCTCCTTCCGAGTCCAAAATTCTCACTATAGCTTTTGTCCGAGTGCCAAGAACAGCATTCACAGGGGAGATCAGAGCCACTTCAAAGACCTCATCCTCTTCCTCTAATCCATCATAGGTAATTGCTATATTCCACATCTTGGTTGACATTCCTACCAGAAGTAAACATTTTAATTACACTTTAATTGCTTTTTCAATCAACCTAGGTGTCGAAAAAATATATTAATTAACATGTCTGCAGCTATAACAGACTGGCTTGTATAATTCTATTGTGCTTCTGCCCATTGATTGGACTCCTGTGGCTTTCCGAAATAACACTAACTAGAGATCAAATTTGTTCCTAAGCACTGATGATTCCATTCAAATAGTAACAAAGATTGGTTTCCTACAGGGTAAATGGCTGGGGGATAATAGCATGCAGTTCAGGAGGGGAGGACTGGCTCTTCATGTAAATTTAAAAAAAGAAATTAAGAGAACTCTTCATTTTGAAATCTTAATTGCAAGGAACCAACTCGTGTTTTGAAATATTGTCATTTTCAATCACCCATCACCAGGAGCTCTGTTCCAAGTACCAGGTATATCTGTCAAACACCTTGAACAGAAGCCAGTATCTTGATTGGAAAGTCCAAGTAATCTGTTCAGCTGTAAGTAGAAATAAGTATCCCATGCATTGCATACACCCTCAAAAAAATGTCTGAGAAAAAACTAAAATGGATAAAGTTGCTGCTACTACTACCAAAGCAAATTTGGAGATTTAGCCAGAAAGTCCAAGAAATCTTGAAAAGAAGAAATAAGTATTGCAATCTTTTAATTGCTACTGAGTTTGGCTTAATGCAAACATTCAAAATATATTTTCAGATTCTCATCTAGAAAAAGAACAGTGCAATTGTCAACAGGATAGCATAAGAATATGGAAAGCAAATTCTGATTAATGCCTTTAAAAAAAAAAAACTTCCTAAGAGTAAGAGCAGCTTAATAGTGAAGCCAAGTATCAGAAAAGGGTTGGGCTCTCACTGACTTGATTTGTTCAAACATTTGTCAAGGGCACTGAGCTCTTGCAGTGCTTAAGTGGTAGGACTGGATGGCCTAAATGACTCCTTTCCACATCTGTGCTTTTTAGGATTTATGATGGTGGCTATATTTTTGGCCCAAGGAACAAGAACAATGCTTCCTTCTTGAGATCTTTTAAGATCTCCTTCTGTTGGGTTGTAAGTACTGGAGCTGCAACTGACCCTGAGTTTCCCAAGGCTGGTATTATTGAATCAAAATACTGCTATGGAAATCCTGCATGCCAGCATCAGCCCTTCAGATAGAGTGTTTTAGAGTGACAATTTTTTTGACTGATGTATTCCAAACATCTATTTCCAACAGAGCACTCAGAGAAGGGATTTTCAGCCACTCTAACCATTTTTGCATACAGGCAAAAGAAAGCAAAGAAATGTGTCTATACATCTTTTCACATCAGTTACTTTTATTTGGGGTTTCTGTTCTATTGTCAGGATGAGATATTTTTTAATAAACCTAATTGAAAATGACGTGCTTATTTATATGTAGTTATAAATACTTCTTTAAAGTTAAAGTAATAATAATAGAGCTGGGGTAGCACAATAGTTAGAATGCAGTATTGCAGGCTGATTCTGCTCACTGCTAGGAGTTCGATCCTGACCGGCTCAAGGTTGACTTAGCCTTCCATGCTCTTTGACATCAATAAAATGAGGACTCAGATTGTTGGGGACAACATGCTGACTTATGGTGTATAGTGCTATGGGGCAGTATATAAGTCAACAGTCATAAAAAAAATCTGGTAATATTAAAATGAAGAAAGAAAAGCACTATTATATCAGTATTTTGTGAGCTCCAAATAAAGTTCTAAAGAAGGTCCAAAACATTAGATAAGTTCATATGAGAGCAAATGTTCCTTAAAATATGCTGGTCCTATTACTGCGGGTCTTTGAATGGCTATGCCCTGATCTTTGAATTCTGGAACAGAAGGCGGCTCAATTGTTGTGCAGTCATAGTCCAAATATCTGGATCTGATCAGATAAACCAACTATAGCCTTTTTGTAACTGCTGAACCTCTGAGCGATTTTCTGTCCATTATACAGTAATTAGCCACATGGAATGTTATCATCATGGACAGACTACCTTTGTCTGACAAATACCACAGATGACCTATCAATCTAAGCTTGAGTCACAGAATAACTGCCCAAGGGCTCAAGAATAGGAGTGTCATCACAGTATCTGCAGTAGGGATAAGAGGAGAGGAAAGGACCTGCACATCATGATATGAAAAAATGTTTTCTTTAAGTATTTTTTTCCCTCATAAACATATCTTAAGTTTCTTATCTAACATACATACTTTTTTTTAGCTTTCATACTAATACAATCTTCATCCTAAACAATTTAAGTATATTCAGGGTTGCTCTTCTACCATTTCATCTCCCTTGTTTTACAACAATCCTCCTTCTCCCTCTCCTCTCTTTCCTTTTCCTCCCTTCTTCCATCTACTCTTCTACTTTCTTCTTTCCTCCTCTCCTTCTCCTCCTCTCCTTCCCCTTCCTTTCTCCCACACCTCCCTTCTTCCTCCCTTCTAACCTTCTCTCCTACTCTTGTTTCCCCTTTCTTCCTCTCCTTTTCACTTTCTTCTTTCCCTCTCTCTCCTTCCTCTCTTCTCTCCTCTATCCCTCTCCATTCCCTCTCTATTGTTGTATTCATTTTCAAATTAGTATTTTCCAAAGTGGTATTTGAGCAATCCCGATTTTTACTTTCTTTTCAATTTCTTTTCATTTTACTAAATTCACACATATCATCATTTCTTATTTTTATACATAACTCAAGGTGATAACATAACCCAATACTCCTTCCTCCTCCTATTTTTCCCATAACAACAACCTTTTGAGGTAAGTTGGGCTGACAGAGTTATTGGCCCAAAGTCACCCTTTTATGCCTGAGACAGGACTAGAATTCACAGCCTCCCGTTTTAGGCTATCACCTTAACCACTTAACCAGCTCACCTGGATCAAACTGAATAAGTTTCGAAGGAGGAAGGATGAAATCCTTTCCCGATAAAGCAGTCATTTCGTCAACCTAAGAGAGAAAAACACAGCTATAAAGTAGAAGCTCTAAGTCTTTTACCACAGAGACCCAGTCCAAGATATCTGCCATTAGGGTTTAATTAATTATCAGCTTCTGTGCCTGAAATATAGCTAGCCCTCAGCAACCATCCAAGCTAATACACCAGGTCTGAGCATGATGTTTCTAGTTTAAATCCTTGAATAGGGACACAGGTGAAAGTAAAAGGAACAACGATCTTTCACAACAAAGAGTCAAATGAACTGCAGTCAAATGAAAGAAAGGAATAAAGTACAGCCAAAACAAACGAAAACAAGGGAATTTAAAGTACTGAGAATTTGATTTGTAAGGAATTATCCCTAGTGTATTTAAGTTTCTTCAGGGAGAGAAAAATGCATTTTACTTAATGAAGCCTTTGCTTTAAGGGAATGATTTCAAAAAAGACAGCTTTGGTAAATATCTTTTTCAATTCCCATAGCAATTGTGCTGCTACGGTTCTGTAGAAGAGAATATGCGCAAGATGGAGGATTCATAAGGAATTATTGAGAAAGCCAACAGCAAAATATTGTTATGCTGTCTATAAAAATGAGGTTATTCCATTTAATAGCGTGAACTAAATCTTTTGGCATAAACATTTGTATCAAAAAATCTTCTACCTAATTTCTGCCCTTGAAAATATTTGCTCTAGTCTAGAGTGAAATCTGCATAGGGTGATATTTGCTGCGAGTTAAAAGTTACGTTAACCCACCAGGGATTCCCGTATATAGATATAAAAACTGAAAAACAGTTGTATGTGTGGTGGAATTCAAAAAAGTCCAAAGGGCAATTGTGGCCATGCAATCAAAGCCACGTTCCTCTGGACATGCATGTGAGGATATGGATGCACATAGACAAGATGTAGGTTTTGTATTGCATTTTGGTTAATAGACTGTAATCTCCCAAGAAATGAACTCCTTGATGTGGTGGGAGCAGTGAGTTACTTCAGTGATCCTAACACAAATGCAAGCGGAAGCAGTAGGTTGTGGTAGGGTCACTCTTTCCAATGTTAAAAAAGAAGGGGGCAGTCTAAGAGTAATATACAATGGGGTAAAGGCAAATGTAGGGGACCAAATTTCCTGACACAAAGAACATGAAACTTAAATGCAGATGAAGGCAATGGCCAAGCACGTCTGCAATATGCAAAAATAGATATGAACTATATGGGTATGACTGAAGATGAGATTCTCAGGTTAAAGGAGGAGATGAAATGAACACACAAAAGCCACAAGGAAATCTAGTCACTGATAGTAGCAGAATTAAAATCATCAACACGCATCTGAAATGTAATATATTGGATGTTTTAGGAATAAGTGCACAGGTCTAGAATGAGCACTTTAAATCAGATCTTACCTTGTATATGTGATAGTAATATGGATACTGCAAAAGGGCATTGCTATGAATGTGCTTGGCTCTAATCCAATTATGATAATATATATTAGAATGAGTGGATTTCCATCAACATCTATGTTATAGAAATATATGTAGCTATTCCAGGGGTGGGTTCTAACATTTTTTACTACTGGTTCTGTGGGCGTGGTTTATTTTGTGGGCATGGCTTGATGGTCATGTGACAATTCTTTAGGATTTAGCAGAGGTACTGATCTACTGGCTTTTAACTGCTTGCAGACCTGTACCAGTCTACCCATTTATTTTTGAAGGCACTGGTCTACTCATTTATTTTTGCAGGCACTGGTCTACTCATTTATTTTTGGAGGCACCGGTCTACCAGCACACAGCCTTTTAACACTGATCAGCTGTAGGACGGCCCTTTGAAGCCCCGCGGCAAGAGTTTAAACAGCTTTTTTCCTTCTAGCAGATCAGCTGGGACTTAGGAGGCAGCAATAGCTTGGGGGTGGGGACAAATAAAAGGTAAGAATAATGCGTGGGGGGGGCGGGGGAGCAGAACTGGTTTGGTGACATCATATGTCACCACTACTGGCTTGGTGGAACCAGGCCGAACCGGGAGGAACCCACCACTGAGCTATTCCAATGCAACAAAAAAAAAAGGCATTGAGGAATTATATGGTAAATTCAAGAGATATTAGAAGCAAAATAGGAAAAAAGGATACAGCACCAATAACTAATGGTTTGAAGGTAAAAGTTGGTATTTTTGGACTTTAACTCCCAGAATACCCCAGTCAGCAGACATATTGTTAATTTGCATGTCCTTAATTTGTGTGTCCTAAATACAATGATCCTTTGTGATCAATTACCTTCATTGCCACAAAAGCAGAATCTCCCTTGTATCCTGATCGGGTGATTTTTAAAGATAGCATCTCCTCATTTTCACACAGTTCATACACACCCTGCTGCAGTTCAATTTTAGACCATTTTAGTTCTAACCTATTGAAAAAGAGAAGAAGAAAACATAACAAGGAAATCTCATAAAAATCCCCCCCCCCCAAACAATCTCTGGTTTGTCTCTTTATTGTTAATGGAAATTTATTTTTTCTAGCTGTTTGTCACTGTTTTAAAGAGAAGAGTTGTTTTAAGAGAGGTAAGCAGTTGATCTGATCAAAATTAAGCCTCGCTTGTGTTTTTATCTGTAGTTTTATACCTGAATCACAACTATGTAGAAAGCAAAAGAGCTTTTGCCTGGACTGATGACAGCTATTTCTAAGATTTTTTAAATTATTGATTTAATGCACATGCAAATAGAAATGATTTGATCTCTGGCTTGCAAGTTTATATAGTAGGACATAGGAACAAGCTAGAAGGCGTTCCCTAATCTGGTGTTAGTTTGACAGATATTGAAAAAGACAAACAGGGAAAGGTTCAGTGAGAGTAACAGAGCAAAATGAAAAGCCAGTTTGGTACAGTGGTAAAGGTGATGGTCTAGAAACTAGGAGACTGTGAGTTCTAGTCCCACCTTAGGCATGAAAGCCAGCTAGGTGATTTTGGGCCAGTCACTCACTTTCAGCCCAACCCACCACACAGGCTTGTTGTCATGGTGAAAAGTAGGAAGAAGGAGCTTTATGGTATGTTCATGGCCTTGAGTTACTTATAACGCAATAAATGTGGGGTAAAAATCCAATAAGATGGAGATACATTACAAAGGGCAGAGTAATAGGGCATGCTCAGTGAGTTTCGTTTTTCTTCTTTAAAGTTACAAAATAATTCTCCTTCTGTTTCCATCTATAATTTCATTTAATAATCTCTACAATTCTGCAAGAACAACTACAATTTTGTAAAAAAAAAAAAAAAAGAGCACCTTTGGGACAACCATGACCTGGGTGACTGAGAATCTCCATAGGCATTTATACTGGACAACTGTCACTGTGATTTAAGTCTAATCTATCACACAATGTGACCATAAGAAGAAAACAGCAAAAAAGAAACCAATATCTCATTTTTATTGGATTTTGCTTTTTTTGACTAAGGACAGAATACAGATGATGGAGATACATGTTATATTTAAGTATCCTCATTAAATATAATGAGAGTGAAATCCACATGCTGTAGACTTTACGGCAGCAACAATCAGCCCTTGGGCAAAGACCCAATGTTATCAACCTCCCTTCTCAAAGTGACATTGCCTTCTCTCTAATGAAGTACTCAGCAGACTGCAGAAAGACAAGGAAAAGCCAACAGGCCTTCATGCCTAGTATAAGAATGCTACATACAAACCTGGAGGGAGGAGGAGAGAGAGAGAGAGTAGTAATTTTTACCCTCATATTAAGGCTGCAACCTGAACCACTTGTCCATTCTACATCTAGCAAATCGGACGATTTCAGAAATTCAGTGGGAAAGTAACACAGTACCTTCTTTTTAAAAATAAATATAATTAATGCTGGAAAAGAGGTAAAACAGCACTGTTTTCATTCCATGGTGTTCCTTTTTGCGCTCAAAACCAAAATAGCAAAGAAATACACAGCAGAGAGGTTTCGGTTAAAGCCACCTATTTTGTCCCTCCAGGGAATCTGATCCAATTATATTAAAAGTAACACCCTACAGAAGTTTCCCCATATTATTTTAAACTTTAACAAGCCCAAAAAGAAAACTAGTCACACTAAGCAGGATTTTAAAAAGAGTCTGCTACTTTTTATTGAAAAGTATAGGCTTTGTGAAATACTACTGCTTGCTTTATCAGATGTTTGGAGTAGCTAAAACTGAACTATACCTATTTAGTCACTCTGTGCATTCGATGAAGTGAGCTATAGATTCAAACAACATTACAGGGCTACCTCTTGTCCATCACTTCTGCTGTAAATAGAAGAATGCAAATGGGGTACCTTTAAATGACACTGGTACATTTCCAAAATATACTGTTTCTACCTTCGAAGACATCATTTTATGCGGTATGCAGATTTTAGTGCTAGATAAAAGACAGAGCATGTGCTGACAGCTGTTATTGCAACACTGTTGAAAAAAAGGTCAGGTTTTGGGGAAGCTTTCAAAATATAATTACACTCTTGTCATTTTGAAAAATCTTACTAAGGATTGTTGCATAGATTTGCGACATGTTAATATCCCAGAACTAGAGTGACCTCTAGCTGTCAGAAAAGCACATCAAAAGGTAGCTTTCCCCATTTCCAAATGGAAGTGTACTTTAGTGAGTAATTTACAGCAAAATTTCCCTTCACAAATAGAAACGCCTTTTATCAGTGTTATCATTAATGTTGTGCTGTCCTGCATCACAATGACCATAATGCTTGTCAATCCTTCACTAAGAAAACAGACTGAAAAAGTGTGTCTACTTTTCCCCAATTCAATGCATATTTATGAGAGAAAGAGATGATTGCTTTGAGTTTAGGCAATGAATTGTCCTCAGAGCTCCTAAGATTGGGGAGAAAGAGACACTTCCCACCCACAATAAGCTTTCAACCCTACATATTGAGGAAAGAGGAGGCCTTATGCCACTCAGAACAACTCGCAACACAGAAGCTGCAGCAGAATTTCCTGAAGAAAACCTGGGAAAATAAGGTTCAAGTTGGGTGAAATCTACTTACTTCCCTACCAGTTCGGAAGTGCACGTGCACGCCTGGACCCTCTGCGCATGCTCAAACCCTTCTGCGCATGCGCAGAGGGTAAAAAACAGGTTACTTCCTGGTTAAAACCAGGAAGTAATGGCGTCCGGGTGGGCGGAGCCTTGCGCTGCTGCTGCTACCAGTTCTCCGAACCACCCGCCGCTGCAGCTACCGGTTTGTCCGAATTGGTGCGAACCAGTAGCATTTCACCCCTGGTTCAAGTGCATTTCTGTCTCTATGCTGTACCCAATCAAAATAAAGAGAATTGTCTATAACAAAACACAGGAGACAAATTGAAGAACAATACTTGAGTGACATAGGCTGGAATGCTCTGCTTTCAATTCAGACCATGAAAGTAGGCAGGAAATGAATAGAAAGCAATATTTATTCCTGCCAACCCAGAAGCTGTTAGTGGTCCATACTCATCATTTGGGGTCACCTAGCAGGGCAGATACATCCTTATCTGTGCAATAGGAACTTCTCAGCCTGAATTTCACCTCTGCCAGGATATCTTGAATTTAGCTTTGCCTAACTTTATGCCTGAGGATAATGATTAAGTTCATATATCCTATTAAGCCATAACCCAACTGCTCGGTTCACATTGCATTAAGCCAAATCAAGTTAACAACATTATGCCTTATGCAGTGGGTAAATCCAGGCAAAGCATATCAGTGCACTGTGAAATCTAAATGGATTTGAAGTATTACTATCATTTAAGAGTCAACATGGCAGCAATTTCCTGGACAAAAAGCTTTCTTTCAATAAAACAGCGACATTTTTTTTTTTTTTTAAAGTCACTGCTTCGGTAGTGGATTTTGCAGTATCAACCCGTAAGGCCCAACTATTCCATTAGTTTAGTTTCAAAGCTGTTCATACAGGCTCTGACTTAAGGAAGCAAACAGCAATTATTGGGAATGATGTAAGCATTTAGAGGAAGGAAATCTTAACTTACATCTGGGGGAGGGCAGAATGTCCTTCAGGATCCGCAACCTGAAATTCCAGATCATCTGAATTCTCCTCCCAGTAAGGATCAATGACATAAAATATTATTTTGCTATTTAAATCTTTCTGGCTGAATTGTTCTTGAATACTTTCTCCTGATAAAATAAAGAAGATTATAGAAAAATCAAAATGTTCTTTAAAAACAGTTGCGTCCATGTTTATCTAGACCAAATGTTTATCAAACATTTTCAAGCTGTGGAAATTGCTAGTTAAAAGACAAAAATCAAAACAAATCCCAGAAACCATGATCAAAAGACTAAAGTGTACTGATAGAAAATTGCTTTCCCCCCACTCACCCTAGTCACTTACGGAACATAGGCTTCCACAGTTTGAACAACCCTGGTGCAATCAATTTTTAGAGATAACAATTTTTATTTGGTTAGGTAATGAAAAATCACTGAAAAATGTGGTGTGGCTACCAATGTATAAGAAAGAAATACAGTTCACTAGGTAGGATGGGGTTACGTTGTTGTTAATTTAATGTCAATGGCAGAAAATAATGGTTTAAATGGTTTGATCAGTTTTTCGATTACTTCTTTCAAATTGGAAGGAGTTAGCCTAGATGTTTGGTCTCAAAACACCAAAAAATCTCCTGATATATGCACAGTTGTACAATTCACTTCACGCTTTGTTTCCACCAGCACAGAGAGCAATGGTAGCACATTTAATCCTGTATAGCCATCATCCAACTTTGTGGTATGTAATACAAACTTATGAATGATCATGTATATATAAGTCATATAGATGTTTGGGAATACAGGTAGTCCTCAGTTAATGATGGTAATTGGAGTTTCCATTGCTAAGCCATGCAGTCATAAAGCATGACATCATGTGACCACATTGCTCAGTAACAGCAGTCCCTATTGCTGTCATTAAGTGAGGATGCTGGGTCATCAAGCATGGACCTCCTCATGGTTTTCTATAAGCAAAGTCAACAGCCTTGGTAGTACAGTGGTTTAAGGCACCCTGTTATTAAGCTGGTTATTAAGACCAGCTGCCTGCAATTACTGCAGGGTTCGAATCTCGCCAAGGCTCAAGGTTGACTCAGCCTTCCATCCTTTCTAAGGTAGGTAAATTGAGGACCCAGTTGTGGGGGTCCTCACAAGCTGACTTTGTATAAATATACAAAAGGATGAAGGCTATTGCTGAGCACATTGTAAGCCGCCCTGAGTCTTCGGAGAAGGGCGGCATATAAATCAAAATTAAAACAAAACAAACAAACAAACAAAAAAAAAAAAACAGAGAAGCCAGGAGGAAGTTGCAAGTCCCAGGCTGACGGGCAGGTACATGGCTGCTATGGTGAACCGCAAGTGTGTCAGATGCAGGATCAGCACTCCAGAGGAGGAGAGGGCAAGCAAGCTGTTGCCATAACCCAGCACAAGGTGCTCTGAAGGGCAGGAAGGCATGAAAACAGCTGTCTCAGACTAGCAAGACCACTGCCAGAGCAGGAATGGCTGCTGCCAAGGGTGGTAAAGTGTATCAAAGGCTGCTACAGCCCAATACAAGCATAGCCAGACTGGGGTGGCTGCTACTGGAGGTGGGAGGGAGCAACTTGCAGGAATGTCACACAGCCTTCTTTGCCGGCTTCTCCATTAACTTTGCTTATGAGAGGCTGGCAGAGAAAGTCACAAATGGCAATCACATGATCACCAGACACTGCAACCATTGTAAATGTAATCTGGTTGCCAATCACCTGGATCATAATCATGTTAATTGCAGAGGTGCTGGGATGGGCAAATATTTGAGGAGCAGTTGTAAGTACTGCTCATTTGGCATTGTCATAACTTTGAACTGTTGCTGCTGCTCTGTAACTGAGGACTACCTATAGAAAGACTTTTGTAAGACCTCTCAAAATAGTTTCCAAGGAATTGACCAAAGTTTCCCCAAAGCCACTTCTGTACAGAGCCCAGAAAGGCAGGAACCCTATGACTGCTCAGCCTGGCAGAAGTAGGAACTGTTATGATCAAATCTGTCCTGCCTTCCCAGATTTGCCTCTTTGCTTCTACTGGATCTCCACCAATCCCATTGCTAGTGCTACCACCGCTGCTGTCGAAGGAGGTTCTTTCCAGTAAACATGAACAACAAATATGGAACAGACAAAGGGACCAGGAGAATCAATGGGGAAAGGCAAACATGTAGGGGAAATTGGCTCTAATTTATAAGACATATCGTCAATTTACAAAATAGGACAGAGTCATAGAGGAAAAAAAGCCCACCAAGTATTTTTTAAAAATCTAAATAGATACACAACTTGGAGCTATATGTTTCTGTAGAATCTCAACTATATTTTACTGACAAAGTTGTCTAATTTTTTCATATTCCATAATAAATCTGCAATGAGTACTCCCAGACTTGGCTTTTGTAGTGATATTACTACTCATTCGAAGAATGTTATTGGCATCTAGAAGCAATCCTCCAATTCTAACTTTTCCCAGGCTTCCTCTGTCTTTCTTCTTCTCACAATACATCAGTTATGTAAAAAGAACTGGAAGAATGGTGAAATGATTTTTAATTAGTCACAGTAAGACTACCCTTCTGGGAAGGGAAATAATGTTAACCTTCTGGGAAGGAATAAGATAGCCAGTTAGGTCCAGTGGTTAAGGTACCAGGCTTGAAACCAGGAAACTGTGAGTTCTGGTCCCGCTTTAGGCATGAAAGATGGTTGGGTGATTTTGGGCCAGTCACTCTTTCGCAGCCCTGCACAGTGCATACCTTCCAGAATTGTTGTTGTGGGGACAATACAGTAGGATGTAAAAGGAGCACTGGGTATGTTCGCCACCTTGAGTTATTTATATTTAAAGAATTAAAAATATTTTTAAAATCTTACATCCTTAATGAAATGTAAGCTGTAATAATCATAAGATTTGTTACATAGGACAGGTTAGGACACAAGGTTATTAGGACACAATACCTGTTGTTACATTTTGCAAGTAACCATACTGAGGTCCTCGTAAAATTTTAAAAACAATTTGATCATCTTCAGTATCGCAATCTGATGCTTTCAAGGATCGCATTGTAATGTAAATTCCATAGTTGCCATTGTGCAAAAGTTCCACATCTGAAACTGGATGAAGATGAATAATTTCTGGGGCTGTGTTTACTGGACTATCCACCTGTAAAGAAAAAATAATTTCTATTACTGGTCAAAGATTAGATTGTAATGAAAGTAATGTGTAACTTCTACTTTGTGAAACTGAACACACTTGTATAATCAAAATCAACATCCATGCTGTGAACTGGACTTAATATCATATAGAGAGCCAGGCACACGTAATCCAAATTATATTTGAAGGTTCTGAAATATCTGCATGCACTGGAGAGAAAACATACTGAAATGAATTTTGTTTTATTTTAAAGATAAGCATACTTAGTCTTGGTATCCCTTGACAGCTTCGGGCTGCATTATAATATTATTAAATAAATAATGCAAATATCTTATGTTTGCACATGTATATTGAATTAAGTTTGCACACATGAATGTAGGCATTTATGTAGAACTTGCCTGAATAATAAACGGCAAGGGATCTACTTGCAGCTTGTTGTTTACAAGAAATCCTTGATTTACTCCATCTGTTGCCATAAATGAAAACCTGTCCATCTGAGAACCACCTCCTCCATGTCTGTAGGCTACATTCAGATTGTCCACATCTTGTTGGCTGAAGTTTTGCCGCCATAATCCAGTTTCCCTGTTATATAGTTGACCGTATTGTGGGAACTGTGTTAGGAGAAAAGAAAGATTTTGTGGTGGTGTATCTGGGTCTGAAAGTTGGAGAACATCTGGAGAAAGAACTGCCGTGCTGCCTTCGAACAGTCTCAGGCCCTTGTTCTTGACCACGCTGGGTAAAGCTCGATCCACTGTCTCCAAGATGATCTCAAATTCTCCATGTTTAGTTCTTAGCCCATTGCTGATGATGAATCTGGCAAAAAGAGGCAAGGCATCCTTCAGCATGTGTTCTTGTTGCACCATCTACTGAAATGAAACAGACACCTTTACTGAAGAGCTTATCTCTTACTACCTATGAGAAAAATTAAGTCCCAACTTCTGATCAAATGGCTCTTGTGGCACGTTTCAAGCCTCTGAAAAGGCACAACGTTCAAAATTCCATTCTAGAAACTGACTACACATTGTGGAAATGGGCTACAATGGTTTAGAAGTTTTACTAATAATTTTAATAAAGGTAAAGGAGTTCCTGCGGATTTTACTCTACTAGACGTTACCCACTACAGGGGGTGGTGCTCATCTCCATTTTAAGGCCATTGAACCAGCGGTATCCAAAGACATTTCCATGGTCATGTGGCCAGCGTGATGTCACAGAACACTGTTATCTTCCTACCAAAGTGGTATCGATCTATCTACCCACATTTGCATGTTTTCGAATTGCTAGGTTGGCAAGGAAGAACACTCACTCCATCGCATGGTGCTCAAGTCTTGAATCTGGGCTGCTAGCTTTCCAGCCAACAAATCCAAGCGTCTTAACCGCTGAGCCACAGCACTGCCCAATAATTTTAGTAAATTAATAAATATTTTATTTATCACATTTTATTAAACATTTTATTTAGCATGTTTCATATTATTAGGTTGCCTTCCGACTGTTCAAAATAAAATTCATGGAACTATGTCATAAACATTTGATTCTTGGTTTTTAGTTATACAATGTATTTGACCAATTTAACACCCCAAAACTCTATTGAAAAATCAAAATGTCTTCCCTGAGCATTAATAAAATAACAGTTCTTTAGTTGTCTATGAAGCTGGTTCCAACTAAGGGCAGAGGAAATGTATTTATATTCCCACTTGAATGAACATTGACCTAACTTCATGTTTTCCAACCAATATTGAATTGCAACCTTCCTATTCAAAATCCACACTTTTGCATATTTTTCAATATAGTTTGTCAATTTTAAAAAAATAGGAAAAAGTATTTTTAGGAAAATAATAAATCTGCACATATTCATTAAAGTAATTTACAAAAATGGATTAAAACAAAAACATTTGTAAAGTTTCAAATACTGTACATTCAGTGCATACACAATACGTACAATGCAAAGGTTTGTAGAAATATATACTGCTCAAAAAAATAAAGGGAACACAAGCAGAAGACATCCGAGATATGAATGAATGAAATAGCCTTATTAAATATTTTGTTCTTTACATACAGTAGTTTATACACTGCTCAAACAACTAAAGGGAACACAAAACTATTGTATGTAACAAACAAAGTATTTAATAAGGCTATTTCATTCATTCAGATCTCGGATGTCTTCTGCTTGTGTTCCCTTTATTTTTTTGAACAGTGTATATTCAAGTACATATAACATTTAATGCAGGTTTTTAAAAATACTAACATTTGATGAAACAACAGATTCCCCAAAGTAAGACAAAGAGAAATCAGAATTGACATTTATTTAAATAAATAAATACATTTCATTTTTATAACAACAAAAATAAGAAAACCCATTAGATGTGTTAATTCTAAATCTACTGTAGATATATTGTTGATTCTAAATTCAAGCACTGGTACATTTAGCTCACTACAACAGAATCAAAGTGCCAAGAAATCATCATATCACAAGCATAAGCTATGCATAAAATGATAAATATTTGAAAACTATAATTCAAATGTCTTTCTTCGTCTGAAGGCCTGTCCTTGAACACCTGCGTCATGAATATGTCAATACATTAGGTTTATATGCTTGCAGTTTAGTGCCTCCATTAATAGAATTCGGGATCTATTGATGAGAGGAGCAATACTGATATCAAAGCTACTGGCACTTTTACTGCTGCTTAAGAATTGACCAACTTGTGTGTAGGCTCTGTGCCATCAAACAGCAGCTGCCTACACTGACCTAGTATTTGTGCCAAGAGGAAAACTGATTCTCTGTAATCAGTTTAGTTACACCAGATTTTCATCCGGAATAACAAAGATTATAAGCATATTTTGGGGGTTTCAGAGCTAAGACATCAACACCAAGTAGATAAAATGTTCTAATTCACTGACAATGGCCTTCTGATTGAAGGTATCCTTAGTTGTTTCAGAAGACAACAGGAAGTGGCTAACTTTGTTTGGCCTAGAAAACTAAACAGGATGAGGCCTGGTTAGGAACTTCATGAGAACTCCAGAGAAAGAGAAGTTTTAAAAAAAAAAAAAAAGCAAAAACATAAAAGACAAATAGCAAACCATCCTCACATTGCTGCCAAGAAAATTTGAAAGACATATCAAAGATGTCATGAAAAATTTATCTCTGATCTGCTTCAACTCCTGCTTAAAATTAAAGAACTATAAGAAGGCAAAACAGAAGTGCCCCTATAATAACTCCAGGAATGTATATTATTCCACAAGATCATCCCGTCTGGTGAGATGCATTTCTGTTGACACAAGTTCTCTCTATATAAACTTTGGAATTTCTGCTGCCTTCATGTCTATTGGATTAAAACCAGCCAGAAGAATAAAAATATTAATATTAAATTATTCTTTGAAAAGGTCAACAAAGTTGCTGGGTTCAAGCCGAAGATTTAGTGAACAGTGTAGATATGAGACTAGATGAAGAGCTTTGCTATTTTGATAGATTAATAAATACCATGCAAACAACATGCATTGTTAGATTGTTCGAGACAACAAGGTTGTTCGTTTTGAAGGGAAGTGCTGAGTTCCTATCCCCCCACATGCTGTTTATTTCATGCTAAGTCTTCTCCGTGTGTCCCCCTGGAATAGGGAACAGCCAACCTTCTCATAATTCTGATGAGATTTAGGAAAAATAACTCTCCAGCTTAGTTGGGAAGGCAAGTTGCATGGTCTGATTTCACCATTATCATGCTTTTGGAGTTCATGGCAAGTGAGTTGGCTACAGAACTTGCCATCTGCCGTGGTATTTACGACAGAAAAATGGAATCAGCTATGGTGCCAGCTCATTACAAAACTGATCCACCGTGTCAAAATGGAGGACATTAGCATCTTCTTTTAGCATCCTGCTGCCAGCATCTGATGTCAGATTGCTAATCACTTGAAGTCATCTGTCCCAAACAAGCACTGCCAAATCCTTCTTCCAGGCCAGCAGCAACAGACAATGCTGTAAGTTTATGATGGAATAAAGTGCCTTAACGGACGGTAAAAATCTGATCATTTAATCCCCCCCATTTAATTAAATATCACCAGCTCTTGGTGTTTTAGTTTTTAATAATCCATCGTAGTATTTATATTTCACCGTATAACCAAATACCTTGCCAACTTCTAGCAGGCAAGAACATAATTTACAGTGATTAAAATGGAACACATATCTTCCTTTTCCTTAAAATTATTTTGTCAAAATTAAACTGGCCTGGATTTTAATAAACTGGGCATAAAATCTAGATGATATGTCACTACAATTTAACTATAAGCATATATCTATCCCTCTCTGTGGTCAGTATGGAACCCATTTCAGTATTTGAGCAAACAAATGTAATATCTACTATTTCAATTAAATGGGTATTTAATTGGCATTTTGAATCTGGATCAGAGTAGGTTTACTACTACTTTAATTAATTAAAAAGAGAAAAATCACAAATGAGGAGAGCAAACTTATACCAAACTGTTAATAGATACAGATTTGTTTTATTCATTAGCTGCCATGCTTTTTAATCAGCTAGGCAATGAGATACACAATTGCAAATATATTAGAATATTTTAGAGCATATTAATGAAAATATGTCTCGCAACAATGTAAAAACAATTTTAGCATTTTGGAAATGTCATCTTAATTGTATCACCTGAATAAAGGTACAACAGCATTTAACAAGGGTCAATTCTGAAGTTAAAAAAAGGCTACTATTATTTGAGCAATTTTATTCCTTTTCTATATTTATGTCACCTTCCTTTCCTAATGGCCCTTATAAGAAGCTAGCAGAGTCTTGCCCTCTTAAATATCATCAGAGTAGAAAAGAAAGTAGAAGCTGCTCTTAAAAGTCACAGGAAGAGACCTGTAGGAAACATACAATGTCTAGGCTCAGGAAAACTCAAACTTAAGCTACCTAGGTATAGCCAAGAAGGCTGATGAATAGGGAGAATGTTTATTAGAAGAAGGCAAATAATAAGAAGCAAGAATAGAGGAAAAACATGAATGTTCCAAAGAAATGCTTCCCCAGCTTTAAACATTCAAAGTATATATTCAAAAGTCATTTACACTCATGTTTGATTTACATTTGAACATTTGTGCATTTCATTTGCCCTCAACAGCTCATTTCATGAATTGGAGCTAATCTTTGTTCATTTAAATATACTTAAGAGTATAGGCTGGCTTCAAGGATAGCAAACTACTCTATATAGCTTACACCAGTGACAATAATAGAACATCGAATTTAAATTAACCTCAGAATGAATAACCAATAAAAGGCAGCAGTAAAATTAAAAAACTTTAAATGTTTAGCTCAGGCACAAGTTAAAACAATTCCATTTAATAGCCGAGTAAAACTTTTAAGAAAAAGTAATCAACAATAATATGATTTCAAGGTTTTTGTAAAAGACTCAAAGGATTAGGCCAGCCACAAGGGAATTCAGACAGGACAATCTGACTATGTCATTAAAATGCAAGATACTCCTCTTTTGTGAATGAACTGACACCAGCCCCAACATGAATTTCAGCAAACACACATTATATAGGGTGATAATCAGTCTGGTAGGTATAGGATTATAGTTGTTAACTTGTTATCCTTTGACTGCCAATTTAAAAAAATGGGGATTCAAATAGGGCTTTGGATTATTAATTTAAAGCGATATGGATGAAAGTGGTTCCACCTTTTAAGGTGGCTTGGTGCCACCTTTTAAGCTTTTGAAGATTAAGGCTGTAAACTTTTTTTTCCCAATGCAAACTCTCCTTCAAGGTAAACTTAACTCATGGTAATTTAACAGGTATTGCCATGTATTTTCTCTCATTGCCATTTTCCAGGATGTTTGCAGCTTCGTAGTTTAGCCTATAATACCTGCTTAACTTTCAAGCCCAGACTGGTGTTGCTGTCTGCCAAAAAAGCAATATATTAAACTGAGCTCAGAAATACATCAGCAATAAGAGCAACTGGTACAATGCAAAAGTGAGACTTTAATAGCTGAATTCTATATTTGCAGAACTGCCTATAAAGTACAGGACAATGAGTATTCAGCAGCTAGCTTATATATTCTTAAGCATCATTTTGTTCCAATATTGGACTCCCAGCTCCTATGAACCTCAGTTTATGGCAAAGGATTATGTGAGTTGTAGTCTAAAACGTTTGGTAGGCACTAGCTGCTAGTCCAACATATCGCTTTGTCTATGGCTATAGAAAGATGACAGGAAAGCAATACAGAAAACTCATACTCTGCTGCTATGTAACAGTTGTCGGGATTTTTGCAACCCAGATCTGGAAATCCTCTGCTGCTTAACCAATTATACTTGCTAATTAAATACACTTTACATAAAATAAGACTCTTCTTTGCTTACCTGAATGTATCTTTAGGGGAAGATGCTTTATTACTGTGGACATAGCAGACTTTCTGCCCTGCTATATCCATTTGGCTGAAACTTGTAATGGAGATTCCAGGATAGCTGACATATTCTATCTGTCCATACTGTGGTGGAGAAGTAATCACATAGTGTAGCTCCTCTGGCTTCTTGGTACCATCAACCGCCAGGAGGACATCAGTCATCAGGAGACCTTTGTCACCCATCAACACAGTGAGCGGTCTCATAAACATTGCAATGTTTCCTATAAGATATTTGAAATATGGACCATCATCAAATATTTTGTATCAGCCTTTCTCAATATCATGAATCAGGTTGCAATTTTTATCACCCCCTCACCAGAACATAAAATTTGCTATATTCTGCCACACATTCAAATGCACAAGCCTTCTCCAATTTGATGCTTTCTAGATATCTTGGAGTACATCCTCTCTCCTCCTCCTCAATCAGGACAGTGTATCATCTTCTTTTAATGACCCCATAATCCCTTGTGGGCATTATGGGCAACTGAATGAAGCTAGCAGAGTGCTTAATGGCCAAATGCCCTTCCTGTTGCCAATGCAGAGTTTTGTTCAGCAGATCTATTCTCATGGTGCCCAGAGAGAGAAATATCAGCCTCTACCTAGGATCGAACTTGCAGCCTCTTAGAGGCGAGAGCTCCACCTCTAGGCCACCGCACCACTCCAATCAAGACAGTGTATACTCTGCTAAATTTTATTGCACATACATATGTATTAGCTTTTCCCACTGGGGAGCATCCAGATATACTACACTTCAACTCCCATCCTCTATATCCAGGGTGTTCATTCTCTTAGTCAATTTTGTATATACTATGTGAAGATCTAAAATAAAATTACCATTTTCCACATCCTTAATAGCAACAGGAAAAACCACTTCTGGAGATCTGTTGCTTCCATCCCAAAGATGAAAGGAGAAGCTGTCTTCATTGTTTGATCCAAGAGTTCCAGTGTGTATATACCTTACAGCGTTCACGTCTATATTCTCCTGGGTGCATTTCATTCCTTTGTACAGTGTCACCCAATCATGTCCTACCTAGGAAGGAAAATTGTATCATGACTTTGAGATCGTATGTTGTGTACTATTATTATCATGATGAGAGTATTATTATTAACATTTATATTCTGTCCATCTCCTAATAACTCTGGTATTATATTACTGATGCAGCTGTTAAAAAGCTTTTACTACTGAACACAAGTTCTAAAACGAAATCCAATCTTCTTCAACTTGGTACTCATCCCATCAACAAGTCAGTCATCACACAAAATACTCACTCATCCTCTGGCTACTTAAATTTTCTCAAAAATCCACTTTTTCCCCTGACTGTTTTATACAGGTCTAGTTTTTATAATTGGTGACTACCATTCATATCAAAGTGGCAGCATTAGCACTTGTGTCATTTGTAGGACACAAGTTACAGAAATGCCTGCTAAACATGCCGTACAGTTCAATAAGCATTGTGAAACTGACTATGGGATTGCTGTATGAAATTTCGAAGGCTAGGTTACGTACAATCAACCGAGTCAAAAATGTGGTAAGTGCCAAGGGTGGTGCAGTGGTTAGAGTGCAGTACTGCAGCTACTTCAGCTGACTGCTAGTTCAGCAGATCAGCGGATCAAATCTCACCGGCTCAAGGTTGACTCAGCCTTCCATCCTTCCGAGGTGGGTAAAATGAGGACCCAGATTGTTGGGGGCAATATGCTATTTAGTATACTGTCTTTGGTGTAAGCCGCCCAGAGTCCTCGGAGAGTGGGCGGCATAGAAATATGACTAATAAAAATAAATAAAATAAATAAATAAGGGTAAACTACAATCTCTACTTCTGCTAAGGTCTTGGAAGGCAGAAAAAGGCAAATTTCTCCTTTTAAAAAACACAATTTGTTTCAAAGGCATACAAAGTATTGATGATTCAACCCTGTCAGGTAACTGGAATAATATAAAAATAAGGTACAAGTTGAGCTGAAACTGTAATATCATTGGTTGCCAAATTTTCGTTGCTTTTCTAAGACTTCCCACTTCCCCCTAACTAAAACAGGGTGCCTTATACTTCCCTTCTATATACAGCAGCTACCATGCTTGTCCTGGTCCCTACAACTGCTGTGCCTCCTAGATTGAAGTGGCTCCAGGTCAGAGCCTCTCCTGAATGTTTGAACTGAAACTCTTAGAATAGTTTCGGTTGAGAAAACAGGCCACATTCTTTGGCAGTGTATGCAGTGGTGGGTTACTACCAGTTTGCCCCGATTCGGTTTGAACTGGTAGCGGCGGCGGGATGCTTCACCCACCCACCCAGACATCATCAAAAACGCTTTGCGCATGGGCAGAAACTTCTGCGCATGTGCAGAAGTGCCGCACACTCACAAAGCAAGCAAGCGCACCCCAATAGCGAACGGTAGCGCCAGGATTTGAAGCCCACTACTGAGTGTATGACATTGTTCAGATTCAACATTAGAAGCATTTTGATCATAAATAAAATGATGATAAAGCTGTGATGGATTTTCAAAATTATCTCATACTCACGTTTCTGATATAAACAGGGAACCCTTCAATGAATTATATGAAATATCCACTGTAACTTATATTAGTCACTGCAGTGTGTTTCAGTCCCATGAGGGATATTTAAGAAATAGAAGGATTACATTCTCTCTCCCATTCTTAGCCAAGAGTTGAATCTCTTTTTTCAACACTTTGTTTGGTTTTGTTGAAAAGTAAAAACTAACCTTAAGCTGAAGATGTCCATTTTCTGGAACTCTCTCAAACAGATAATAAATTTGTTCCCAAGGAGTATCTTTATCTTCAGCTGACAAAACAGCACTAGATATTATCTGTGCTTCCCCCATATTCACCTCTATCTTACCCTTTCTACAACAGAGAAACAAAGATTCTTTGTAAGTGTGTTTAAAATGAAAATAATCACTGAAATGTTCAAAACTCAAAAAATTCAAAAACAACCATATCTATGTATGGAGCGTATGCACCAAAGACAAATTCCTTGTATGTCCAATCACACTTGGCCTATAAACTATTCTATTCTATTCTATTCTATTCTATTCTATTCTATTCTATTCTATTCTATTCTATTCTATTCTATTCGCACAAAATTTCACTGCAAGCAGAGAAGGCTCTGTGGTATTGTAGTTCAATGATATATGCTAGATTTTAAATTATGAACTGATTTGGAAAGTTTTATGAAGACAAATAGAGGCAGGCATACTAAAGCGTGTCCTTTTCTCTTCCCTATGTGAGTTCTTTACAAATTACCACTTCAGTCCATTTAAACTAAAACACAGTTCTTATGATTTAAGAATGAAATTAATTAGAAAGCCATATTTCATATCTAGTGGATTCCTCAAATAATATTTTAAACAGATAGGATGTGAGGTTTTGTTGTTGTTGTTTTTGCAACAGCGGCGAATATCTGTAGCTCGGGTGTAAAATGAGGGTGGAGGTTCATTCTCTGAGCTTGTGAGTTGGTTTCCAAATGTTTTGTTACCAGGCTAGGTAACATCTTCAGTGGAGTCTAGGGAATGTCTGTGTCTGTGTTCTTCTGCTTATACAGGCTTTGTGTGGTCAGTAGGTCTAGTGATGGGGAGGTCACGTCAGGTGAGGGTCACATCAGGTGAGGGTCTTGTGCTGGGTCTTGTGATAGGGAGGTCAGGTTAGGTGAGGGTCACTGGGAGATGAATGCTGGTTGGAGGGGTTGCATGGGTTGGTTGAGGGCGGTTGATTTGAATTCTGAGGGGTTCATAGGCTGGTTGTAGTCGATGTGTCTGTTGATGGAATGACTTGTGGAATTCCCGGCCTCAATGAACTCAACATGTGCTACAGGCCAATAATTCTTGTAATGCTCCAATCAAATCGATGCTGTTTTGGCTGCCAGCTGGTGTTCGTGTATTCTGGTTTTTAATCGATGTGATGTTTGTCCCATGTAGAATTGGTTGCAACTGTCACAGTTAATTTTGTAAATTATATTGTTTCTTTCATCCTTCTACATCTTGTCTTCTTCTGGATAATTCCTGATGGAGTGTGGCTATGGGTTTGTGGGCTATTGCTATTCCTAGGGATTGGAGAATTCTGGCTGTCATTTTCGACACCCCTTTTTTTTGTATATACAAAATACTTCCTTCTGATGAGGTTTCATTGGCAACAGAAGTGTTGTGTTACTGCTCTTTTCCAGGAATTTTTTTTTTTTACTTTCCCATTTAATTTACTGCACAAGCCTATCAGAGATTTCCTGGTATTTCTCATTCAAGTAATTTGATTAAGTGCTGCCACATGGTATAAAAAAAATAAACATCTTTGTGTACTTATGGGTCATAAGTACTTCTGTGAAAAGGCTTAATTTTGAGAACAAATCCATACATTTTGGCTGCTAGGAGTAATGATTATTTTCTAGCTCTAGCTTGAAAAAGCTTCTGAAAAGATTGATGGTGCAAACCTGTTCACAAAGTGCTCCCAACCCCTTCAAGTCAACCTAATCAAGTGCAAAACTGCAACCATGTTCCTAGTAAGTGAGCTGCTAGCATGTCAAAAGGATTTTCTCTGTACCCAAGACAGAAACAAAATTGATGAAATTGTTCAGAGATGGAGATAAATACTGGGAAGACTTTTTTTTTTTACTGTTTTCTGTGTTTTAGTTTGCTGTTAAAAGATCAGGAGAGAAGCCAGTATGAGGATGGAAGTCCCATAGATATTACAAACAGAATGGGACATTTTATGGCTCCTGAGCTTGAATAGCCTCCTGCATCTGTTGTCTTAGAAAAAAAACATATGTATCCTACACTAATTAGTCTTCAAGGAGCCACAGAATTTCCCATGTCTTGCCACATGTTGCTAGAGGTCTGCACCTTTATCACTCTATTACATTAAGGCAGGATTGCACTGGCTACTGCTTTTCCAATGGGATTTTCCCAAGGCTGAAGCTTGCTTGGCAAAGCATTGTTGTTGGCCTGCAATCATAAAGAGGTAGATCATCCGATAAAATCGGATTATGACATTTATCATGGATGATCTCCATGAAATGAATGAAGGAGAGGGTAAGCCCCCCATTTCTGCTTCAGTTATTTGTTTGGGGGAAGGACAAGACTGTTTTTTAAAAGCTCCATCAAATGTATTGGAATGATGGCTCAAAGCTGTGCTCATAGGCAGACGCACCTAGACTAGCAGTTCCTCTACACCAGGGGTCCCCAAACTTGGCAGCTTTAAGACTTGTGGACTTCAGCTCCCAGAATTCTCCAGCCAATATAGCTGGCTGGAGAATTCTGGGAGCTGAAGTCCACAAGTCTTAAAGCTGCCAAGTTTGAAGATCTCTGCTCTACACACACATACACACACAAACACACACCAGCAACTGAAGCCTGCTGTTGACAAATAAAAGTTCATCACTTCATATCTCTCTAGAAACTATGAGGTTGCTGCTCACGCTCAACATCACAAAAATATTGCACTGTAGCATTTGTCGTGCATCTTCTGAGCATCATTTGATAAATCTGATGTCATAAAAAAATTATATTCTTCCTCATTCAAGGGGAGATGCTTTCTATGTTGAGCCGCCTCAAAATTCTATCAGGTACTATTTCTAGTAACAGTATACCTTTCCAGTCAGGGCCACTTTTCCAACTTATCTGGGGACTAGTATCATTTTATCTGTTGGGTTCAGTCTAGAAAATGCTCTTTTCTTTTCTCTGTATTCCTCTGCTGCTCGAAGAAAATGATGGGGAGATTGGCAAGAAAGGGACAGTAAAAGAACTCATTCATAATGAATGCTTAAAGGTACAGATTTAATGTTAGAAAGTCCCTTAAGGGCTTTTTAGGTGTTCTGATGGAACAGTCAACGTTAGTGCTGCAAAGGGTTTTTGCTGCCCTGTGAATTCATCCCAATTAACAAGGCTAAACATAAAGCACAGAGAACAGTTGGTGAATAGAATCTGAATTCCCTTTGGAATTCGGCAGAGAGTCATCTTAGTTTTCTAACAGATTTTTTTTTTAATGCAGTATAGTCTGTGTCCATCTGTGTTAGCAGTGGAAGGACACCTGTTCTCCTTTCCCTCTTCTGTTTGTAGTGACCATGCCACATTATAAAAAGTAGAAGACAGCTGGAGCAAGGATACAATGGGATCCTTTGTGCCTCTAGGAAGCACACAAGGAGGTTGCTTTGAAGTTTTTTTTACAAAAATGCTGCTACCTCAAATTTCAAAGCACCCTCTTAGTGAACTTCCTAGCAATGCAAAAAGTTCCGTTGCTATCCTTTCTCTTGTGTTTTATAAAGGGCGCCTTTTTCTTGTCAGGAGAATAATATAAGAGGTGTGGGGGGGAAGCTAACTCTGTGGAAGATCTCTCCTGAATGCTCTGGTTGTCTGACTCAACCTGGCATTATTCAAAATGCCCAATACATTCTCTTGCAAGGGAAAATTTGCACAATCCTTTCTTTCCATTCTCTTCTCCTGACGGTGATTTTGGGAACCTTCTGCATTTACTTCTGAAGGCATGAGTACAGGATTTTGAAGGTCTGTTGAGAAGTTTGTTTTGTATTCTCTCCAACAACTAATAGCATCTTTTTTCAAATAGGTTGAAGAATGATTGGTATAGATAGCAGTATAAGTAGGTTTTGCCTCCTTGGATGAACAGAGGGGGAAAAAAAATCTATTCTTGGCCCAAAGAATAGATTGACTAATAGGGGGTATGCTAATATTGTTATTGCTTTTTTATCACCTTCCTAAACCATCCAAACAATAATTTAATTGGAATCATATGTAACATTTGCTTGCATGTATACCATTAGAATATGCAGATCCAAGGTCTCTCTCCCTCCCTCTCCTTGTGTGTGTGTGTGTGTGTGTGTGTGTCCTATTCAGAACTAGCTAACTTTTATCTCACTGTTCATTACACAATGTTCTTCAATGAGGAGGAATACTACATGAAAAACATTGCTAGCGTTAATGGTGGCTATTTGCCAAAGATGAATTCTTTTAATCACAAATGTAGTCAGTGCTGAATCATTTGGTCCGTATAAACTCAGCAGTTTGTAAGAAATATTTGTGGCTTACCTGCTCAGCACCGGTTTTTCATCATTAACTGGAATAACTTTAACTGAAATGACTTTTGACACTTTATGTTTCCCATCCGACAGCTGGATTGAAAAGTCATCAGCTAAACTGTCAGAGTCATCATGTAGATACACAGGCTTCAATCCTGAAAGGTAGAGAATATAGGTGGGTAACAAGGAAAAGGAGGGGAGAAAGAAAAAGGAGAAATGTATTTAGATTTATAAATTTGTAAATGGCACACATAATAAGTTACCGTATTTGTTGTTGCTGCTGCTCAATTAGTTATTGTAATTAATATTACAATATGGCAAATTATTGCCAATATGACAACTAAATGGCAAAAAATAAGGAACCCAACATTCCTTAAGTCAACTGTCTTTGAAAATATAGGAAATTGGATTGGCTTAAAGATTTACACAATATATAAAATCTTGAAAAATCCTTCATACAGACTGTTTATTCTAATTTGATCTCTGTTTTATTAACAGACTATTTTTAATTAATGAACTGAGGATTTTTTTATTAATAGAATTCAGTTTCATTTACTAATTTTCAATTTAGTATTCTATTGCCCATTATTTGGTGAAAATTGTTGCAAAGAACCAACATGGCCAGAAGGAATACAGTACTTACCATTTTTTAAAATATCCATGGAGAAACTATCCACCTGAATTTCATGATAGTGTTGACTAATAATTGCCTGCCTGTAATGGAAAATATTGTTGCCATATACTCCCTTAAGAAGAAACCCATGGTGGGGCTGTTGAAGGACAGTAAACATGAGGATATCTTCTGGTACATCCAAATCAACAGCATTGATTATTGATGGATCCAACTCCTTCATCTGTCCCTCTTGCACCTGAATAGTCAACAGAAGATAAAAGTCAACTCTTTCACAAAATGAATGATAAGAAGTAGAATTCTCAGGTCTACAGATCAATCGAATATCATTCAGTAAATTACCATTAGACTGTTCAGTGTAACAAGGGCTTTCTTCTTTTTAATTAATTCGAGTGAGCTCCAATATTTAGACAAAGATCAAAATTCACTTTTCATGAAGGGATGCCCTCCCCCAAGTTTTTTTTTGTACTTTACTTCACAAAGTACTAACAGAATAGAGTTGAAACAGGTAAAAGGAAAAAGAAAGCAGAAATTGGCACAAGAATGACAAAAGCAAGGAAAGAGTGAAAAAGTAAATTTTCATTCACAACTCATCTGCAGTAGCTACACTCATCTGGGATTGGTGTCATACTTTTGGGTTTCCACGACATAACTGAACCTATGTAACTCAGTCAATTAGGCAGGTTGTAAAGATGCAATATTTAGTTTTCTTTTTCCATTGATCCTCCATACTCTCCTCCCAAAAGCTAAAACAACACAATCAAGACTTCATGGAAGTTTAGGTACCCACGGGGGATGGGGTGGGGGTAGCCAAAAGAATCAAGAAATAAAAGAGGTCTGCAAGTGTTGGGTGCAGGCGAATGATGCGACTCAAACCATAGGATGGTAAAAAGGCAAGAGGCATAAATAAATTATTGTGAAGATAAACATAGCATAGTATTTTGCTTGACATGGTTGTATATGCATGCACAGAGGATCAGAGATGGAATAATGTTGACAGGATAGGAAAAGCAAAGACCACTATATTGCCTTGTTAAAAGCAGTCCTTAAGACACCATTTCCTTCCTTACTGTAAAATTCCTTGCCATGAATTCTGGTTCTTCATCATTGGTTGGGTTAATTAAGACATAAAATGGTGCCTCCACTGAACGATGCTTCCCATCAGTGACGTACAGCATAAATTGGTCTGTAGTTGGTTCAATTCTCTTGTGCCTGGTCTGAACATAGTTAATATGCATCTTCCTCACATTTTCCACGTGAAATGAAGCTAGGCATGTTGGGGAGGGAATGAAAAATAATGAAAATGCATATTTCTAACCTTAGCGAAAATAACAGAACAGATAACTAACAAAACACATATAATGCAAAGAAAAGGTTACAGAGAAATAAGAGAAAAATCACAACTAGAGCCAATGTTAACATCAAATAAATATGGGAAGTCATCTTCAACTAGTCTCTCTGCAGAATACAGTGAAATCTTGTTAGTAGATTTCATGATAGATAACAAGCCCAACAGACAACTATCAGCATATACAATATATAAGATGCCCCAAAGAAGGTACAAACTTTCCTGTATTTAAAGACAAGCGCCCCTTCCCTGTAGCACAGACCTACCTATACTTATCCCTGCATTACTTTTCTCAAAACCAGGCGATGGTAATATATTTTCTATGTACCCAAACTGGGGAGGGGATGTTAAAACAAACTGTAAGTCATCTGCATTGGTGTCAAGATCAGTGGCATACAAGTGTTTACTTGTGATAGCTGCTGAGGCACCTTCCTGCACAGCAAACACAAGTCCTGCAAAAAAGAGAAGAAAGAGAGAGATGATTACTGTTATTTAAACATATTAAATCCCCATGGCATTTTAGGCTAAAAAAAATACAACTAGTAATTAATGTGGAAAATCCTCCTTCAACCACTTGGTACCATTGTTTTCCAGTCAGGCCAATGACTCTTCTTTCTCAGCAAGAGAAGAAGGAAAGAGGAAAAAACACACTTGCAAAACAATTTTGCTGATAAGCTATTCAGAATGGTTTATGGGTTGCTCAAGATGGGTTGTTACCCCTGTTTGTCACAGCATTAATTGCCTGAAAGCTATTATGAATTGCTCATAATGAACCATTTTTCATGCATCAGTACTTAATTTCTCTGCTGGGACAATCCTTCATTTTCAGAACATTGCCTGGGTGATAGACAGCAAATCACGAGTTTGCCCATACATGAGCGGTTGAAATGTGGTGTACTTGCATACAATACTGGCAAACCAGCTTTATTTTGCAAGATGTGGAACAGCAATAAAGAAAGATTAATTAGGACCACTGCATAACATTAGAGAGCTCATTCTAGCAAATATAGTCATAGTGTTTAAGACTCACATATAATTTCATTCACAAGACAACTCATGTTTTTAAATGCAATTTTTCTTCAAAATCCAGTTAATATGACCCAATATAAAAACTTTTAAAGAGAAACCTGTGTGGAGAGATTGTCTTGAAATTTATAATTTATAATTAATGCCTAGTAAAGTTTAGGTACTTAATAAATGATTAATAAAAATAAAGATATATATATATATATATATATATATATATATATATATATATATATATATATATATATATGTATGTATGTATATATATATATATAATTCAGCTTTACCCTTATAGTTTCTGAAGTACAATCCTAATCTATTGATGTTTAAAATTTTGTTGTTGAAATTTAACCAATACTTAATCTTTTTACATTTAATTACTATATTAAATGTATATAATGGGCTATTTAATTTCAGAGAGCAAAAAATGATTCATGCAGTTTTAAAGCTTTTCTCAGATTTTTATATTGTGTGTGTGTGAGAGAGAGAGAAAGAGGGAGAGGGAGGGAGAGAGAAAGAGAGAGAGAGAGAGAGAGAGAGAGAGGGAGAGAGAGAGAGAGAGAGAGCCACCTTGAAATTAAAAAAAAAAAAATTCTTGGAATATGTTTCCCCTTAATTATTGTAGAGAAGTTTCATTACCCAGAAAGCATTTTTAAATGTAACCTCATCTGCAAATTGAAATAGTAAAGTTCTTTCTGATATTTGGGTTTTGTCCCGCATAGTTAGAAATCTCAGCTCTCCAGACATTGATTGAACCCTTTTTTAGGAACTGGTTTTTGAATTGTAACTCAGCAGGATGGAAGAAAATCGCATGCAAAAGAAGGAAGATCTGCCTTGTGAAGCAACATTTAAATCCTAGATTTCTTCTTGCCACTTTACCAATACAACAGAAAGCCATTCTTCAACGCTAGGGGAGGCAGCTGGGATGTGTAAACATTAAAGTTATCTGGTGCCTGCAAACCTCCTGCTTCCTATCTTGCCAACTTCATTCCTGGAAGATCTTAATGATGTTACCCTTTCAACTGCAGTTTTAATACCATTCCTCACATTTCAAAACTGACTTGAACACAGGCTTCAAACAACAAAAATAGTAACTGGGATTAATTCCAACAACTCTGGGCTGCTGTTTGTTCTTCTTTGTAGTTAGTTTTCTCCCTGCCAAAAAGACCAAGGCTCGTAATTTCATGCAATTCTGTAATCACCTAAATAAGAGAGTGTTGAAAGTAGACGAAAATGGGCACTGCAAAAGTTCTGCAGCCTTTGAATGAGAAGGGCTATGGCGATTCACTTTCATCTAGGAATTGCATTTATATTTGTCACAGCAGGCTAGATTGCAAGGTGACTGAATTAAAAATCTCTTCTACAATAGAAGCACATTACTATAGTATCTGCTAGAACAGTAAGCCCATCTTGGACAAATTCAGTGAAAATTGATTGTGAGAAACTGGATTTCTCACACTACAGCATTGAATGCAATTCATACAATCACATTGAAATTTAATGATAGCGTGCTAAGCAAATCCCCAAAGATTTCAGCAAATCCTAGAGTGGATTCATGATTATTTTTCCTTGTAACTTTGTAACGCAACCCACATTCATTGGTACAGTAATTCTGGCATTTGGTCAACCTTGAAGTGGCATAAGAAATATGGATTAGAAAATCTGATTAGAAAAGTTATGGAATGTGCGGAGATGGATAAATTAACAAAGGAGATACAAGAAAAAGAGGAAACAGAATATTACTTAGTGTGGGAGAAATGGTGTGAACGGTTGGAGGAGAGAGATAAAAGGAAGGGAAAAATTAAATAACGGTAGAAATAGGAGTTGAAGTATAATTGTTAATATGAGGAAACAAAAATTGTAGAAATGAAAGTGGGTACATGGGTATTATTATGTATATATGTAAATAAACAAAGATTAGAAGTATATGTATAAATTATATAGTAGAAAAAAAGGAGGGAAAAAATGTATAACTAGGAAATTGTTGTCGGATGCGAAACTGTTGAAACAGAAAACGTGTTAAAACTTACCATTTTGTTTTTAAAAAAATGTTTAATAAATTTTTTTTTTAAAAAAAGAAATAAATATGGATTGTGTTTTGAACTGAATGTATGAATGACTGACTACTGGCATCCTTCCAGGTCTTGTAGCCCAGGCAAATTGGTACTGGCCTATTTGATAGATAATGATATCATACCATTAATGATGCACAATGCTTTTACAAGTAGTCCTTGACTTATGACCACAATTGAGCCCACATTTTTTGTTGCTAAGTAAGACAGGTGAATTTTTCTCCATTTTACAACATTTCTTGCCATAGTTATTAAGTGAATCGCTGTAGTAGTTAAGTTAGTAACACGGTTGTTAAGTGAATCTGGCTTCCCCATTGACTTTGCTTATCACGAGGTCTCAAAAGGTGATCACATGACCCTGGGATACTGCAACTGTCATAAATATGAGTCAGTTGCCAAGCATCTGAATTTTGATCACATGATCATGGGGATGCTGCAATGGTTGTAAGTGTGAAAAATGTTCATAAGTCACTTTTTTTCAGTGCCATTGTAACTTTGAACAGTCAGTAAATGAATTGTTGTAAGTCTACCTATATTGTCAAGGACTACCTATATTGATGGTACCCTACATAAGCTTTATTGCTCCACCGTTACAGGTAAGAATGAACATGTCCTCCATCATCTACCATTCTGCCTAAGTTTTAAATGACAGAATGTGGCAATATGAATGTCGAAAGAAGAAAATGTTTATCTATTTTATCAATTTTGCTATCTCCTAAATTTTGTGTGTGATTACACAATCACCATACCCAATTAGACAGACATAAAAAGCAATAATAATTTTACCTGTGGCAATGGATGGTGGCTGGTTGTCAACTGGAAATATTGTGATATTAATATCATATACTGGAAAGGATTTATGATATGGTACAGGAAAAAATGAAGCTTTATCGTCGCAACAGGCCTTTACATCAGGATCAATTTCATCATCCAACACAATAAAGGTAAGAACATCAAAGATAAGACCTAGGCCAATCTCGCCACCTAGAAAAATAAAATATATAGATGAAGTATATGATATTTTGCAGCATTAGCCTATCAAGAGGATGTATGAAAATTATTTTCATTAGTAATTAGAAAACCATGAATAATGAAAAGAAGTTGAAGAGAAATGTCTAAAATTGTGATGCAGCTATAGTGCAGTATTTATGTTTTTGTGCTGAATCTAATCTAATCTAATCAAAAGATTCTACACACATCTTTTCCTTCTAATGCAAACAGAATAAACATTCTGGGGGTGGGAAATTGGGGAGTAACCAATTGTCTCATATAAGAGATACGAAGCATAAAGACTAAAGTAATTTAATATTTCAGTATTTCCTTAATGACTACTGTGACAAAAGATAGTCAAAGTTAAGAATTTTGGCTGTCCCACTGCATCATTATAGACGTGTTCCAAACAATCTTCTGGAGAGAAAAAAATAGATTTGAAAAGCGCTTCAGTTTCCGAGTTAACATTTTCCTTAACAAACCTGTAGAAAGTTTGTATCTAAATTCATTAGCAAAGTTTGTACTTGAGTTCCTAGACCTCATGCAATTATGCAGTTTCTGATCTGAAATACTCTTCTTGGTGAACTACACCCCTTCGAACTGTTAAACAGAATGGCTAAAGCAGTTTTAGAGAAAACTAAATCAGATCTGTCAGTTTTATACCCGATGGGCGATTTTGAGAGATTTTCACCCAACAATTCTTCAACAGGACCCATGAGGGAAGAATGTCAGACGAGACACTCGTCAACTGAATTAAAGCGACACTTTCACAAATGATTTCAGTTTTTCCCTTTATGCATATTCCCAAGACAAACCAGGATTCTAAAATTTGAGAGAAAAACTTCACTCCCGGGAGTTATTTGGTGGCAAATATGGATGTTTTCTCCCAGTATAAGAATCACCTTCTCTGTCAACTATCTCCCACCAGCATTTGTCATCAGTGAAAGTACAAGTCTGATTATTTAATATCATCTGCTTTTATGTCATGGAGACAGGTATCATAAACACTCTGTGTTTTATAATATTGACAGCTCAAAAAGGTGATATACAGGCAAAATGGAAGATTTATTTATGTAAATCAAATGTTTATCAATTTTGCACATGACTGCTATTGTTTGATAGTTTTCATTTCAAGTATTTTGTATTTTCAATAACAGAAATATCTGTTATCAGTCATAAGAAGATTATGTAATGGCCATGTGTGCTGCAGTTCTTTGTGAAAAGGGACTGCGTGCTTTGGAAGCTAAAAATTTAGTAACTTATTACTCTAGTTAATAAAATTAATGATCATTCAGTATCAATTACAGCATCTGTCACCTGAAGTCTAGCCATAGTAATGCAAAGAAGCCATCTGCATCCTGACCAATATTTTAAACTATTATTGATTACATGCAACTTTCATCTGGAAGAATAAGCAAGAATAATTCTGCAGAACTGCCAAAAAAATAGTTACTATTCAATTTACTTCTGCTCAATGTTTTATGGGATTAAATTTCTTCTCAGGGGCAAGTATTACCAAAGAGAGACTTTTAAAAAAAATTGCTAACTATTCCTCTGGTGAAAAGAGAGTACATTTTAAGGGAAAACTTTATCTTTTGATAAGAGAAGCAAACTTTCTTGAAGAATTAAATTAGCGGTAAAATCTGTTGACAGGTAATAAATTGGACAGTAAATAAATCTATTAAATAGTTCTTGAGCACCATTCACTCTCGCTTAGCATTCAGTGTCATTCTTCTTTGTTTTTCTGGTTTTTTTCCCCCTTGGAAAACACAATATATTTATTTTCAGTTATGCTGTAGTAATGTTAAATAAAAACAAAAAAGAAATCAGCAGAAAGGGCCTTTCCAGGCATAGCATTTTTGTACCACTCAAGGGAACTGCAAGGGGGAATAATTTTTCACAATACCAGTAAAACTCAGATCTTTATATAGTATCAACCATATTCAATAGACTAAACTATGAAACCAATGTCAATAAACTACTTTTATTAGAACAGTTATAAGTAGTAACAGAATCTTGCATGCCTGAATATGCTTCCCTCCTCCTTCACTTTATCTTTGTGTGAATTAGGGAACTATTTGAAGCATTTTCTCAGGTCTGTCCTTTGGAATGTGCTTAAGCTGTGTCTGTCTGATCACTGTCTTGGTAATGGATCTTCCCACTATCATTCAAGGCCACTCTCTGTGCCTTCTACCATTAGTCCCAAGTTTTTACTTACTTGTATGTTCATATGTCACTGTTCCAGAAACAACATCAGCTTGGAGAAAGCGATCTATCACAAGTCCGCCTCTCTTCACAACCCCATACTTAGAAGGTCGGGCAACCATGAACATCAGCTGCATGTCTTCACTATCTTTATCAGTTGCATAGAGATGCTCTGAAGTGATGGGCACCGCCTGTCCTTCTGGACATTGCATGAAGGGAATGAGGTCAGCATTCATCACCGGGGGCTCATCATTTACAGAAATTACCTAGAAAAAATATATATATTTTATTCATTTATTTAAACAAATGTATATGGATGTCTAACTCATACACATGATTCCACAAAGATTACAACATTAAAAATCTACAGTCTAAAACTCCTACCCAACCTCATGCATAAACAGAGGATTGCTTCCAGTTATATCAGGTGCTATGGAATTTTTAGTTAGCTGGATTATCGTGTATTTATTTATTTTATATCCCACCTTTATTATTTTTATAAAAACTCAAGGCAAACTGACTGTCTTTATCGTTCATCCCTGTCTCCCTGTATGGTCTAGAAATCTACTTCAGACCTTTAGAAGAAACTCAGTCTAGGTCTGAGAGATAAATGGGAGTTTCAAGAGAAAGAAAGAAAAAGAAGTGTCCAATGGATAAGCAGAAGTCAGTCTATAGTGAATCTCTGTGTAAGCCACAGTGAGCAAGCATGCCTCAGCTATGGCAAATATCTGAAAAATTCCTATTAATGTTCCTATTCCTATAATTCCTATTAAAATAGGGAAAGAAATGGGCAAAAAGAGGAGGAAGAAATTTTCAGATTATATACCCAGCACAACTGTTGTGCTTATAAACAGTGAATCACATGCTTCACACGTGGACAAACCTAGGATCAAAACCTCAGGGAAGAAAGCAATGGTCAGCTTCTCAGGTAAAAGTATCTGAAGTTTTTCAAACGATTTGCAGATTGCATTCCATGGGATAACTATTTGTCATCCACACGTTAGCAATTTTTAAAAAATCATTGTTTTCTATAAAAGAAATGTTAAGAATGGAAGATAGGCAGGAAAGCAATCCTTTCTCTTTTTCCAGTTCGTTGTTACTCTACTCACTGCATTTTCTACTGTACTACATATGAGTGATAACAGATTTAAAGGACAAAAGCGATGTGGAGTGAGGATGGGTACGCACATAGGTCCTGTAAAGAGCACCTCACATGAAATGCATCTTCTCCTTCGTCTTTCTAATTCAGGTCTCTGCACTGTGCAGTTCATGTATTATTGAGATGCAAGTCCCCATAAGCAAAAGATGGCCAGGAGGCAGTCTACCTTCTTCCCACTTGAAAACTGATCTACTCCTGAAATGTTTTTATTGAAAGAATTTAAGAAAAGAACAGCATTTAGATTACAGGACATACGATTGCATCACAGTACAGATAGTTCTCAATTTACAATTGGGACCAAAATGCCCATTGCTAGGCAAGATGGTTAAGTCAGTCGCTCCTGATTTTACGACTTTTCTTGCCACAGTTGTTAAGTGAATCACTGAAGTTAAATGAATCATGCAGTGATTAAATGAATCCAGATTCCCTCATTGACTTTGTTGTCAAAAGTGAGTTGGGAAGGTCGCAAGTGGCAATCACATGACTTCAGGATGCTGCAACCATTGTAAATACATGCTTGTTGTCAAAGTGCCCAAATTTTGATCATGTGATTATGGGGATGCTGTAACAGTTCCAATTTGATGATTGATTGTAAGTCACTTTTTTTCAGCACGGTGTAACTTTGAATGGTCACTAATCAAATGGTTGTAAGTCGAGGACCACTGTTTGCAGAATTAGCCTTTTACTCATACCTTTAAAAAGCATAATCTCTATATTTGGCCTGACATTTTCCTGATTTTACAAACAGAAGGCAAACATTTTGAACCATCTGATTTGTAATAATCTAGGAATGGTAACCCCAATAAAAATGCAACATAAGTTTGGTTTTCTTAAGGGGCTTTTGCTGCTGAAATAACTTTTTCTGACACATTGCATTTTCTTCATCATTTAACTCTAAATGAAATTCATTCCTGACAATAGGGGATAAGCTGAACAGGTGCAGGTGTCTATCAGCTCCTACATATCAAATCTGTTGCCTAACAAGTACTGGCACATAAACCTCCAAACTGAAGAACCAAACTCTTCCTGTTTATGAATTCCCAGTTGCTGAAGCCAAGCACAAATCCCTCTGACAATTTCACTTTTCCACCGGACGTGTGTTTGGAGGAATCTTACACTGACCTTCACATGGAGGATGAATTCGAAGGAATTGATGCCATCTGTAGCCTCAAAAAGAATATGATCCTGTGGAAACTCTGAACCATTATGATGGTACCTATGGGAATCAAAGGATAAACCTAGGTTTGCAAGGTTGCTATTGCAACTATTGGCACTCCAACTGCTTTAGCAATGCGCTAAATTCTGTACATTGTCACTAAATTCAGTCTTTTCTAAAAAAAAAAAAAGACCTAATATAGCTGTGAAATCAAAGCCTCCCCATTTTTTAATCACATGGTCAAACCCACCATCTTGACATTTCTCTCTCTCTCTCTCTCTCTTTCTCTCTCTCACACACATAATCTGAGCTGATTATTAATTAACTGATGTTTTCTCATTGGGCATTGATCATGCTGCCTGAAGATCATAGAGGTTATACTCCGATATATCTTGATATCTCTCCATAGGAAGGTTGGGCTTCCAGTTATAAATACAGAATCATCTGTTCGAAATAAAATTGAAAGAGAAAATTTTGAATCAATTTTCTCAGATCTGCTAATTTATATTTGCAAAGTGTTAATATGGAGAGGACGGGAAAGAATTGAAACGTATTTGCTCCTCAATGAATATAACACAGGCTACTTTTCATCAAAATTAGATCAGGCTTGAAATCAGGCTTATGGCTTCATAGCAAGAAGAACTTTGCTCCCTAACCTGAGTTTGGACATCTGTAAATCTTCACATGTCAGCCAATCTCTTTGATTCATAGGATTCTCATTTAATTCAACAGTCCCATGAAGAGGAAGCTTAACGAGATGTATACGTATGTTTTCCAGCTTGGTGTCCACATCTGAAATCAAAATATGGCCTTTGGTAATGGTGCTCTGGCCCCCTTCTTCCACTTTCAAGCTGTGTGTAAGCACCTAAGCAGAAGAAAAGATACAAAAGTTTCTTGTATAATAATATTTTTGCTGATATTTTAGTACTAGGCCTAGGGCAGTATGGCTAACCTTTTTGCCGTCGCGTGCCAAAAGCAGGGGGAGAACAGGGGGTTGCGCGCGAGCATGCCCACACCCATAATTCAATGCCCCTCATGCCCCACCCCGTGCATACGCGTGCGACCCCTCTGCACCCCACCACCCCACCCCACCCCACTTTTGGCACGCAACAGCAAAAAGGTTACCTATGGGCCCAGTAGGCCTGTTTTTCGCCCTCCCCAGGCTCCAGAGGCTTTCTTGGAGCCTGGGGAGGGCAAAAACAGCCTCCCCCCCAGAGGCCCTCCAGTGGGCCCAAATGCCCGAAAAACAGCTGGCTGGTGCATGCGTGCACGCTGGAGTTGAGCTAGGGCAACGCTCGCGTGCCCACAAATATGGCTCCGTATGGCACCTGTGGCACGCGTGCCATCATGGGCCTAGGGCATATTTTTCCATAGAACACAGTTCTGCAGGCTTCAAAATCTCTCATCTAAAAAAAGAAGTTTTGCATTCTGGAGACACTCTCCACAATATTTTCTCAATTGGTCAACGTCGGACTTGAAGAGTGTCAGCCTTTGTGCCCAAAATGAAAAACTATAATTTTCTGAAATTATATTTTCTTATTGCAGGAGATAAGGTAGATGGCCATGAGGGAGATATGCAAGCTCCATTGTCATAGTGAGAAAGAATAAAACAATTTCTAAGCCCAGAACATCCAGTTAGCATTTAGAAGTGGTTCAAACAGATGCCTTCTTAATTCAGAAAAAGGCCTCCCTAATAAGTAAGGGAAGGAGGTACAACACAATCAGACTAGCTGCTAGGAACTTTCTGTTACTACAGCATAACTCAATTAAAGTTGTTTTAGCTTTCCTGTGGAGAGGATCTATCTTGTGGAAGGGGCATTCTTGCTTTGAGGAGTACTTATATTTGGCTAGATTTATTGAGATTTCAAAATCATATGGTAGTTCCGGTTCTGCTGGTTCCACTCACAAGTCCTCCCAAAGTCTGAAACTGACCCCATTATTATCTTCACTTCTGCCAACCTCAAAATGCAAAAAACATGCAGAGAACATTATGACCCAGCCAGCACCCACTACATTTATCTTCAGTTGACAAAACTTTTATCTCCATTGCGCAAAACTACAAAGTAAGAGTGTCCCACCTCTTGAATTACTGCTTAATGGAGCAACAAAAATCCTCTCATCTCAATTCCACACAAAAAGGATTTACAATAAATTGCTATTCCCCCCCCACCCTCCATTTTTCAGGTCCTCTTGCATGAACTAATTTGTGCAATTAATCTTCCTCCCCCACAAACCATCATTTTCCATTTAAATCATTCTACAGCAACAATTCTTATATAGCATATGTTAACAGTTTTATAGCCAGTGGTTTTTCCCAATGATGCTGAGTATAGGTGACTTTCAAATTTGAAATTTTCTGAGCTGGAAACTGGGCTGTTTTAAAACTCAGAACGCTACTGATAGCACAAGAAGAGCATCAGAACATTTCCAGTGAAGTAAGAACAGCCATTGAAATCAAAACAGATGTTCTGTGTTGTCCTCAAAAACTTAAAATTTGAAATGTTTTGCAGTATTCTAATATTCTAACTCTACATGTGAACAAAGAGTAGAGGAAAAATGATGATTGGTTTTAGCAAGGACATGGGGAAAGTTAAAGCAAAGAATTCCCAGAAGTGGGCAACAACCACTTCCAAACTCAACTGCCTTGTGATTCAAATGAAAGACCAGTTTTGCTTTGTTCTGATTCCAGATATAGTCAATATTTTTTTCCAGTTTCCAAATACGGACATCATAAGATCAGAGAAAGACAATGCTAATTCTGAAAATGTAAAGAAAAGGCAAATCATCATTTAGGCTTTAACAGCCTGCTTATTTCTCATACTAATGCCTTCTCAACCCAATAAAACTTTCTTTCCACTTAGGAAAGTGAACGAGAATTGCTTGTTTTAACAGATTGTGAATGTTTCTAACTGGAAAAAAAAAACCTCAGACCATATGAAAAGTAAAAACATAATATAATTCCAATAACCTACCCTACAACATAGGCTAATAATAATAATGATAATAATCCTACTGACTCCTCTCAGAGTTTTTTAAACTGATTTTCCCATTGCCCTAGCTGGAAATTGGAAAATTGACAGTTCCAAAGAAGAATTGACAGCATCAGAAATGATTAAAGCTTCCTATTTCTATCCATTATTCCCTTTCCTGAACCTATTTTGCCCACCCATGCCTTCTCTGGGAAAAGCCATGTTCCGTAAAACGTGATTCCATTCTCAAATATCACCATTACTATTATGGTTATTGTTTTTAAATCATACCAAAAATATAATTGAGCAAATGATTTTTAAAAAAAACATCCACATCTGAAAATAAATGAATGAAATCTATGCCCAGCTTCCACACCTATTGAAACTCAGACCTAAGTGATATACAAGACAGGTAGTCCTCAACTTATGACCATAATGGAGTCTGTTCATCATGGTCATTAAGTCATGACAGTCGTAAATCAAATCGCTCACTGGACTGACTCTTTATAACCTTTTTGGTATCATGTGATTGCAGGATGCTGCAAATGGCTCTGAGTGCAGGCTAGTTGCTAAGCGCCCAGCATGCAGTCATGTGACCAGCAGGGCCATGGCTGTCAGTACTTCAGAACGTGTTTCCCCAAAAATAAGACCCTGTCTTATATTTTTTTGAACCCTGAAATAAGCGCTTGGACTTATTTTCGAGGAGGTCTTATTATTTTGGGGTGCATGGAGCAAGACGGGGCTCCTCTTGCCATCTTACCTGATTTCCAGCTCTGTCTCCCTAACCCTAACCAGAGGAAATGGTGGGGACCGGCTGGCCATGCGTTTAAATATTTTCGGAGAGGGCTTATTTTCAGGGAGGGGGCTTATTTTAGAGCATGCGCTCAAAAGCCCAATTGGGCTTATTATCCGGGGAAACAGGATAAGCACTCCCTGGGAAGTACATTCTAACTTCAAATGATCACTAAGCGGTTGATTGTAAGTTGAGGTCCACCTGTAGTCTCCATTTTCTTCTACTTCTTTTAGCATCAAAAACATACCTCTGGAGACTGATTGTCCACTGGAAGAACAGTAATGTTAAAACAGTTGCCATACAAAGTTCCCCCATGTTGATTGCTGATGGAAAATGCAAACTGTATGTATTGAGGTTCAGGACCAATATCTTCCATGGGTGGCACATAGGCAACTTTCATGTGGTTTACGGCGTGCTACAGTGCAAAATAGTTAAATAAATATCTGTTATATATCATTTAAAAAATCTTCCATTCTGTATCTGCATCACTAATGGTTTTTAAAATAAGGAAATATTTTCAATCATACTATGCTATAATCCAGTGGTGAAATCTAAATTTTTTTGCTACCGGTTCTGTGGGCGTGGCTTGGTGGGCGTGGTGTGGCTTGGTGAGTGTAGTTTGGTGGGCATGGCAGGGGAAGGATACTGCAAAATCTCCATTCCCACCCCACTCCAGGGGAAGGATACTGCAAAACCCCATTCCCACCCCATTCTGGGGCCAGCCAGAGGTGATATTTGCTGGTTCTCCGAAGTATTCAAAATTTCTGCTACTGGTTCTCTAGAACCTGTCAGAACCTACTGGATTTCACCCCTGCTACAATCCAAGGATAGGCAACCATGCTGGCTCAGGAATTCTGGGAATTGAAATCCACAGGTCATAAAGTTGCCATAGTTATCCGCCTCAACTTTAATCTAGTTGTGCATACATTTTTACAATAACCCATTTTATATTTTATATTTCAATTATTATACAGCTGTGAAAGCTGATAATTTAAAAGAATGAGGAAATGAAGGTAAAAGACCTTTAAATTATGGAAGTGAAAATGTTTACATTGCAGACTGCAGGGGGAAAAAACCATCAAACCATCCGAGATCAGATTGACCACATAGGAATTCTTTAAAACTAACATTAATTTTCAGCTTTTTTTTTTTCCTTCATAGTTTACTTGTAGTGAAAACTGCTTCTAATCACTTGCAGAGCAGTTTGTTTTTCAATTGACTCTTTTTAGATAAAGTGGGTGTAATGCATGATGGGGAATTTTCATTAAATTTTAAATTTAATGACAAACCTGAGTGAACGATCTTAGTGATGGAATAGATGGATCCTTGATAAGCTTAGGAATACTCTCTACCATGAATAATTTTCCAGCATCTGTGTGGCTGCAGAAAAAAAAAAGTACTGTCATATATGTGTAGTAAATTACAGGATGTTTTGAAAAGAGAAGAAATACAGTCATTCCAAAATAGGACAGAAAGTTCCTTATAACTGTCTCTCTACTTGTTATAATTTATTGTGAAATAATTGTGATCACTGAATGTCTGTGTAAGTACTTGTATGTAGATAACATACAGATCTGATTTTATAATAGATTTTGCTATGACCATTAAGCAAATGCCATGGTTGTTAAGTGAATCGCTGTATTCCTATCGGCTTTTTTTTTTGCCAGAAACCAGCCCAAAAGACATAAACTCACAAAAGAATATCATAATTCGTGGTCATCTCACCACAGAATGCAACAACTGCTCACAAAGGTAAGTTGATTGCCAAGCATCCAAAATGCAGTCATGTAATTGCAGCAATGTATGCAGCTATTGGAACTTTAGAATTGAGTTATTAGTACTTTTGGAGGGTCCACTAAGTGACCAGGCATAAGTCAAGGACTATATGTAATCACAACTGTATAATGTCCATAATACTGAGATGTTATTATGGCAAGCTACCTATGTACTTAGTAGTTCTTAATGTCTTGTGCACAATCTGAACCTTCCCAATTCAAATAACCATTTTGTTTTCAAATGGCCTCCTGAGGCCATTGTAGGTCTGCTTATTTATTCCTACTTATTTCTGTTGGATCCATATTCATTGTCATTGACCAGCTTGTCATATTTTTGTTTATGATGCTTTGACATACACATGTCAAAAATATTAAGATACAAAATGTCTTCAAATTTCTGCATAGATGTACTGCCTCTAGTGTTGTACATATAATCTAGTCCTATCCACACACATCCATGCAGGTAGAATAAGTGATTGCAGGGACAGGCCTGAATAAATCTAGAAAAATGGGAAAACTCATCAGTCAAGCTGAACATAGCATAAAACAAACAGAGAAGCAGGAGTCCTTCTAATCTCTCCTTAAAATTACTCCCAATTGACCATCAAGAGGTAGGTGAGCCTGAAAACACACATGTATGCAGGAAGTCCTCAACTCACAACCACAATTGAGTTCAAAAATTTTGTTGCTAAGCAAGACACTTGTTAAATGAGTTTTGCCCTGTTTTATGATCTTTCTTCCCACTGTTGTTAAGTGAATCATTGCAGTTGTTAAGTTTGTAACACAGTTGTTGAGTGACAGGCTTTCCCCCATTAACTTTGCTTGTCAAAAAGTCTCAAAAGGGGATCAAATGACCCCAGGAAACTACAACCATCATAAATATATGGCAGTTGCCAAGCATCTGAATTTTGATCACGTGACCATGGGGATGCTGCAATGGTCATAAATGTGAAAAATGGTCATAAGTCACTTTTTCAGCACCATTATAACTTTAAATAGTCACTAAATGAATGGTTGTAAGTTGAGGATTAGTTGTATTCTCTTCAGAGAAGTGTACATCCCCTGAGACTTACTAATGTGCAAAGGAGAAGAATGGGGGAGATGTTATGACATATATTAGCTCACTGTCCTGGGTTTCCATATCTATGTAATGAAGGTGTGTCTTTGTTAAATAAGCAATCTCCGTTTCCTTGAGAATCAGATGACGGTTTGTTCCTGGAAATTCTTTTGGCAGCTGATCATTCACAGGAATTATGCGTATTCTTATTATCTAGGATAACAATAATAAAAACAATTATCATACCCTGTTTTTTTAAAAGAGAGACCATCCAAAATGCTGCAATTAAATAATTGTGGCATTTAAAATGAATCTATGCAACTTGTTGAACCACACACCTCAAGCACAAGGGTTTCAAATTTTTCAAGCATGTTCAGATCCTGCATTTATCTATATCAGGGGTCTGCAGCCTTAAACACTCAAAGAGCCATTTGGACCCATTTCCCCCAGAAAAGAAAATACCGGGAGCCACAAAACCCTTCCCGTGCCTGACTATTTCTTGAGCGGCCACAAAACTAGCATATGTAGTTGAATTACATGTTCTGTTTTCTTCTGAAATTTTTCTTTTCTTGGATTTAGCCATGGTTAGCCTGCCGGGGGTTGAAAAGCTCAATAAATCGCGTGCCGGCGGGTGTCACACATTGGCGATTGTGAAGCATATTTTGAGTGACAGGGAGCTGCAGCAGAGGGGTGAAAGAGCCACATGCAGCTCCAGAGCCACAAGTTGCTGACCCCTGACCTAGATACTATCCAGTGGTGGGATTCAAATAATTTAACAACCGGTTCTTTGCCCTAATGATTTCTTCCACCAACCAGTTCACCAAACTGCTCAGAAAGTTAACAACTGGTTCTCCCGAAGTGGTGCAAACTGGCTGAATCCCACCACTGATAATATCCCTATTTTTAAAAAAATGTAATGAGATTTCAGTATTTTTACATGAGCTCTCGCAAATTATGACATGGGCAGGTTGTAAGAGCTGGTAATGCTGTGAAATGTTTATCTTTATATTTTGTTTAAATTAATCTGTGTTATACTTTAGAAGTCCCTGGACACTTTCTGAAATGTTGTAGATCTTTGTTCTTGTGTCTCTTAGAAGAAACAACTTAAAGGGCAGCTATATATTCTACTAGTATTTCATCTAATTTAAATCAGGTTCATTGCATTTTCAATAGGTTTGCAATGCCATTTATCTACTTGGTACAAAACAGTTTTCCCCAATTTTGTACCGCCCTGAAGCCTGAGTTACAGCTTCCATCATTCCTCTCTACCAATCATTAATATGGTTGTGGGAAGTATGTTGGGAACTAGTTTTTTTACAAGATAGGAATTCTGATTAGGTAAAACAATCAACTGGCATCAATAAAAAATGTGAGACATGCAAAGCAAACTGTGGATTAAACATTCAATAGCTGGGAGGAAGAAATTATTTCATTGTAATAAAGGTCTACCTATCCTTGCAACGTCACATATTTAGATAGCTTTGGCTGTCAAGACAGCTAAGGAAGGAATCTAACATTAATCTTAACATGTAATCATGAAGTTGAGCTATCGGGGTAAGAAAAAAGTCACTTTGGTGTATCTGCATTCTACAAACGGGACAAGCTTATTTGTAAGTGAATTTGACACTATATATTTTAAGTATACAGAAATGTCACTGCATTCTCTCTCAATCCCTATAATGATTTCTAAATCTTACCTGAATTTCTGAAAGATTGGGAGGATCATGACTATCACATAGAACCAACTCAACTGAATCTTCAAATATTTCTCCTCCTAAGTGATAGTAGTAAATTATCCCATTAAACAGGTCTTTTTGAAGGAATTTAGTAACTGGATAACCTGTTAAATACCGGTAACAGGAAGAAATCCGTAACTTAGATTAGCAGAGGTCACTAATATTTTATTATTTTTTGCATGAAATCTTAGACATAGTTATTCTGTATGTAATACTGAAATTAATCATTTCTTTAATGCTGTTGAGGTACACAAGACTTTACATTTCTTTGGTGTTTTCTTTTAATATTTAAATAAGTTTAAAATAAGTTTTCTTTTAATACTATTCTTCAAAGCACCTGAGGGTAGAACAAGAAGCAATGGGTGGAAACTAATCAAGGAGAGAAGCAATTTAGAACTAAGGAGAAATTTCCTGACAGTTAGAACAATTGATAAGTGGAACAATTTGCCTTCAGAAGTTGTGAATGCTCCAACACTGGAAATTTTTAAGATGTTGGATAACCATTTGTCTGAAGTGGTGTAGGGTTTCCTGCCTGGGCACGGGGTTGGACTAGAAGACCTCCAAGGTCCCTTCCAACTCTGTTATTCTATTCTATTCTATTCTATTCTATTCTATTCTATTCTATTCTATTCTATTCTATTCTATTCTATTCTAATATGCCTTCTAAACCATCATTTTACTACTGTTCCCACTTATTTAGGAAGGATATAACTTAAATAAGTTATTTAAGTTATATCCTTCCTGGTGTTGTAAATAAACACCATGCTCATATTTTAGGAAAAATTTATTGTGTCAAACTTTACACAACAATTACTTTATTTCTCAAACATGGGAATTCACAGCGGTAGGAGTCAAAACAATAAAGATGATGATTCAATTGTGCGGACAATTGTATGCATATAAAAAAGGGTAGGTCTTTGATCACACAGTCACAGCGCCTATCTTAACTTTTTTATTCCTCCCTACAGATATATGGGTATAGAATTTCTAGGGAGAATTTATTTATTTGTTTCTTTATATTCCACCTTTATTATTGAGGAATTCATTTTAATATTGAATGACATACCAAAGGCAATACAGGTAGTCCTCAACATACAACAGTTTATTTAGTGACCGTTCAAAGATACAACGGCACTGAAAAAAAGTGACATGACTATTTTTCACTTTTACAATTGTTGCAGCATCCCCATGATGACGTGATCAAAATTCAGACACTTGGCAACTGACTCATATTCATGATGGCTGCAGTGTCCTGGGGTCATGTGATCACCTTTTGCGCCCTTCTTACAAGCGAAGTCAATGGGGAAGTCAGATTCACTTAACAACTGTGTTTCTAACTTTAAAATCAGCTGCAGTGATTCACTTAACAACTGCGGCACGAAATGTCATAAAGTGGGGCAAAACTCACTTAACAAGTGCTTCACTTAGCAACAGAAATTTTGGGCTCAATTGTGGTCATAAATTGAGGACTACAGTACCTGTATGTGAAAAAGCATATGGGATTAGGGCAAAAAAATGGAATAAGATGAAAATTAAATTTGATTGAATTTATAACCATGGGTACATTTAAATATAAATCCAATCAAATATTAACTGATACAATTGATAAGATTGCATCTCTTGTCTTTCATAAATTGTCATTCATATCCTGTCTCAGTGAAAGTTATAATTTTGTGACAAATTAGGCCCATAGCCAAGACTTTTAGAAGCATGTGGTCCCAGAGTTTGAAGTTGTTTACTCTTTGTATTTTTGATAATAGAAGTGGTGAATCAGAATGCATTTGTACAGTTCTTAGCAAAAGGAATTAAAATAAGCACCAAAGCTAATATGGTGGACAAGCGTAAAATCTCATGTGTAGCTGAAAATAATCTCCAGGCATATATGAAAACAGAACTCAAACACTGTATAATGAAAAGAAAAAAGGAATAAAGACCAACACAGGTGTTGAGCACATTACCAATAAAATCTGTTTTAGGTTTTTTCATTATTTCTCCTGCTTCCGGTGATCTGGTAATATTGAAGAGTATGTAGTCATCGCTAGAGTCCATATCCGATGCTTGAAGCATTGAGCTTTGGATCAGGATCGTTTCTCCTTCATGGACCTCTATTTCAACATTACTAATGAGAAAAGGGGGGCTGTCATCTTTGGGCAGAATATTGATTGGAAACCTGTGGCGGCTACTGTGGTGGCCATCGAAGATCCTAAAGACAATGGAGTCTTTGGTGGAATCGCTGTCATCATGATGGTAACGAACAACTCCAGTCTTAAGATCCAAGACATTGAACATGAATCCTTTCCCTCCTGTTAGACAATCGAAAGTGAACAATTCATATTAGATTGTGCTTTGGGAAATGCACTCCGTTTTATAAAGATGGTGCGAGAGCTACTGAGATAAGAAACAGGACAAACACCAATAGCATCTGTGCTCCAGAAATTTGCTCATGTGATCCTACTGATGTCAGGGTTCCAAGTAACATACCCATAGCAAAGAAAACTCTGAGGCAGGTAGATTCCTCAAAGAATAATTTTATTGGATATGTCATATTGGCACAGGCTGGTGAAAACTGACTCTATTTTCACCTAATTAAAAGTAAAAGCTTTTCACTTTCTCAAAACAATCAGTCACATGGTCCAATCAGGATACTGTCCAGTTGCTAGGTGACTCCAGTCCCCCCCTTCCGAGCACCTGCAGGAATGTCCTTGGTTCCCAAGAGAAAGTATTTTGTTTTGACTACAACTCCCCAACTATCTCTATTCCCTCCCCCATCCCTCTTCTCCAGTGTGTCAGCGCTGAAGTCTCAAAATGGCCTCAGTCAGGCCAGCTTCAGAGCTGACAACTGAATTGCTTAGAACTCAGGGAATATGGAAGGACCTGTCTCTTATTTCTACAGAAGTGAAACTAGGGAAGCTTTCACATTTTGCTGATGATCAGTTTAAAATGTTTCAAGCAATACAAAAAAGGTACTAGGCTAGGGGATTGAACCTAGAAACTTTAGAATGCAAATGTAAAGCCCTTACATTAAAGCAGAGATATAATAGAGGTAGTCCTCGACTTACAACAGTTCATTTAGTGACTGTTCAAAGTTATAACAGCACTGAAAAAAGTAACTTATGACCATTTTTCACACTGATAGTTGCAGCATCCCCATGGTCATGTGATCAAAATTCAAATGCTTGGCAGCTAACTCATATTTATGACAGTTGCAGTATGTCGGAGTCGTGTGATCACTTTTTGAGACCTTCTGACAAAGCAAAGTCAATAAGGAAGCCAGTTTCACTTAACAACCATGTTATTAACTAAACAATTCCAGTCATTCACTTAGCTGTACATCTCCACCCCTGACCACCCCAACGATGCCCTTGAAGTGATGTCTCGCTGCCTGGAGGCCGTGCGGGTCTGGATGGGGAGGAACAGGCTCAGACTCAACCCTTCCAAGACTGAGTGGCTGTGGCTTCCGGCGTCCCGATATAGTCAGCAGGTGCCATCGCTGACTATTGGGGGTGAATCCCTGCCCCCCACAGAGAGGGCTCGCAATCTGGGTGTCTTTCATAAATTGTCATTCATATCCTGTCTCCTGGGTGTCCTCCTGGACGCACGGACGCACGGCTATCTTTAGAAGAGCATATGACAGCCGTGGCCAGGGGGGCCTTTTATCAGATTCGCCTGATTCGCCAGTTGCAGTCCTTTCTGGACCGGGACGCCTTGCGCATGGTCACTCATGCCCTTGTCACCTCCCGGCTGGACTATTGTAATGCTCTCTACAAGGGGCTCCCCTTGAAGAGCACTCGGAGGCTCCAGCTGGTCCAGAATGCGGCCGTGCGGGTGGTTATGGGCGCAACCCGTTGCACCCACGTGACACCCCTCCTGCGCGAGCTGCACTGGCTCCCAGTGGTCTTCTGGGTGCGATTCAAGGTGCTGGTTACCACCTTTAAAGCGCTCCATGGCATAGGACCCGGGTACCTTTGAGACCAACTTCTGCCACCAATAGCCTCCCACCGGCCAGTTCGCTCCCACAGAGAGGGCCTCCTCAGGGTGCCACCAGCCAAGTTATGTCGGCTGGCGACACCCAGGGGGAGGGCCTTCTCTGTGGGTGCCCCAGCCCTGTGGAATGAACTGCCCCCGGAAATACGTAAGATCTCCGACCTCCAGGTATTTCATTGCGCACTAAAGACCCTGTTGTTCCGCCAGGCTGGGCTATCACAATAACATTTTAAATTGGGTTTTAAATTTCTGGGTTTTTAAAATTTAGCCGAATTTATTTAATAATTTTAAACTATTTTAACTGATGTTGTTTTGTGTTTTTAATAGCTGTACACCGCCCTGAGTCCTTCGGGAGAAGGGCGGTATAGAAATAAAATTATTTATTTATTTATTTATTTATTTATTTATTTATTTAACAATTGTGGTAAGAAAGGTTGTAAAATGAGGCAAAACTTACTTAAACAAATCTCATTTAAAAGCAGAATATGGTCGTAAGTCAACGACTACCTATATTGTCAATTTTAAGGATAGCTTTTTGATTTGTTGTCAAATGCTTTTCAACTAAATCAATATTGTATTACTTTTGAATTAATCTGAACTAACATCAAATTTAGACAATTCACTTTGCAATTTATCTCTGCACTATGTATGTTTTGTGTGTGTGTGTGTGTGTGTGTGTGTGTGTATTCTCCTATATACACACACAGGAACATACATACATTCAGAGAACCCTGCTTCTTCCCTCCGAACACACACCAACACCTTAGCCTTTTAGGCAAAATTTACTCCCCCACACCTTCCAATATACAAACAGCAACACTTTCCATTTCAGCTCATTCTCAGTGGACATTCTAACTATCACCCACTAGCAGAAGTTCAACAGGAAGTAGGAAATTGAGACAGAGAACTGAACTGAATTAAAATCTTACACTATGGAGCAAGAAAAAAAGTTCAACAAAAAAATAAATATAAGTGCAGAAAGGGACAAATAAAATTAAGGCAAGCCTTTTCTGATTTTTGCTCTTTATCCAATATAACTAATCACAATTTCTTGGGTTGGACTAGAACAGGGGTCTCCAACCTTGACAACTTTAAGACTTGTGGACTTCAATTCCCAGAATTCCTCAGCCAGCTTGCTGAGGAATTCTGCGAGGAATTCTGGGAGTTGAAGTCCACAAGTCTTAAAGTTGCCAAGGTTGGAGACCCCTGGACTAGAAGACCTCCAAAGTCCTTTCCAACTCTACTGTTCTGTTCTGTTCTGTTCTGTTCTGTTCTGTTCTGTTCTGTTCTGTTCTGTGCAAAACCATGGGGCAGAAGGAAAGTCTATTTTCAAAACTTCACATTTAGGAGGCTATACTAAATGCTGCACATTTTTGTGCACATTTTCCAATTTTGTTTCACCCAGCACATTCAGATCAGAGAGGGCACAGACACCACTCAGTTCAACTGGTGGAATATATAGCTGGCTGTATATTTATGAAACATCAGCAAACATTTGAAAACAGTTAACTGGTGGAAACAGGACAAAAAGTAGGAAAAGAAATAAACAACAGGCAAGAGATAAAAAAAGGAAGGGAGTTTAGTATGGATAACCTATATTATTTCAATCTTGCACCAAAAGTACAGAACTTTTCAAAATTGCTAGAAGCAGCCTTGTGGATAATTAGTGTGGACAACCCCACAGGAAGGGGCCTTTAGTTATTCCAGCTTTAACCCTTTTGTGTCCATAACGACAACAGAATAGAGATGGAAAATAGGACACAAGGTGATCCCTCCTCTGGTCCAGACCATGAAAGAAACATTTGGGTGAACAAGGATGATCCAAGGGGGAAAAAAATGTTTTTCATGTTGCAGGGGCTATGCTGAGAACCAAATTGCAATTACTGCAGTCAGACTTTAGAAGGGAGATGGTACCTCTTACAGTAAGCTGCCCATGTTGTAATCCATCCACAGGGACCAAGCGAACTCCGCTGATATCATCATTGTCTACAATCTGAAGCTGCTCCCATGTTATGGGGCGAGACTGACCTTCCAAGAGATCAAGACCTAAAAAAGACAAGAGAAACATTGAGACAGCCAGAGTTATTACACTAATATGCATTCAATGTGATAAATATTTCACATGAGAAAATAATAGGTACATGTGTATAGGCGTGTAACAAAAATGTAGGTTATATTTTTTTATAGGTCCTTAAAAAAAACATTTATAAACTACTCTTTGAAGAAACATTTCTCTGTTTTACATTCCACATCACCTGATTCCACTGTACTTTATTGCAGAACGAGGTATCCAACCTTGGCAACTCTAAGACCCCTGGACTTCAATTCCCAGAATTTGGCAAATTAGAACGCAGGGCTGCTGCAGTCTGGAACCTTAACCATTATACCAAAGTGGATCTTGGATTCTAATTGCATATCAGGAAAAATCTATTAACAAATAGCTTGATAATAAAATGAACTCCTCTGAGAGATTATTAGGTCCCTTTTATTGGATATCAGGCAAACGCTAGGCCAGACAATAACAGGAAGTAGGCCAATATGACACAGCTCCATTAAATGTAAATAGAAAGTTTCTCCCTCATAACTACTTCCTTCTTTTTGCTGCAATCCCTCATAACTATTTCCCTTCAACCTGCTGCCCCTCTAGCAAGAAAGGGTTGCTTTTCAACCCCCTTTGGGATTGCCCCAATGGGAGATTTTATGCTGATAGTGTGAAAAACGCTATTTTCAGGCCAGAAAATCTTGGACCAGCTTCAGTTCACTTCAATGGCCGTTGCCTACAAGATGGAGGATCCATTGTGAGGACATGCCCTTAGCAAATGGTCAACGGGGCACATTTGTCCCACGTTAAGTACCCTGTGCAAATGAATCCTTAGGCAGCCATCTGTTATGGATGATTTCCCATGCTAAGTAAGAAGTTACCTTGAACAATTTTTCAACTTTGTGACTGTATGATTTCTTAGGAACACATATTAACATAAAACGGCAATAAGACATTGTCCTGTAGATATTTTCACTCCATTGTATTCAGTGCTAATTCTTTGCTTGGGAACAATTTTTTTTCACTGCATATTTTACTACTTTACCCCAAAGCCAAGAGAGATTAGATCTGCTAGAAATCTCCATGGTTTATTTAATTTGATCTTGTAAGTGTTCTTTTGCATTTTAAATCAAAGATATTACGACATTAAAAAAAAATCTCACCCATGTTCCATGAAACCCTTGGTGCATTTGTGTCTGCTGTTCTCACAGAGATATAAAGAGTAATTGGCACACTTCTTTCAAAGTACAAATCATAAACTTCAAATTCCACCTATGAAATAAAACAGACACAAATGTTTTATTAAACATTATTTCCCACTCTGCAAAGTATAGTTCAGAATTTTATCCCCACAGCAGCTAATGGGATGTTATAGGAATTGTGTAGTCAAGACAAGAGCAAAATAATGTCATCCCATTCACCTTCCTGAAGAAAATACGGCTGTAGGCAAATGATTTTGATAATGGAGGCAATCTACAGCAATTATATTTAGTAGCAAGTAAGAGTATTTCCTCTATCAATTTCTCTAGTGTTTTTTTAAGATTACTAAAGTTGGTCATGGCTCATTATTGCTGAGCAGATCTGATTGTTGATTAGGTGTCAACTGTTAGTGACCGTATACATAAATCTGCTTCAAGATGAGAATAGATCTAACAACCACTAAATAATATTCTAGAAAGACATGATAATTTACAATCAATAACATTTATGACACCAATAATTTGGGACCAAATTCTTTCGGACAACAGCTTTCAGCATCTCATTTTGAATGGAAAAGAATCTTGTACTTTTATTTTCTTTCTACTAAATCAGCACAATGATTTAAGGTAGGGGTCTCCAAACTTGGCAACTTTAAGACTTGTGGACTTCAACTGGCTGGCGAATTCTGGGACTTGAAGTTCACAACTCTTAAAATTGCCAAGTTTGGAGACCTAGATTTAAGATTTCATGTGTAAGTTATTAATTTTAACTTCCACAGGAGGAAGCAGTGATTTTGTTGCAGACGCAGACACTGCTGAAGGCAAATAATATTTCTAGTTTATTGGTTAAAATCAGGAAAAAAAACACCTTACACTGACAGAATTGGTGCAAAAGACATGCATGATATTTATCTGATTTTTCATAATATGATTATTTAACATTTGTCAACTTGCAACTCTTAAAGGTCATCGGGAGCAAAAAATAATATGAAATGCTTTTTTTTGCCTCCTCACTATCCAGAACAATGATAAGGTAAAGGTTCCCCCATACATGTGTGCTAGTCATTTCCGGATCTAGGGGCGGTACTCATCTCCATTTCTAAGCCGAAGAGTCAGCGCTGTTCAAAGATGTCTCCATGGTCATGTGGCCGGCATGACTAAACACCAAAGGCGCACAGAACACTGTTACCTTCCCACCAAAGGTGGTCTCTATTTTTCTACTTGCATTTTTTACGTGCTTTCGAACTGCTAGGTTGGCAGAAGCTGGGACAAGTAACGGGAGCTCATTCCATTATGCGGCACTAGGAATTCAAACTGCTGAACGGCCGACCTTCTGATCAACAAGCTCAACATTTTAGCCACTGAGCCACTACGTCCCTTAGAACAACAGTACTAGACAGTGAAATCCTTATAGGATCCTTTTACTGTACATGATATACTATTTACTCAGGAGCAGGGAAGATTTCATATACAAAGGAAGATGCTACATTGAAGCATCAGCTTCCTTTCAATTACCTCATAGTTTCTTCTCTCTGTATGGCTGTTGTTTGGAGGTTGATATGCAATCAGCATGTTATCCAGGCTGCTCCAGGTGAAGGATGAGACAGATTTAGTGTGGTCTTGCAGGTGTGTTATGAAGCCTTCCTGGGGTGCTTGGGTGATATTAAAGACTAGCAAAGATTTGGGTGTTTCACTGTCTTCAGCATCCAATATGGCTGTGGATAGGGGAGTCAGGATGAATTGGTCTGCTTCTAAGATGAGCATGGCCATGAAGGCAGGTTGTGGGGGCTGGTTAGAAACCGCATTTTTTATCTGAACAGTAATCCAAGCATACTCAGACTGTGGAAGAAAAAAGAAGCAAGTTAGATTCCTCCTTTGTGAGAGGAAAAAAATCCTCATATTCATAATACTTTTAATGTTAAATAATATAAGCCATCTCCAGTTCTGACCATTGTTTATCCAGTGCACCAATATAATGTTTATTTAGAGCAGGTCAAACTGAAGGGAAACACTGAATATCAGCATTGCATTTAACACAGTAATATAACAAAGAAAGATAATTCTCACACAGTCATTGAAAAATAATATGATTAACAGATCTGACCATTACAGAAACAAAGAGACAGATGGAGACAGGCCCACTGTAAGGAGATAATCAAGTATTCCACTATTTAAAAATAACCTTAAGAGGGTTTAAACATTGTTTAGGGCTTATTCTTTAGTTATGACTTTTAAAAAAAAAATATTATTAATATGCATTTCTTGCATTTCTTACGAGCAGCTTACCTAATTGGTTTATTTCCATCTGTGGAATAAAAACTGACAATAGTAAAAGATAAACAAACGAACAACACACACTGATCTCCAGGAGATTTAAAAAACACATTTCCATGTTTTCATTGCTGAAAATGTACAGCTATAAAGAGAAGCTGTGTCCTAATAAACTCAGTTAATTGATGCCATATTTATATTTACTTTGCTATTTAAAAAATGAGTGGCTAATGATGATGGTTCCATGATCCACATTAGGGGAAGAAGCTGCATAAGGATCCACAGAGCCAAGAAAGGTACAAAGGGTTTAAATCTAAACTACTAACTCATCATCTTCGCTCTGATTAAAACTGAGTTTTTTTCCTTTCTTCACAAATTGGCTGATTATTCCAATCAGATTTTTCATGACAAAACTTTATAATTAGTACTGAATAATCTTATGTTCACTCATCTGGTCTCTTGCCTGTGCTCTACAGAACTATATGACAAGGAAAGAGAATTGCAGAGTATAGAGAAATCGAAGAGGCTGTTGGACTGGACAGAAATATCCTTTTCTTAGTAAAACTTGTTGGGCTGGGTTCTGATATGGGAGAACAATTACTGTTATCTAACTCATAATATCGGCTAAGATCGAAACACATCCTATGATCATCACTTACAATTTTTTTTAGAGTAGCCAAAATCCAGGCCATTTGTGGAAGGACATCTAAGACTGCTTTATAATGTGAAAGTCAGAACCAACAAGGAGTCCTTTGCATTTGGATTTGATGTTAAGAGTCAGGTAAACCAGAACTGATTTTGGCCTTTCATCCAAGACATTTACCTTATACAAAATCTTGCTTCTGGTATCAGTGAGATCCAGCCTGATGGGAATGTAATCAATATTAGGTGAAGGAGGGTCCAAATGTTGGTATCTAAGTCCCATCAGAAGAAACTCATCACAGCTCACTCTGATATTCTGAACAGTCTTCAGGTCTGAAACACAAATCTTAATCAGACAGTTTAATCCAGCCTATGGTTCAAAATAAGTGTAAATAGGTCTGAGAAACAGAATCCAGGATTACTACATTATGAGCTCAGGGATACAGGTCTAAATCACAACACCAGCTTTTCTCATTTATCATTTATCCATGGGATATATCTCTCAACTGTTATCAGACACACTTCCAGGGCAGTTTTCATGGAACTCTTCCAATTTCTACAAACTTTGGCAAAACAAAGCTGGTCACAAGGTAAAAACAGCCATTTTCTATTCACATTTCATGTACATTGAGCATTTGTAGTTTCCATAATTATTAAATTATGGAATATATTATTATTCCATAATTATTAAATTATGGAAAATTATGGAGTATGGACCAAACCATACTCAAACCATATGTTATGTGATATGCAGATAAACTCTCCCTTTATACTGAGTTTGAAGTAAACTAGTAAAGTCCTGATCTGGGTAGTACACAGATTGAGAGGGTATGTAATCTTATTCTTTCTTAAACACTTTGTTTTTCAAATTCTTATTCAACCCATGTCCTAAAAATTCTACTTTTTTGTGTGTCAGTATATATCTAAATGATGTCGCTAGGAGAGGAATATTAGCTTTTCCTAATTCCCCTTGGTTCTCACAGTCTTCCTGCAAAGAAACAGACTTGGTCTAAGGAATTTTACTTTTAAAAAGAGAATAAACTGCATGCTCTCTAATTAATACAATGGTTGATTAAAGAAATGATATTAGAATAGCCTGCTCACTTGTAAAAACTTTAATAATGGACCTCTCTCTCCAAAAAAGATGGCCTAAAGCTCACAACATTAACATTTAGGTGACAGGATATTTTAAAATTACCTGGCATTTGATATTTTAATTAAAAAACAACTCTTTCGTACCTTCTCAATCTATTATCAAAATAAATGTTATCAATGAGTAAATTACTTTTTCCTCTTACAGTTCTTTCACTCTGAGTGGACTTAAACTGAATAGTCCTTTTAAAGGAGGACCGCTTTGAAGAAAGGACTATCCTTGGACAGCGGAAAGTGGATATCAACAGCTCACAGCCCTAAAAATCCAGTTGTGTGATCTATTGCAGTGCCTATGATGGTTCCAGATTTCATTGGGTGCTGAAATGCTGGGTGAAGAGAAAGAAAAAGCCTTTCTCACTTCTAAAAGAAAAGAAACTGTTGGTAGCTGTGTATGAGAGGCAGGTTTCAGCAGGTTCTGACCAGTTCTGGAGAACCGGTAGCGGAAATTTTGAGTAGTTCAGAGAATCGGTAAATACCTCTGACTGGCCCCGCCCCCATCTATTCTCTGCATCCCAAGTCCCAGGTGATCGGGAGGAAATGGGGATTTTGCAGTAACCTTCCCCTGGATTGGGGAGGGAATGGAGATTTTACAGTATCCTTCCCATGCCACGCCCACCAAGCCATGCCATGTCACGCCCACCAAACCACATCCACAGAACTGGTAGTAAAAAAAATTGAAACCCACCACTGCTGTGTATGTGTGAAGAGCTCTGTGTTTGAAAGACAAACTTGGTTTGACTGGATGGCAGGGTGGATAAAGTGTGTGTGTGTGTGTGTGTATGTATGAGAAATATGTATCTGAGTATATGCATATGTATATAACATATGTAGCCATTTGCATGCTGGCTCTATCCCCACTGAAGGGGTTTAGGAGGCTGCTATGAAAAACAGGGTGTACTTTTCCTAACAGTGAAGGTAATTTGAGCATTACAGTGACAGGGTTGTTATAGGGAAAGGACCTCCAAAGACCCAATCTGGCACTTAATGTGGCTTCTAGGGAAGCATTAAGCAGAGGCATAAACCAACTTGGTCTCAATACTATGCAGTTAGTATTGAAATAATCAACATATTTTAAAAGCAGGACATACTGGTTGTATGGAAGGAACTCTGTGGCTGATCTCCTCTAGGTAATTCTTCTTTGTTTTCTCCAATAACAAGTTGCCCGTGGGCTGGCAGAAATGTCTCTAAAGAGTTCAAGCTTATAGTGCATTCCAAGTTTATCTTCCTGTTGTAGTCCAAAGTGATTATGTTCTTATTAATTATGTTAGACAGGCCATGAAATTCCGGGACCTCCAAAGCACTGGAGCGCATCTTGATAATATTACAATCTGGTTCAAGTATCTTTACAAGAAGAGTGATTGTTTCTGTGAAAGTTTCGGTTTCTGTAAATCTGCAAAGGGTAAGGAAACCATGCAATCAGAATTCAGGAAGCAATAGTAAAATACCTGTAGAAAAGGTGACATGTACCACAACTAATGATTGCTCAATAGTGACAACAGCCAACTAAAATGTTGACCAAATTATGAAAATAAATTAAATGAAAAACCTAGATTTGGTCTTTTTTGGAATGTAGAGGGAAAAATAGATTTCTTATGAACAATATTATTTTTTTTATTAACTCTACAAAAGGATAGATATATATTTCATATACCTTTGAATCATATGCTACTCAGGTGTTGCTTACCTATATAGCCTTAGCATGACAAAGTCTTCATTAAGAATTGGGCATCCGTTGTGAGTGTACTTGGCTTCATTGGGAAGAAAATGGCAGTCAAACACCTGTTACATAAAGAATATGTTTAAAGAAGGAACATGGTATTATAGACATTTCTCGTTTATCATTATGCATTCATATCTTGAGAAGGATGTATTACAATGTAGATGAGATTTTCACCTTTAAATCATACATGATAAAGATAGGAACCTAACAATGTAATTGAAGTACAAAAACAGCCTGGTGGCGCGGCAGACTAAAGCACTGTTATTAACAGTTATTAACATCAGCTGCCTGCAATTACTGCAAGTTCAAATCTCACCAGGCTCAAGGTTGACTCAGCCTTCCATCCTTTCTAAGGTAGGTAAAATGAGGACCCAGATTGTGGGGGCAATAAGCTGACTTTGTATAAAAATATACAAAAGTATGAAGGCTATTGCTTAACGCATTGTAAGCAGCCCTGAGTCTCCGGAGAAGGGCGGCATATAAATTAAATTTTTTAAAAAATGAATACTGATTTTATTGTATTATTTAGAAAGTTGTAAAATTGAAACTTCAGTAACTGATAATTGTGGAAGGACTCTGTAGATTACTGCTTTTGCTTTGTCACAGAAGAAATTTTCTGCTGAATTCAGTTATTTCTCCTTCATGGTCAGATTATCCCAATCTAATTTGAAATCAGATATTTTAAAAATCACTTGTTCATGTTTTAGGAAAATCCATCAATTCTCTAGTAAGTTCCATGTTAGAGGCGAAAGACACATATTTTAAACTGTGAGGAAGAAAAGTGAGTGTGACTCCCACTGAATCTGTGAACATTTTTGAAGTAACTGTTTGTCCCCTTTATAATTTATAAATATCTTGAAGAACATAAGTTATCATTCCTTATGTCATAGTAGAGAGCCATAACTCAGTGACTATGAATTCTAGTCCCATCTTTGCTATAGAGCCAGCTGGCTGACATTTGGCCAGTCACTTTCTCTCGGCCTTAGGAAGCAGGTAAATGGCAAACCCCTTCCAAAATCTTGCTAAGAATACTGTAGCAACAGCAGTCAAAACTGACTTGAAGGCAGCTCCCCCCAAAAGAGTAATCTTAAAGGGGTGAACTTTGAGTCCTCCAAAAACATGGATACTCGAGAAATAACATAATTACTGAAGCCAACATTTTACATATAAAATTCACTTACTGCTGCATGGTCTTTATGCTAAAGATATTTTTTATTTGTTGAACATTTTTCCTTTTGCTTATGGGGGTATTATAGTAGTAACAGATTTGCCGCCTCCTCCATGTTTTTATTTTAATGTTTAATTTATTTTGATTAATTACAAAGATTTTAGGTGACTTGCTTTTTATGCCATCATATCTTGTGTTTCAAAAATGCTCTGAAAGTCTCTGCTAATTATGTGGATGGTGGAGAAAAAGAATTTCACTCATTCAAATTCAGGACTCCCAAATGCCAGCAAAGTCACAAAACAACTGAAGGTTGATAAACGAATTCCTCTCTTACACTAGAAAAAATAAAAGTAGTCATCTTGACAATGATGAGGGAGAAAAAACAAAATGAAGGTTGAGAAAATCTAGGGTAAGCCTTTGAGTCCCCAAAATATTTTCTCTAAGCTTTTATAAACCAGGGGTCTCCAACTTTGGCAACTTTAAGCCTGGAGGACTTCAACTCCCAGAATTCCCCAGCCAGCAAATTCTGGGAGTTGAAGTTCGCTAGGCTTAAAGTTGCCAAGTTGGAGACCCCTGTTATAAACTACAGGTAGTCCTCGATTTACAACAGTTCATTTAGTAACAGTTCAAAGTTACAATGGCACTGAAAAAGGTGACTTATGACCATTTTTCACACTTACGACCATTGCATTATCCCCATGGTCATGTGATCAAAATTCAGACACTTAGCAAACTGACTCATATTTATGACGGTTGCAGTGCCCCAGGGTCATGTGATCACCTTTTCTGACCTTCTTACAAGCAAAGTCAATTCAGAAGCCAGATTCACTTAACAACCATGTTACAATATTTAACAACTGCAGGGATTCACTTAACAACTGTGGCAAAAAAGGCATAAAATAGGGGAAAGTTCACTTAACAAATGTTTCGCTTAGCAATAAAAATTTTGGGACCAATTGTATAATATATTATACACACACACACATACAAGTATGACTCTCAAAACTTTTTGTGCCTAAGAAAAAAAACCCCTGAAGTTCCTAATCAAAATTAAAACTGAACTCTTCTTTACTACCAATTAAAGGTGCTCCAAAATTTTTCCTCCAACAAAACAAACTTTATCCTGCTCAATGGTAGAACCAGCCATTAACAATGCCTTTCCCCCTATGTGTGACACTCAGAAATAGATATGTGCCCTCAAGCTAATGCAGGAAATAATTGAAAGAAACCAGATGTGCACCTCACTCAGTATAAGCATACATTAGTTTTAGGTTTTTTTAAAAAAGCATATTAGAAGCTGGTGTGTGAAAATGACTTTAGATAGATGGGAAAAGATTAAAGGCAATTAAAGCCTCCTGTTTCAAACCACTCCTAGCTTTGAGAATGCAGTCTCTTCTAATGCAAAAAGATACATCTGTACAGCTTTTGCTTATCCATCAGAGAATAATAGTCATGATATTCATAAATTATATTCTTTTCCATAAGACATCATTGCTTCTTCCTCTTAATTGATAACAAGGGAGATAAATAATGAAAGCTTTCTTCTCAACAGGACTGTTACCCAAAACAGACAGCAATTATAAAATAGACGCAATCTGCTTTGTTAAAAAGAAACATCTGTTTTATGCTACCTAATATGTTTTCCTTTTATACAAACAGGCATCCATAATTGTCTATATATTTAACAAGTAAAACAAAGGAGAGCTAAATCTTTTCTTAATTAATGTCTGCCTGTGCTTTTATTTCCACTTCAACTACTTTTCAATTACAATATGTAATTAAATCCCTAGCACATTACTCACTTTAATGACAGAAGCGAGATCATAGGAAAGGCTCTTCTACAATGAAGCTTTTGCTGATTAAAATAACAATTTCTAGCATTGCCTTCACCGGCCTGATGCCCACCAGATGTGTTCAGTTTCAATTCTCGTTGAATCACATTCATTCAATATTATTGGAGGTCATCCAAAATATAAGGTGACCAGATGTCCCGCTTTTGGCGGGACAGTCCCGATTTTTAGCAATTTGTCCCGCGTCCCGCGGCGTTTCAAAAAAGTCCCGATTTTTCATTCTGCCTCTTGAGTCCCGCTGCCTTTTGAGCCCCAGCTGATGGTTAGAGGGAAAAAAAAACCTGTGTAAACTCTTGCCGGGGCTTCAAAGGGCCGCCCTACAGGCAATCAGTGTAAAGAGTTCCTGAAGCAGTTTTTTTTCCCCCTAGCTAAGCTGCAGAAACGAAACCGAAACCAGGATCTTTGGTGCAACGTGACAAAATGAGGCAGAGAGAGATTTATTTTTATTTTTATTTTTCCTCCCCAAAAAAGGTAGGTGAAAAACTGCAAACAATGGGAAATTTAGGAGGAGAGTTCAAGATTTTAAAACACAAAAGAAAAAAAAGCTGTATTTAACTAGGGAATTGTAATAATTGAGATACTATTAATTGTATATTGTCTTGAAAGCAGAAATGGTTAAGTTGTGGTTCAGAGGAATATATGGGGGAAATTATTTGGTTTATTATTATTGGTAAATATAATTAATTGATTTGTAAGAAATTAGATTACATGGAAATAATTGGAATATTCATGTTCATATTGATTAATGTACAAAAAGATAGTTTTATAACTAATTGATTTATATTAAAATGTTGAATTTGTATTAAACAACTGTATTACATAATTAACCAATGTGAGGATGGATATAAAAATAGATGACAATGGGAAGGGGTATAATATAGAATAGAAGGGAAAAATTGAATTTGATTAAGATTAGAGATGAGGATGAAGGGTAATATTGTTTTTTTAAAAAAATAGATGAGGAATAAATATGGCAAAAAGGAAATATAGAAATTGTAAATTTAATTGAAATGACTAAACGCTGTTTAAATTTGTGAACCAGCCAAATATTCTGTTCAAAGAAAATACATTGTATGTTTGTATATGTGTTTCTAATTATTGCTATTTATTCATATTTGTTCTCTTTTATTCTTTAAAGTTTAACAATTCATTCTTTATCTTAATATCTTTATATTTGCTTGGGGTTGGCTTTCTTCCCTTTCATCTTTTTTATTGTACAGCAATCTTTCTCCTCAAACCTACCACCTCTCTCTTTTCTTTCCTTCTTACTTTCTCTTCCCCCCACCCTCTTTTTCTCCTCCCTACTTCCTCTTCCTTTCTCCTTCTCCTCCTCTCTTCCTCCCTCTCTTACCCTCACTCCTACTCTAATTTCCCTTCCCTTCCTTCATCCCTCTCTATTGCTGTATCCTTTAATGCATATGGACTACTCAGAGGGCTGAAAAAGTTATTTTTGACTGGTCCTCACACTTTTGACCAGTCCTCGAACTTATGACTGTCCTCACATTTTACATTTTTGCCCTATCTTGTCATCATGGTGAAGAGAAGCAGTTGTGAAATGAGTGACATGGTTGTTAAGAATGCTGCATGGGCATAAATGTGAGGATGGTCATAAGTGTGAGGACCAGTCAAAAGTGCGAGGACCTGTCAGAAATGACTTTTTTCAGCCCCCTGGTTAGTCCTTTTGTGCATATGGACTACTCGGAGGGCTGAAAAAGTTATTTTTGACTGGTCCTCGCACTTTTGACCAGTCCTCGAACTTATGACTGTCCTCACATTTTAC